ATGGATATTAGTGCTGATATATACAGAAAAAAAATAGAAACAAAGAAAAGGACTAGTTCAGATACATTGTAGACAGAGATTACAAACAATATGTAGTTGGAGATACAGGGGGCCAAAGAAGAAACCCAGAAGGGTACATAGGAGGGTACATGAAGTGGGAGATGGGGGGGAGGGGTTAATAAAAAAGGCAATACAAGCAAACAGTATACAGTCATAGATATACCGAAACTAAACAGAGAAACAGCATAGAGTATTTACATTAACAAATTTACAAAATATTAAAAAAAGCAATTGCACACAGCACGCCTATTCACTTTTTAGTAGTATTAAAATGATAATTCAAGAGACATAAGGAATAGATACAAATGTGTGACTAATTTGCGATTAATCGAGAGTTAACTATGAAATTCATGTGATTAATCGCGATTAAATATTTGAATTGTTAGACAGCACTAATATATATATATATACGGATATATATTTTTCATCCGGAAAAAGGAACATGAAAAGCTTGAGAAATACCAAGGTCTCAGAGAGGAGCTGGAGAGGGCCTGGAGGGTAAAGGTGACAGTAGTACCCGTGGTGATCGGTGCACTCGGGGCAGTGACCCCAAAGCTAGAAGAGTGGTTACAGCGGATCCCTGCCACGTCCACCACCACGGCTGTCCTCTGCCCTTTGTCCACCACCACAATGTCAGGTTGGTTCGCCATTACCATTCGGTCGGTCTGTATCTGGAAGTCCCACAGGATCTTCGCACGCTCATTCTCCACCACCTTTGGAGGAGTTTCCCACTTAGACCTTGGAGTTTCCAGCCCATACTCTGCACAGATGTTTCTATATACTATGCCAGCCACTTGGTTATGGTGTTCCATGTAGGCCTTCCCTGCCAGCATCTTGCACCCTTCAGTTATGTGTTGGATCGTCTCGGGTGCCACAACCGACGCCTTGGTTCTTGTCTGGTGTGGTATATCTGGGCCTCTATCGCTCTGGTGCTCAGGGCCTGCTGAGCACCAGAGCGATATATATATAATATAAAAATAAAGAAGACTGAAAAGAAAGTAGTACTGTGTAACTTTTTTTGTGAAAAAGTAACTTTTTTTGTAAACATTAGTCTGTCTCTGTCATTTCAAGTTGTAAGTTAAGTTAATGTTTATTCTGTTCATAATAAAGAAAAAAATATGTCTAGTAAACTTTCATTAGGTTTTTTGTGGGCTTTGGCTTATTACAACAAGACGAGTTTCTCAATATCTTCCACTCTATCTATAACAAATGCTAGAAGTTACAGATCCTTGTTTGTGGAAGATAAGATGTTGTTCATCTTAATATCTTCATCAGATCAACTTTGTTCCATCGGTCACAACTAACTCTAAGTCTAAGTTTTACTCTAAGTGTAGTGAGGTGTCCCTTAGTCTATGGGAGTAACTCCTCTCTGTGGTTCTCTGGGCGGGTTCTCCAAATCACCTGCAATAATATACAGAGAAAAACCAATGAAAATATTCAAACACCTCTAATTACAGTGTTTCTTTGGGAGACACCCAAACTCACATGTGTAAAGTTCAGCACCTGTGTGAGGCCGTGTGGTTGAAGGAAATAACATGTTTGTTCTATTATGGGGGCAATTGTTAAGGACTTGGAGCTCAGAGGAAAGTTCACATTGTATACACTTGTGCTTAAACGTTTACACACCCAGCCAGGAATGAAACAAAAAAGTAAGACAACAATTAACTCAATTAAGAGAAATTTAAAACTATAACATACTGTCTACTCTAGTACAAGAAAAATGTACTTATACATACATCCATTTTCTTCCCCTTAATCCATTTCTGGGTTGGGGGGGGTGGCAGTCAGAGTTACACCCAGTACAACAGGCCAATGCTCTACCAACTGAGCCACTGTCGCCCCCCATGTACTTATACAGATGATCTGTAATACAATCTAATCAAGATTGGAGTAAGATTCCAGCATCCTGCTGGAAATAGATTATGAATAATTCACTCTTTTGATAATGGTTCTGTGAAGCTATTTATTGTCAAATAAACATGTTTTCTATTTTCAAGTTAAGACAGAAACCCCTTTTCTGACTAAAAGTCTCCATCCCCCAGTTCTCAGTAGCATCTCCACTTTAGCATTGATGACAGCTCTGATGGTAAAGCTGCTCATCCTTTTTGGAATAGAGCCTCCAGCTTCTGTAAATACCGTTTACAGAAACAACTTGTTTATTTGCTTCATGCAATTATTGTTTTAAACAATAATGATTATGAACGGGTTGTTGTTCATGCATTCCAAATTATGGCCAATATAATATATTGATATGTGTGGCTGGGAGTGTAAACATGGATTTCAAATCTATGTTTTAGTCATTGGCAAAAACAGAATAAATCCATTCTTCACCTTTGAACGTTTTCCGAGAATGTGATCTGGTATAGAGCAGGTCTTAACATGTCTCTCATGTGAACTCAGAGAGTAAATGGGTTAAAATATCAAAGCTAAATTGTTTTGACTGGCAGTGATTGAAAGTGAATTGTGGCTGCACTTATTCTAACAGTATTTCATTTTGAGAGAAGATAATAATATGATAAAAAAACTGATATAGTTGAACATACAGTTTTGTAGCAAGAATGTCAGTTTTATCACGCTGCCATCTCACTAACAGATATAATCTATGTTTTTAGTTATGTGAAAACAAACATCCCAGAATAACTGTAGCTGCTCTATTGTTGCTTTGCTGTTCGAACAGAAGCTGTCAGCGCCTTCATTAGAGGCTATTGTGCGGCGTGTCCTTCCATACAAATGTGATGGCTGCCATTGTGTGCCCAGTGTAAAGATAGGTAATTATCAAAGCAAAGCCGGCAATTACAGAAGCCCTGGTTTACATTGTGCCATTATTTAAGACAGAAAGGCTGCGCTTACGTATGAGGTATAAGGGGCATCAGACATCTGCTCGTCACCTTGGTGATTTTTGGATTTTGTGATACGCCCATAATTTTCATTTGAATTTACAGTTTCTATTCAACTGCCATTAGGGATTTGGTGTTTATTGGGCGGTTTATTAGAAGGTCCCTTGGTTTGAATCCCGGTTGGAACTGGGTGTTTCTGAGTGGAGTTTATATGTTCTCCCCGTCTCTGCGTAGGTTTCCTCTGGGTTCTCCGGTTTCCTTTACCACTAAAAACCTGCAGTTACCTCTGGCATGTGCCTCCTGTACTGGCAACCTCACTATCTTCTTTGTGAGGAGTGAGAGACAAATGGCCACAAAAATTGTAAAGCGCTGTGTGACTCTGGTCTGTGAAAGGCGCATATAAATAAAGATGGCGTACTTACTTTATAGTGTAATATAATATTCATGTGTCAAGATCAATGTGAAATGTATTCATAAGTAAGTCTTACTGCTAATTTACTTTTTTCCATGTTAACCAATGGGGATATTTACACTATTAGTGTTATACGCGCGTATGACAAACGTAATGACGCGAGGCTGTTCCTAATTTAGGATAGATTTCTAATTTTGTGCGCGCAGCAACGCGTCTCCCATTGAAAACACATGTGAAACATGATTTTTCTAGCGGCCCTTGGCTCTAGATCGCATCCACACACACACAGTACTTGTATCTAAACATTAGCAGGAGGAGCAGCAGGTTTTCGTTTTTTTTTTCTTTCATAAAGTCTCGCGTCTGGCCAAACCAGCGCACAGAGACCATGAAGACAAACTCATGCATGTGATTTGTGTTGCTCTATATCAGTCCTCTGGCCCGTACTGTCCTCTACACTTCTTCATAGACTACACAGGGAGAGCATCAGAAGCCGTGGACCTGTACCTAATGTTACTCCCACATGCGCGCAGTCAACGCGTACGCGCTGTTAACGCCTACTGTGTAAATTCCCTGTTACACTTCAACCTAAATAAACCCTTTTGGCATTTAAGGTTTTTCATTATTTTTATTAAAACATCATAATTGTTTGACTTATTCTATTGTTGACACATACATTATGAAGCTGACAAACCTGTATATTTAAATGTGTTGCTTTTATCTCTGTGCAGCACTTTGGAAACTTATAAAATGTGCTATATAAATAAAATGGATGGATTTCACTTTCTGTATGTGACTGTTCTTGTCTTTTATGGTGTTGTTAATAAATTGCCAAAGAAATAATAAACTAAACTAAACTCTAAATATGGTACATAAACCAGTGCAGGGTTCCCAAAGTTGTAGTGGCATTCTTGGAACCCTATTCTAAAAAAATAAATCACTAAATTGGGCAGATCAAAAAAATACACGACTCAAACCAGCAACAGTTAATGTAACATGTTCTTAATGTTTAAAGTTATTGCTTCTTTCAAATCTATGGAGGTCCCGCTCTGAAAAGTTTGGAAATAGCTGTAAGACCTTAGAGGATTTTATAAACGCTTATTTGAACCAATATGTAGCGTTTTAGTTTCCACAAACCAATCATTTATTTGTATAGCACAATTTGTGTACACGGCAATTCAAAGTCCTTCAAAAGAGCAATTTAAAAACACAAATCAATATGCATGAAGTCAGCAGCGTAAAAGTATGGGGTTTAAAACTCTTACTAAAATGTGGGTTTAAAAATAGGATCTCAAAATGGTTCAAATAGTAAATTAGAAAAGCACTTGTGGAGGTTTATTTTTCACAGGCTCGCATATTACTTGTGTGCAAAAATGATGAGTGCCTCTTAACTAAATATTCTGCACATACTATTGAACGAAACCAGGAAAACCGCACATGCTAGTTTACTTTGGTCTACTTTGGTTACTAGTCGATGAATATATGGAGTATAGATGAATATAGAGCGCACCTCTGAATTCCGTGATTCAGATAATCATCCGGATCAAAACCAAATCCCATCATTGTACTTTTTCCTATTTCTGAGGTTTTTGGACTTACTTTTAGTTGTGTTGCAAACTGACAAACCCTGGTGAAAACTTGAGCTTCTTGTTCGAGGTAATATTATAAATGTCTTCTGTTTTACGTTTTTTCAGCAAACTGCGCCACCAGGCCCAGAGTGAGCGCTTTGGCTACAGAGAGGTAAGTCCAGTCCATCAGCACTTTTTATGGGTCATGGATCAGTTCAAATGTCAATCATTTCAGTCTTTTTTTTATATATATATTGTATTCTCAGGTGGTTTTGAAAGGTGATCCAAAGAAGCTGAATCTTCATGGGGTAAACATTTACTATGTTTATATTTTGAGATTTCACATCCAAATGCAGTAAAAACATTGATGGCCCTAATTTTCTATCCGTCTGATATCCAAGAATATCAACGTCACAAAGTCAGGACTGTTTACACCGGCACAATATTTTATAAATGTGAATTTTGATTCTCTGATCTATGTTGGTGAATTCAACGGTTCTCTGATGCGGACTGTTGTGATTTACACAAGAATACATTGAACTGAATTGAATTTTAGACTACTAGGTATTTCATACTATGCATATGAGTGACTTAAAAAATATATTGTTTATTACTAGATGGTAGAAGTTCTGAAACTCAAACACTGTGGGGAGTTTAAAGTGCCTTTGATAAGCTACGTACATACGTTTTTACAATACAATATAATTTCAAAAAGTTTTTTATTGAGCATCTTATACATCACAAATATTAAACATAATAATTGAGGCTCAAACTTTTTTATATAAAATAAAACATACAAAACAAAAACAAACTAGAGCCCAACAATACAAGGTTTGCATAAATTGTGTATATACAAATTTATTTATGTTCATGTAGATTGCAGAAATTCTATGAATGGTTGCCAGATGTTCTGAAATGATGAAATATTATCTTTTAATAAATATCTAATTCTTTCAAGGTGTAATGTATTTGACAAGTCCCGCAGCCACACCTTAGCATTTGGCAGGGTCGGGCCCTTCCAAGACATGAGTAGTATCTTTTTTGCGGTTATGAGAGAGTAGGAAATAAACCGACGTTGTGCTAGAGTGAGCTGTCGAAACCGCTGCGAAGTTCCAAAGATGATTAGCAGAGGGTCTGGGAGCAATGTAAACTTAAGAGTTTTTGACAAAGTATTAAATATTTCAGACCAATAAGTAGTAAGTTTAGGGCAGTTGAAGAAGGCATGGAACAGTGTTGCATCAGAGGACAGACACTTATCACATGTTGATGATGTGTTTGGGAAAATATTATGGATTTTAACTTTGGAGTAATGGAGTCTATGCATGATTTTGAATTGTATTAGACAGTGTCTGGCATTGTTGGAGCAACTGTGTATACATTCAAGAGCTTCTTCCCAGATATCATCAGGAATCTTAAGGCACATGTCTTTCTCCCAACTTTCCTTATATTTATTCGAAGAGGGGGAGTTAATCATCAGTAACTTATTATAGATGATGGAAATGAATTTATCTTTGCTTGCAGGTGTGTTCAAGCAGTCATCAATGATGGTCTGTGTTTCATTTTCAAAACTTATTGTATATTTACGTACATAGTCCCTGACCTGTAGATACCTAAAGAAATTGTGGCCATGCAATTCAAATTTTGCCTGTAATTGTGCGAATGTAGCAAAGTTACCATCAATGTATAGGTCACGGATGCAGTCTATCCCCAGTCTACTCCATTCGTTAAAGGTCAAATCTAAAATAGAAGGGGCAAAGGACGGATTTTTTGCGATTGGTAGTGTATGGGGGATTGTTTTGTGGTTGAAATGGGATTTGATTTGTTTCCAAATACGAATTAGGTTGTGTATAATCGGATTTTGATTGTATTTTGATTTGTCAATTGGGGTTGGTGAGAGTACTATAGCAACAGGTGCATATGGATTACAATCTTCAAGTTCTAAATTTAACCAGGTGGGAGGGTTGTTTGAAGTAGTCATGAAAGAGTTTATATTTTTGAAGGCACATGCCCAGTAGTACATTATAAAATTCGGAAGGGACAGACCCCCATTTACCTTAGGTTTGGTTAAGTGTTTTTTCATAATCCTTGGGGTTCTGTAATTCCATAGGAATGGTTGAACAATCGAGTCAATTTTCTTGAAGAAAGATTTTGTGAGAAACATGGGGATATTCTGAAACAAATACAGGATTTGTGGTAGGAAGACCATCTTAATAGCATTTATCCTTCCCAGTAAGGATATTGGCAATGTTCTCCAAAACTGAATCTTAATTTTAAGTTGATCCAATAATGGTATAAAATTCGACTTTATGAGTGAGGTAAATTGTTTTGTAACCACTATGCCTAAATAAGTAAATTTATCAATGGATACCTTGAACGGGAATTTTGATAGCGTTGTTTGAGGAATCGGGTGGATTGGCATTAATATACTTTTTGTCCAGTTTATACGATAACCTGAAAATTTCCCAAACATTTCAATTTTTCCTAGAATGGACGGAATTGAGAGGTGGGGTTTAGTCACATACAGCAGAATATCATCAGCGTATAACGAGATCTTATTATTTGTAGCCTTAGTCTGGTAGCCGAATATTTGAGGGTCTAAACGTATGCTTTGTGCTAATGGTTCGATTGCGAGAGCAAAGATTAGTGCTGAAAGGGGACAGCCTTGGCGGGTCCCTCTGTGCAGATTAAAGTATGTAGACAGGTTTTGATTTGTGCGAATTTGGGCTTTAGGGTTAGTGTATAGAAGTCTAATCCCATTTATAAACTTCTCACCTAAATTAAAGCGTTTAAGCACTTCAAACAAATATTCCCACTCTATCTGATCAAACGCTTTTTCTGCATCAAGAGTCAGAATAGCGAGATCATTATGTATTCTCCTATCAGTATATAAAATGTCAAACAGTCTGCGCAGGTTGGATGTCGAGTTTCTGTTTGTTATAAAACCAGTTTGGTCGTTATGAATTAGCGATTCCATTAGAGGGCTTAATCTATTGGAGAGAATTTTTGCATATATCTTATAGTCTATATTTAATAATGAAATTGGCCGATATGATCCAACATTTAATTCGTCTTTATCCTTCTTATGGATAACTGTAATTGTTGCTTGAGTAAGAGTAGGTGGTAGTGTGCCATCTTGTAGGGCTTGTTTATACATTCTATGGAGATATGGTATGAGGATATTACTAAACTTTTTGTAAAGTTCGACCGGTATGCCATCTGGACCAGGTGCTTTACCACTTTTAATGGTGGTAATTGACTTTTGAATTTCTGTCGGGTGGATATCAGTATTTAGTTTATCTAAGTCTACAGAAGAGAGACATGGTAGGTTACATTTATCTAGAAACTTGGACATGACATCAGGATCAATATTGCATTTGGAAGTGTATAAATCAGAGTAAAATTGTAAAAACGTTGTGTTTATATCTTTAGGTTTAGTGAGCAGATGGCCCTTATCATTTTTGATTTTGTGAATAGTTCTATCTGCTTCCATTTTCCTGAGTTGTTGAGCTAATAATTTATTTGGTTTTTCACCAAATTCAAAGTATTTTTGTTTGGTAAATAAAAAGGCTGATGTGATTTTCTTTGAGAGAAGTTGGTTGAGTTGGTATTTTAAAGGTGTTATTTCTCTGTGTAAATCAGGGGTGGGGGTTAATGCATTTTTGTGATCTAGTTGCTGTATCTGTTCCTCCAGATGTTTGTATTGAGTAGTCTCGTTTTTCCTTTTAGCAGCTTCATATGAGATGACACATCCTCTCAGATAGGCTTTAAAGGCCTCCCATAGGGTAAATGAAGTGATATCTGGTGTATCATTTATCTCAAAGTATAAACGTATTTGAGTCTCTATGAATTCACAAAACTCCTTTTCTGTAAGTAACTGAGGGTTCATTCTCCAAGATCTGCTGGGTGGGTCCATGCCTTCCAAATGTAAACTAAATGTCAATGGGCTATGGTCAGATATTGTGATGGGATGATATTTAGAATCCACTGTGAATGGGGCCAATTGTGCGTCTATAATAAAGTAGTCAATCCTGCTGTAAGAATTGTGGACTGGTGAGAAGAATGAGTAATCTCTTCCTGATGGGTTATTGAGGCGCCATAGATCTAATAAATTCATATTCACGAAATATGCATTCAGAAAAACACTTGAGTTGCTCTTGGGTGTTTTACGTGTGGCTGATCTATCAAGGTATGGATCTAATGGTGTGTTAAAATCACCACCTATTATCAATTTCGTTAGTGATATATTGGGGATTAAACTGAACACTTTCTTAAAGAATGTTGGATTATCAGTGTTCGGTGCATACAAGTTAACTAGTGTTACTGACGTGTTTTGGATCTCTCCAGAGATAATGACTTAGCGACCTTCTTTATCAGTTATAGTTAGTTTATGTATAAAGGGCACCCCTCGCTTAATTAGTATGGCTGTGCCTCTTGATTTAGCAGAGAAGGATGAGTGGTACACTTCTTTTACCCATTTTGCTTTCAGTCTATTATGAGAATTATTCTTTAAATGAGTCTCTTGTAAGAAAATAATATCTGAATGTAGGGATTTTAAATGGTTCATAACTTTACCTCTTTTCACAGGGTTGTTTCCACCTCTTATGTTCCAACTAGTAAATGTCAATCCTCTTTTAGCACTTTGAGAATCTGTCATGTGACATATGGAAAAAGAAATGGAATATGAGTAAGAACATCATTCAGAAATCTGTAATAAGGCGATATTACTTCTACACTTGTATAAACAACAGGATTCTGGATTTTCAGGGCTGTGAACAGAATGAACAAAAAAGTAAACAACATAAATATAAACACCTCTGGCTAACACTAGGTAGCCTCAGGAAATGTCACTGGGAAGCGAGAAAGTAAAGCAATAAAAATAAAAAATAAACTAACTTCCCTGTTGAGTAACTTAACTTGCTAAGACTGTTACTCTCTGTGGGGGGTGGCCCGTCGAGTCTATAAAGTTACGGCCATTTGTAAACGAAAAATAAAACAAAGGGGATTACTCCTAACCTGGAGTTCGAAATAGTGATAAACAGCTTCATTAACATTATATTATAATATAGTAAACTTTCGTGGTTATAACAAAATACAGTAGAACTTGTTCCCAATAAAATACAGTAGAACTTGTTCTCAATAAAATACAGTATAACTTGTTTTTTTTTTTTTGTTTTTTTTTTTTATACAACTTTTATGTAGAAACGTCGTGCCCGAAGGCATTGACGGCTGGTTTCTTAAATATTAAAACATAGTATCAAAAATCAGCCTATGCTTGATGTCCCATAATTTGTTTTTGAAATTGTCCAAGGTGGGACAGTCCCACAGCTCGGGAGATTTGTTTAATAGCTTTGTTAAAAATAGGAATGGAGATCGGTCCAATGCTCGACTCGTGGGGAATTCTATGCCCGGGTGGACGAGTGTTTTATTCCGTGTTTGAATAGGAGTTCGTTTAATAATGGGACAAAAGGACTGGAGAGCCTTTGGGAGTAAACCACGTAACAGCTTGTAGCCATAGCACATCACTGCAAAGTTTCTTCTATGTTTTAAAGGAGCCAGTTTGAGTTCTTCATAATCCCCATCTGTAACTGGTTGTGTATAGGGGTAGTGTAGTATGATCCTGATGGCTCGGCGTTGGAGTTTTTCCAAGCGGTTAGTTTGTGTGACATTTAGCGCAGCCCAGACAGGTGACGCATACTCAAAGTGAGGTAGAATATAACATTTGTACAGTCTTGTTAGTAGATTTTTGTCTTTAACAGAGAGGGAGAGTCTACGAAGGAGGAACATTTGAGATGCCACCTTTCGGCAGGCGTGGTCGACTTGTTTGTCAAATTTTAGATCATTTGTAATCCAGAATCCTAAATGGAGATGTTCTTTAACCATTTCGACTGGACAGCCCATGAATTTAATGTCAATGTTTGTATTTTGCATTTTGGAGAGAAACATTGCTTTGGTTTTGCTTGGGTTAAATTGCATACCCCAAGTTTCAGCCCATTGGGCAATGTCCAGAAGATCTTGATTTACTTTCTCTACCATTAGAGGGAGTTGTTGGGATGCCACAAACAGTGTGGTGTCATCAGCATAAAGCAGACAATCGTTGACAGTGCCTGGCTTGCTTGATGACTGAATTTCACCAGGAATCAGATGTGAAAGATCATTCATGAACAGTACAAACAGAGTGGGAGCCAGAGTACTTCCTTGAGGCACACCTGAGTAGACAGGACGTATTTCTGAAAGAATGTTGTTAATTTTAACAGCCTGCTGTCTATCAGTGAGATAATTTACAATCCAACGGAAGAGTTTACCACGGATTCCATATGATGGAAGCTTTTGAATTATTGCAGGATGTGGTACGGTATCAAATGCAGCAGCTAGGTCTAGAAAAACAGCACAGCATGAGAATCTTTTCTCCATTAGTGATAGACATTTATGGTAGAGATAGCTTAACTGGTCAGTGGTGGAATGACGTGGTAGAAATCCAAATTGCGAAGCTGATATTAAGTTGTTCGTACACAGAAACTCCAACAGTTTTTTGTTGATAACCGACTCTAGTATTTTCCCCACGTTTGATGTTATTGAAATTGGCCGATAATTTTGCGGATCTGACCTGTTACCCTTGTTTTTGTAGATTGGTGTCACGTGTGCCGTTTTCCAGGCTTGGGGCATAACTCCAGTATCAATAGACTTTTTGAATAGAATGCACAGAGGAGGTGCTAAAGCTTCATGGCAGTTTCTCAAAACCAGGTTGGTTATTCCATCTGGACCAGTGGATTTTGAGGGATCAAGCGTGGCTAATGCCTTAGAAATGTCCATTTGATTGAGATGGATGTTGGAAAGAATTTTGGATGTATTCAGTGGTAGAGGTGGGAACGGGATGTTAGAGTTGGGCTTCTGTCCTTTAGACGTAAAATAGTTGTTAAGGAGTGTTGCTTTTGTAAGGTTACAAGATGCAGAAGCATCTGGTGTATTTATTATGGGGATGGCATCAGTTACTTTGGTACCAACATAAAGCTTTCTTGCCAGTTTGTGCCATTTTTTGGAAGTATTAGTCGAGTGCGCCATTTGTTCCATTGTTTTGTTAACATCCTTCTTTTTTGTTTCTTGCAGATATACTTTAAGTTTGTTGCGAGCGGTCCGATATAAGTTGTATGCCTGTGATGTTTTAGAAAGTGTATAGTCTTTCCAAGCTCTTGCTTTCTTTGATTTGAGTTCAGCATAGGTCTTATCGTGGCATAGTTTGTCTTCCGTGAGAGTATGAGGTAATGGTATTTTCTTAGCGCATACGTTCAAGAGCGAGAAATAGGTTGTAATGAAACTTTGCCAGTCTTTCTCGATAGAATCGCTGTCAAATAAAGATTTCCAGTCCACATTATTAAAGAGATCATTAAGTTCGGTCCAATTAGTTACATGATGAGTGAATCCAGTGGATAGAGTTGTACTACTGAGTTGATCATATTCATCTGGCAAAGAGATAAGTACAGTAGAATGATCCGATTTGCCAACAGGTGGTAGTGTTTTTTCAAATTTAATTAATGAAGGACTAATAGTGAGAGCTAGGTCTAGGCAGGATTGTGATGATGGGGTGATTCTGGTTGGGACATTAACAATTTGATCCATATTGAAGTCAGCCAAAAAATCATTAAGAAGTCGTCCCGCTTGATTAGTATGGTTGCAGAAGGGCCATGAGCTATGATGAGCATTAAAGTCACCTAGTAGAACTGGGATAGTGTTGAAGTCAAATTTGTATTCTGAAAGTTTGCCAGCCAAATGGGAGGTGAGATCATCTGCATTATTAGGTGGCCAGTATGCTGTACAAAACAGTATAGGAGTTTCTGTATTGAGAGTGAACCAAATTGTTTCAAAGGGTGATTCCTCCATATTGGCTTCTCTTTTTATAGGAATATTGGTTTTATAATATATCATGATTCCGCCTCCATTTCTCCCTCTATCTTTACGTATAAAGGCATAATTTAGTATACTTATTGCCACGTCTGGAACTGTTGAGGTCAGAAAAGTCTCTGTTAAGCTAAAAATTTGTATTTCAGGGTGTAATTGAAGAAAAGCAATCACCTCATCAAAATTGCTGATGAGACCTCGAATGTTGGTGCTAGCAACCTGCATTTTACAGAGGATGAGAAGACTGTCTGTCCAATATTAGAGATCGGCGTATAATACAGCCTTTTAAATTTGCCTTATGCGCCTTACCACAGTTTGCACATTTAGCAGGACTCATACAGTTTTTATCAGGGGCATGACTGTCACCACAGTTAATGCAGCGATGTTGTGATTTGCATGCGCTTGATACATGGTTAAATCTTTGACATTTGTAGCACTGAAGGGGTGGATTTATCCAGGGCTCTACTCGAAATATACTGAGACCGATATGGACACCATAGGATAAAATCCTACTCAGTTCATTTTTGTCCAGCAAGGTGATTTTAACACTTTGGAATCTGTTGATCGAGCCGGGTTTCATAAGGCTAATAACTTGCGTGGTACTTGGGTATTCAGTCGTGATTTCTGTTTCAATAGAATCAATGCTATATTCTGCAGGGATACCGCGGATCAATACTGATTCATTGCGCGATGAACGTTCAGCTGTCATGTGTCTCATAGTTGCATTTTCACCAAATACAGTGCGTAGGATACCTTCAATCTTAGGAAAGATAATGTCTCGAGCTGAAGCATCAATAGCCTCTAACAGTATCTTACCACTGCTGATGACTTTGGCGCTTGAGATGTCAGCTGTAATTGAGTCATTTGCGTTCTCCAATGCCTTTTTGAGCTCCAATGTATTTGCATATTTTGTAGGATTTATCATATGTTCGATAACAATTGTATGATCAGGATTCACAAGGCGCTGGGGGTGTGGCGAACTCCGGGGTAATTGAAGTTTTTCCATAGATCCATTCATAGTGTGTCGCTTTGCTATTTCCAAATAGGATGGCTTCGTAACAAGTTCGGCTGTGTGTTTTTTTTCCAAAGAGTTAACTTTCTGTATTAATTCGTGCTGGCTTTGACACGAGTTGTCGATTTTTTGGTTAAGTGCAGTTAGCATGGTCTCCACATTAATAGCTACCTGGAGTGACAGTAATGCAGGCACATCTAAGTTCATAATGGCATACATTGAATCGGAGAAGCAATAGATTGAGTCAGTGTCGTTTGCCTCGAAAAGTTGATGTTTAATTGCTGCCACTTTTCCGGAATGAGAGCATGTTTTACACATGTAGAGGCCAGGATTCTCGTGAATGACTGCGTCAAGTTGTTTCATCGATAATCCAGAGCATAGGTAGTGGATCCAATGCCGACAGTTGGAGCATTGTATTACAGTTCGATTTTCCGGAGTACTGCACCAGCACTTCTTATTTGGTGGGGGCATGATTGGAGTGAGTAGCGGGCTAGCTGGCAGCCAGCTAAGTAGCCGGCAGCGCTAGCCCTTTTCCTTCAGTGCTGGTTCTTACGGCAATAAGTTATGCGTTGTTCTCCAGAAAAGTTCGTCTGGGTGTTAGTCCAAGTAGGATCTGTTCACCGGCGCTGTTATGCCAAAGCCGTAATTTCCCGGTGGCTGCAGCTCCTGATCGAGTTGTTCTCGACTACTATACTGTATAGCGTTATCATACCAAACATCAATAACATAGTATGAGGTAGTAAAACAAAACAGAAAGTTCCTGAGCGATTGTCATTACTGTACTTCAATTCGGATCACATTGCTTCTACCATCTGGGGACGCGCCGAGCCCGTGAGACGTTCAGCATACTCCTCAGCCTTCTGTGGGTCGGTGAAGGATAGCTGGGAGCCGTTGTGTGTCACCAGGAGTCTTGCAGGGTAGAGCAGGCCATATCTGACGTCTGGTTGATTGCGTAGTACTTGTCTTGCTCTGTTGAATAGGGCCCTTCGCTTAACCACTGTGGGAGGGTAGTCGGGGAAGATTCGTATAGTTTTGCCTTGATATTGGAGGTTTTTAATCGTGGCCGCTTTGCGAAGGATCTCTTCCAAAACGTGATAGTGGTGAATGCGTATAACAAAGGGACGTGGGGGCTCAGATGGCCTCGGACGCTGTCGTAGAGTTCTGTGAGCTCTGTCAATCATCGGTTGTTCATTTTGTGCGAGGGCATCCTTCAGTAAAGTGGCAATAAAGTCCCTCGGTTTTGTCATACCTAAGCCCTCACAAATACCAGTGATCCTGATGTTATTCCTCCGCGAGTTTCCCTCCAGTTCTTCATTCTTTTGTTTGAGTGTAGCCACATCAGAATTTAGGCTAGCCACTTGTTGCTCGAGCTGGCTAATGCTATCAGAATGTGCGGTTGCGGCCCGTTCCATATCAGCTGCTTTGTCATGTAACTTCTGAGAATTAGCTTCGATGTTAGCTATGGATGCTTGGACGGAGTTGTTCGCCATTGTTATCTCTTGCCTCAAATCGTTATAAACGCGTTCAATGCGTCTGTCTACATTCGCACAAATGTCATCTTTCATTTTGGCCATTTCACCTTTGAGGGCTGTGATGGCCGCCAATACGGCTCGGTTAGAGGTATCTTCTTCGTCATCAGTGGATTCCTCGTGGGCGTCCATATCACGCGAGCTCGGTGTCTGGTCGGGGCCTACATGGGCTGTTTTCTGCTTCTTGCCTTTTCCTGGCATCGTGTTGAAATAACCAGTCAGAAGTGAAGCCTCGACGTTGTAGTGGTAGAGGCACTCCCCTTCGGTATAAATTACTTGCTTATTGGCCTTTGTATAAGTTTTTAAAGGATTTTGCGGACGGAGCTCTCACAAACACGTCCTACTCCTTCATCGCTCAGTGGCGCCCCCCCCCTACAATACAATATAATTCTTCAGTTTGAGTTTGGTTGTTTTCTCCCACAATATATTAAAAAATATTGACCTTTATTTACTTGAGTTTGTGGTAAACTATGCCATGTGACATCACAACATTGCAAAGAGTCTATAGTTTAAAATTGTGGTGGAGAGCAGCGGAAAAATCTTTGCTGGTAACTACAATGAGTGTCAGAGTCAGACTTCGAGTCTCTGTACTTCCGGGGGCCAATCCCCACAAAACAAAAACATTCACCAAGTTCTATATCTTCTTTGTCAGCACTTCTTAATAAGGATCTAATGGTTTTCTCATGAAGATGTCATAAAAACAAGATAGTGATAACAACAATATAAAAAAACAAAGAAAAAAAACATAGTATGCTTGACGTTGGCCAGTGGATAGAACTTTCAGACATAATATAAATATGGCAGATTTGTGAATCTTTTTCCACATTTCTTTCAATAAATATTTTTCTGCCCTCCAACTGAAATAGAAATCTAGAACATGAACTCAACCTTTGCATCAGTTCTAGATCTCTGCACTGCTTTCTGTACATTTCAAATTGCTATTTTATGGAAGCACAGCTTTCATATGTTTAAAACAAGTGTTATATTCTGATAAAATGATGAAAAATCCTCTCATATGTAGTTTACTCGGTGAAAAGTGTAGTGTGTAGTATTGTGTGAATGAGTGATGTCCGGTCTTGACCCTGTGCTGTCTGTCACTCACAGCAGACTTGTGCCGTTTGTCTGGAAGACTTCAAGGTCAAAGACGAGCTGGGGGTGTTACCATGCCAACACGCCTTTCACAGGAAGTGAGTATGATCGTCCCCCTGTAGGAACATAAACACGAGAGCTGTACTTAAAGTTTGTATAATACAAGTTTACATGAATGTAGTTTATTGTCTTTTTCTTACTTGTTTTAACTGTAGTTTATGACAACAGTTAAAACAGCCTCTTGTCAGTTTTAGAGGCCGCTGAAAAGTTCCCTTCTTGTGATTAAGTGTTTGATTATGACCAGGTGTCTGGTGAAGTGGCTGGAGGTGCGGTGTGTATGTCCCATGTGTAACAAGCCGATCGCAGGCCCCCCAGAGCAGCACCACAGCATAGGCACCCTGCTGGACGAACTGGTGTAATGCACATGTCTGCAGCCACCAACTCCACCAGCCACTGCTGCAGGATCAAGTCCAGGAAGGACAGTGGACACTTAGGTCGAAGGAAAACCAGCAAAAACAGACCATGCAAATAGTAAGATGGGGTAACCTAGTTACCACCTGGAGAAAGACTCTGAAGGATGCAGTTGCTTAGCAACAAAACAACACCTTGTGGTGTCTGAGATTATCTTGAGCCGCCCACACATCACTCCAGCCTCCCCCTCTCTCCCCTCTCCAGCCTCCCCCTCTTCACCTACTTCTTCATATCTCGTGTGCGTCTCCAGGCCAATGCAGAGGAAACGTGAGCCTCACAGTGCGACGAGAGAAAAGGGTTTTTGTTTGGGCATTAATGATGTTAATAAAGATGCTGCAGGACAGAAGGGAATTCTAATGCTACCTGAGACCTCGCCCTTTGTCTACTTATAACATTTTACTATGTATAACATTTCTAATGTACTAATACTTACAAATGCTCAGTCCTGTCAGCTGAAGTGAACAGGGTCCTGTTTTAAAGGGGTCCACACGTTCACACTGCAGCTGTCCAACATGTTTTTAACCCATGTGTCTGTCCCTAAACTCTGAACAAGTTTTCTATTCACCTCAGTTGAACACGTTTGACTTAACTCCTCCTGTGTTTCCTGTGTCTGTTGTTTCAACACCTTTTCAATTCACAAACAGGAGCACAGCCAGGCACCTCTTACTTTGGTCTATGTTTCATTCTGTGGGAGATCCAGGTACAAGTTTATAATGTTGTTTTGTGTTTTACTAATATCAGACAGGCAACTAAATTGTTCTTGCACACAACAGGTGTTCTAGAGTCCTCTATAGTTTTTTATTTTCATTTTTTCTAGTGACTCTGCAAAACACTGCCCAAATTGAGCACAAGGGTCACGAAGCACACGACACACGCCTGCACTGTATTTTCAAAAAGAGGCTGTGGATTTCACATCTTGTCAATTTGCCAAGAAAATATGTACTGTTGTTTTGTTGACAGCCGGAGCAGAGGACTTTTTTTGCTCACACATTCCACCTTTTGTAAAATTCAGGTAATTCATGTAAATATGTTCAAACAATAATAAAGTTGTCTGTTTTGCAACCTCGTTTTGAAGTATTGTGTGTTTGGTGCCACCATCTGGTTCAACTGGGATCAAAGAACAGCAGAATGAAGAACTGGGGACTTTCTTTTGACAATTGATCTCACAGTAGTTGTTGCTTTTCCCCACAGATACAGATACAATTCTGTCAGGTTTGGACTGATTGTGTGGTAGGTTTGATACTACTTAAAAAGCTCCTCCAACACACAGTTGAGAGAAAATCAACATAAGTGTGTGTTATCAAAATAATTTAAAAGTTTTTGTTTTTTTTGTCAAGCATGAAATAGCAATTGTATTATTTGTTCCATCGGCAAATGTTGATTTAGCCAAATGATAAATTTGTTTGAATTTTTTACAACGCAGTATTATACTCATCTATAAGTGCTCTGAGCTAAAGTTGCAATAGTTGTAAGCCTATGAAATTATCCTCTGGGAAGCTACTTTGAAGAGGGTGGCAGGCGACTGGTAGCTCCCGAGTTCAGGGTTGGAGACCCCTGACTTACAGTTTTTGATCAAATCATGAGATACCAACGGGTTTTCTTATTTGTTCATTTCATTAAGTTAGTATAGCCATGTCTAACCACAGTGCGACAGAGCCAACAAAACATCCTTATTTTCAATGTTTCTCAGTTTTAGTGCCTCAACAAGAAAATGTTTCCAGTGTGAGATAATTACCTACTGAATTCATGAAGAAATATTAAATGTAATAGGAATCGTAATTTAGTCAGTACAATTTCTGGTTATAGTTTTATACTTATAATAATACATTCATCCATCCATCCATCCATTTTCTTCCCCTTAATCCATTTCTGGGTCGGGGGGGTGGCAGTCAAAGATGCCACCCAGGTCTCAGAGCACCAGCCCCTCACTGATCCTCTGCAGGTGGTGAGTCCACAGGAGTATGGCTGCTTTGTCAATGTGAGCATAGCCTTGATCTCTCAGCAGGGTCTAATAAGTATTAGCCTAATAATACACTAATAATACATTCATTTATTTCAATTCAGTTTGGAGCGGTTATCTCGGATCTGTCGATTTGCCAACACAGATCAGAGAATCAAACTGTTCAAACACAGGAAATGCAATGATTAAAAAAACACATAGAGCCATTATGGTCTGCCCCTTATTGGTCCATAAGGGGCAGATGAACATGTCCATAAATATTAATAAATGTGCATAAATGGATCATCACCACTGTCCTTACACCCTCCTTCATTAATTATCAGTGGAAGCATATAATTGAATGTTGTTATTCAGAGGCAGAAAGAACAATATAACATTATTAGCCATTATGATATAATGCAGGTTTTACATATAATCCACTACACTATGCGATAGAAAAGTGTAAAATATTTATACTCCCATTTCGCTGGGACTGCTCGTTACATTTACTTTGGAACTAAAAGCCAATATTCTCACACTATTTTCTTTGTATTCTTGTATGGACTAAACAAGAAACACTTCAAATATTAATATGGCACTAAATAAATAACTGCACTGAATTATTGATAGTATTTGGCAACATGAATAAACATGTTTTCCAAATATGAGCTTGAGTTGCCACCGCTGCTGAACACATGTGAGAGAAAGTCCCATTTTAAACCTCGAGATCTCATTAAAACGCCCACGAACCCAGCGAGTTGGCGAGATCCGATGGGCACCAAACCATTTCCCCTCAACAGATTGCAGGTGGTGAAGAGCGTCTCTGGCTGATGCTTCCCTTACTCCTTCTGCCTTTTAATCAGGCTTGAAGCAAAAGCGAGAAACAGCCAAACGAAGAGCCACTAATGGAGAGAGCAAGGAACATAGACACGTAACGGAGAAACGCAAATGCAACGATCAAGTTTGAGAAGTTCTGCAAATTGGTGATACTTGTTGATTCAAAACAAATGAAGTTGTGGATGACAGCAGATGTAATGGTGAGATTATTTTGCATTTAGATTATTGTTCATTGGGATAAGAATTAAGATTTAAGAATTGTGATTATGCGACTCAAGCAATGTGTAAATAATACTAACTTTTTTAATGTTGAATACTTGTAACTAGCCATGTTGTCATTTTTTATATCTGTCTCTAGTTTTATTCAATGCTATGATGTGCTTTGATGGGATTCAGGCTTTAAAATTTCAGATTTACTATGTATTTGAAGTAAAGCTAGTATTTCTACATATTAAATAGTTTGGGGCTTCTAGGGATAACTACACATGCAGGAATAAACAATAGATTTGTTAGAAAATAAAGTGTATTAGGATGTATTAGCATAGGTACACTTTAAAAAGAGGCTATAAGATAACCATTAATAACAATATATGTATTTGTATTACACCACCAAGTACTATATACTTTTTGGCTGCTATAGAGAATATAGTTTTCCCCAATTCCTGGAGTCTAATTAGCCTCGTTTAAGAATTGAGAACATTTTACTAAATATTTAATACGGCTCTTTTTGCTTCTAGTTCTAGATATGTTTCTTTGTTTGTTCAAAAACTGCCTTGATCTAAGTGTAGTCCTGCTGGTGTGAACATATGAATATTTAATTTCCAGTTTCCTCACTTTCCCTCCCTCTCCGCCTCGCTCTCTCACACACACAGACACACACAAACACTGGATTTCCATGCATCTTGGGGACATCACATTAACTTCTATTCATTTTGATTCAAACCTTAATCATAGTCGATGTTTTTCAACTCTCAATTTAAACATAAAAGTATTCTCACTCATAAATAACGTTGATCTGTAATAATGTTTTATGTGAGACCTGTGATTTTTCCCAATTTAGGAAGGAAAATCCCTATGAATTTATAGTAAACGGAATGTAGTCCCACCATGTGATAAATAACACCAACACACACACATGCATATTGAGCTTGGGTGGACCTGGAAACATAGGCAGGTCTTTCATGAGATCAGCTCCTACCTGAGCCATAAAGAGCCATCTGTGCTGTGAATAAACTGATGATGACGCCCGCACGTACACACACACACACACACACACATACACACAAACAGTGCTAAGCTTGTTCCTGTCACTTCCCAGCGTGCGTGGCGTGGCTCCCTGAGTGAATTTAAGGTCAACTTTTCCAACTTTGCAATTTCTTACAAGGCGATCCCTGACATAGCAGCATGGAGGAGCAGACAGAGGAGCGCCGCTTCACGGACACAACATGAAGGACATGTCTGAGGAGGTTTGAGAGTCGTGTTATTGCATTCTTATGTTAGACATGTTCAGTTCCTTTGAAAAGCCTTTAGAGAAGAGGATGTTGGTGCAAATTCTGTGGTGTAGATGGAGAGGTGGCATGTCTCAGAGCAGAGGTGGCAAGTATTTTTACTTTTTCCTGTTATCTGAACTTTATTCAACAACACATTTTTCCGATAGCTATTCACTTTACTTACTTTTAATTAGTTACCAATCTTTTAAAAAAAAAATTCCGAAAAAAAAAAACACATAGACACAGACACACACACACACACACACACACATACACAGACACACACACAAACGCACACTCACTCACTCACACAGACACACACACAAACGCACACTCACTCACTCACTCACACACACACGCGCACTACTATTTGTACTGTCTAGTCTTTTGGAAAAAGTTTGTCCAATCGAAATGTATTCATTGTGGTTAGCCTTACTTCTAAATTCATTCCTTGTCGTTAGCTCTACTTCAAAGTTCAGATAACAGCTTGGTCAGAATATGAAACACTTTGACAACAGTATAACATTGAGAGTCAATTGTCTAACAAAAATGGATTTTAGTTTTTATTACTGAAGTACAACAAAAAGTGTTATTTTAGTAAAGGAATTACTTTTAATTTACTTCAAACTTGTACCTTTGCCTTTCCTCTTTCAGTGAGAGCGAATCCTTTTTCCAAGAGATTTTCATTAGTTTTAATAACACACTGTGGAAAATAAGCTTCATGGAAAAACAGTTGTATTTTCCATTAGAGCGGACCAAAATATTACAAATTGCGCCTTAAATAGAAAATACATCATGTGATCTGTAATAGGAGGACAATAAAAGAGTAATTTAGACATTAGTGATTCTCTGATGCCACTTCTCTCATGTTTTACTCACTAACTACTTCACACACTCTCATTTTAGGATCCTTTTTAGGGTACTACATAAGTTCTCCCTGGACCCCTTACACAGCCAAAGACTTGGATTTTGTTGGTGATCTGACAGTATGAACGCCTCACTGAATGTGGAAACAATTTTTTGTAGCCGACATGTTTTGACGGATCATTTAAAAGACCCGGACAAATAAAGCAACATGTTTAAGAGGTGGCTGCTGGCCCTGCTGGCTCGGGTCGGCCTCATCGTCCTGGGCCTGGGCTGCTGTCTGGCTCTGGCCTATTTTCTGGCCTGTAAACCTGACAGCACTCGTCACTCCTCCCTGTGGTCTGGAGGGAGTACTGCGTCCAAGGAGCGCTATCAGGCTCTGCTGCAGGAGAGGGAGGACTCTCACAAGCACTATGTGAACAGCCTGAACAAGCAGATCTCCGAGCTGAAGGAGGCCCTGGGCGAGAGGACGCAGCAGCTGCAGGAGGCTCTGGACAAGGCCAAAGTCAAAGGGATTCTGCCTCAGGGTCTGGAGAGTCTGAAGAAACGCCCGGCTCAGACCGACCTGAAGGTGAGGACTTTCAAACCACAAAAACTGTAACTATTACAGGTATGTCAAACTCAGGTCCGTGGGCCAAATCCGGGCCCAGAGACAATTCTTTGTGGCCCCTGAAGTGACTTTCAATTATCTTTATCGCAGTAACTTGCAGCGTTGATGGTAAGGGGATACTAAGGCATGTTTATTAAAAAGTATGTTTTATTTTAAAGCCTATTGTCTCAGGAAAACAACAATGTATTTGTATCGGTTGTAAAATGTTAAGTAAAATGTAATTAATTATAGTTACTTTTTTTCTTCACTCATGACAAATACACTTTAATTTTGAAATATGTTTAAAAAAATAAAAAACAAAAAATAAGTCCACTTTTTTACCAGCTCTTATGTTTTCATAATGTCTATTGTTTTCTATTTTCTACATTTATTTCAAACTCAATACTATAAAAACTATGCAATACCAATTTTGATACCAAATTTTATCAATGCTCTTTTTGGACAAACTGTAATTAGTAATACGGTTTTATGGGCCACAGGGTGTTACACCATTTCTTCTGATGTAGTTTAAAATGCATCTGAATAGGCTTAGATGTTCTCCTATTGTTGTAATTTACATGTCTATTTAGTATCTACACTTGCTCAAATTAGTATCAAGTTTTTAAACTAGTTTTTAACTTCTAGATACAGTATAGTTTTTTTCTATCACAATAGTTTTCACACTCATGTCATTTCGGCCTCTGCTCAGCTTTCTCAGAGGATCATAATAATAGAAATAGTGACTAACAGGGCTTTTTCTTACCTGTGTGACATGTTTTCTAAGGACAGCATGTGTTGGTATGATTTTTTCCACACCATTTTCATTTAATAAGACTCTTTCTGAGGCAAACAACATGTACTATTTATAAAGAAGAAATAGTACCCCAGCTTGAGTCTGTGTTTTCCTGCAGGAGTTCTTCCGGTCGCAGTTGAACCAAGCTGAGGTCCTCTCTGGGGTCAAAGTGTCCAGTGAATATGAAGTCATCCCCTACGACGCCTTTACACTGCAGAGGTAAGGCACATGAAGTAGTTATTATCATTATTCTGTCTGCTTTTAACCCCTAAAGAGGTCAGCCATCTCTGCCTTGTGCATGTCGTTGTTGTGTCCTTGGGCAAGACACTTCAGGTTTGACTTCATATCATTATCATAGGGTGTAGGCTTTAATGCCATTGCACATAAAGGTGTCAAATTGCTGATATTACTGGTTTAGTAAAGTAACAAAGTAACATTCTTCTGCTAAAAAGAATGACTGAAGACAAACTGGGCCATGGATGTTGTCTGCTATAGATGAAACTTGGGGAAAAGAAAGTGGGCTCGGGCGCTCCATTTCAGGCAGTTTAAAATTAAGATTAAGAGATACTTTATTTGTCCCACAGTGGGGAAATGTCAGTGTTGCAATAACTCTATACTAAATCAAATAAAATCTCTAAATTTATAGCATAATAAAAAATAAGCATAAAATCTCTAGTTTTAGCGTGATAAGGAAGTAAATAAAAAATCTCCAGCTTTAGCGCAACGAAGCAGCACGATAAGTAAATAGGTAAGTATAACATCTCTGACTTTAGCATACATCCTATGCTTAATGCTCTGTAAATAGTAATGTATGTTTGTATTTTTGTTTTTATGGACCCCGTTGAAAATGAGATGATTCGTCTCAAAGGGCTAACATTGGATACACTTAAATCTTAACATTTCCTCCTGTACATGTTAGGGTTATAGAGTGAAATTGCTCTGGGTTAAGGTTAAATCTCAAAACAGCCGTATGTTCTGTGCAATATTCATGTAATTATAAATACTATATGTGCTTACCCAGGGTGTACCAGCTGGAGACAGGGCTGACCAAGCACCCAGAGGAGCGTCCCGTGAGGAAAGACCGGCGTGACGAGCTGAACGGAGCCGTGGAGTCTGCTCTGCACGTGCTCAATGGACCTTTGCAGCACACGGACCCCAGCCGGAGGAAGACCACCTTCTCCCCCGCAGACTTCATACAGGGTACACAACACGGGCTGTTTAATCACATGTCAGAGCAGTGAAGACATGAGACAAAACCAAAGATATACAGAAAGAATATTTCTGCTGCATTTGTGTAGTTTAGTCGAGCAATGTGTGGTCTCTATACAACAGGGGTCTCCAATCTGTAGATCGGGTGCTACCAGTATCTCACCACCCCCTTCCAGGTAGCTCCCCAAAAAATTTAGAATTTAACACGACATTTTGAGTCATTTTGAGTCAGTATAAACATCGGGTTATGCAGATTGTGGAGATGCTTATCCACTGAAAAGTATTACCCACCTTGTATTTTTATCAACAAAAAAGAAACAAAGTTGGCGATTATTTCTGTTTGTAGATTGTTGTAGTAATAAAATGTTGTTAAACCTGACATAGGCACAATACCGTTGCTTCCTTGTGCGCAGGTCTGTCCCGCAGTGAGAGAGGCAGGGGCACAGTGTATGAGCTGGTCTTTAAAGGGGACTCTCCACGGGACTTCACGCAGCTGCTTCTTTTCCGGCCTTTCGCTCCTGTGCTCAAAGTCCGCAGTGACAGAGTGGACACGAGCCGCATCCTCGTCAACATCATCGTGCCCTTGTCCAAGAGGCTGGACACCTTCAGGCAATTCATGACCAACTTCAGGTACAAACATCCCTGAAGATAAGATAAGATAGACCAGAGGTGTCCAAACCAGTCCAGAAAGGGCCGCTGTGGCTGCAGGTTTTCTATCAGACCCAGAAAGAGCAGCACAGACTCCGCTCATTTCCTCAAGTGAGTTCAGTCTTAACCTGAAGATTTGATTAAATGGGCGGAGTCTACTCTGCTCCTGCTGGGTCTGATAGAAAACTTGGAGCCACAGCGGCCCTTTCTGGACCGGTTTGGACACCTCTGAGATAGACCTTTAATTGTCCCACAGTGGGGTCATTTCAATGTCATATGTCCAAACCATAACTATAATCAATAGGTGGCCATTTATACATGAAAAAGCCTGACCCTGGCTGATGTCTGAGGCCGAGCAGGGCAGGGCCTGGTTTGTGCTATGAAGGGAAATCTCTGGGAACACCAGGTGCCACAGTGGGGTGGCTCAGGGTATATAAAGTGCTAAAATGTCATTGTGTCCTTAAGCAAGACACTTAATGCAGAGTATGCAACATTTGAACTCTCTGGACAACTCAAAACGAACCATTTTGAACCGGCTTATTCATTTTAAATCTATATCATTCTGTATTTTTTATCGTTTGTGTGATGATTTTTATTCTATTGTAAGGGGTCCTTGGGTATCTTAAAAAGTGCCATAAAATATAATACATTATTAAAACGAGGCTGGTTTGTGCATGAATTGTGCAATAAATGTTGGTGGGTGGATGTGGAGATGGTTCAGAATCAGATACTTCTGTCCAGTTGTGGCTTCAGTAGAAGTAGTTTATCAACACCTTATATGTAAGGTGAATGAATATCCATCCATCCATCCATTTTCTACCCCTCAATCTATTTCTGGTTTTGCCACCCAAAAGGTGAATGAATAATGCTATATTATTATTATTATAAATATTATTAAACACGGCTCTATCTCAGTAGAGTCCAACATGCAAAAGAATATCACAGTGAATCACTAATTCAACATCTGCTGTATTCCAGACGGGTGTGTATCCAGCAGGACGGGCGTGTCCATCTCACTGTGGTTTACTTTGGACGGGACCAGATCCATCAGATTAAGGCCATCATAGACCAGACCACCAGGTGAGGGCATCAGGCACGCAGCATTCTATTGGGTGCCTCAAAAGTTCAGAGGTAGGCTATTTATTTGTACCTGTGAATGTTGACATATCGGATCTGTCAACATTGTCCGTGTGGAAAATAAATTAAACTACTATTGTTATCAAACATATTCAATTCAATTACATTTATTTTTGTATAGTCCTAAATCACAACAGTAGTTATCTCGGAGGACTTTACAAAATTCGCCGACACAGATCAGAAAATCAAACACAAGAAATGCATTGATATAAAACACACAGAGCCTGTGGTCCATAAGGGGCAGATGACCAATGTCCATGAATGTTGTTGAATGTCGAGTGTCCTGGATCATCTTTTGTGCGTACCTAGTGTGCACTAGGTACGCACAAAAGAAGTGTAAAAGAGATTTTCTATGCATGCCTATTTATTTATCATCACTCATTTGAATTATGAGCCAAAGCAAATGACTTACTGTTACTTACAAGGGCAATGAAAATAATGCTGATTCTGATCTTTTGTTGACATGATTTTTCTCTCACCTGTGATGTCATGTTGTCATTGCTGTGAACAGGGAGACCCGCTTCAGGAGTTTTACACTGATCCTTTTGAACGAGGAGTTTTCTCGGGGGCGGGGCTTAGAGGTGGGCGCCCGTGCGTGGAAGCGGACTCAGAACGTCCTGCTCTTCTTCTGCGATGTGGACATTCACTTCACCGCAGAGTTCCTCACGTCCTGTCGCCTAAACGCAGAGCCGGGTAAGATACAGCAAAACTAATATAATCATGGTGGCAATGCATTAAAGCTGGGGTACCTAACTTTTTCAGGTACCCCAGCTTTAATACAGTATTGTAAAAGTAAAATGCTGTGAACAAATCAGACCACAACATGCTGTCTTCACCTTCATAGAAAACATATGATCTTTTACACACTTGTACCTGTGAGTCACTTTTTAAAGCTTTGGGTTGAAAGTTGATTGGCTGAATGATGGCGGACATTTATTTCTGTAAAACCTGATCGAAAGTAGTGACAGAAGCCAAAAATTACATGCATTGGAAAACTATAGTGATAAAACTATAGTGTTTTGAGCCAGGAACATGAATTTTATAACAGTCACATTTTTGTGGCTTGAAAGTCCTTAAAAACGCCCGTCTGAAATTGGAGAAAATTCACTGCTGAGGTTGTCTAGTTTTGGTTTTGGGTATCTGATTTATTTGAATTACATGATAAGATAAGACAAGATACTCCTTTAATGTCTCTATAAGATAAATTTGTCTGGGGACAGGGGTTCACGTCCTTTACACCACATACATTTGCATACGGCACAGTAGACTGCAGTACAGACCAAAAGTTTGGACACACTTTCCCATTCAAAGAGTTTTTTATTTTCATGATTGTGAGAAAATTGTAGATTCACACTGAAGGCATTAAAACTATGAATTAACTCATGTGGAATTATGTACATACTAAAAACAAAACTGAAAAAAAACCAACCGAAAATGTGTCTTATATTCTAGGTTCTTCAAAGTAGCACCTTTGGCTCTGATTACTGCTTCACACACTCTTGGCATTAACTTGATGAGCGTCAAGAGGACCTGAAATGGTGTGAGTTCCCACAGATGCTTAGCACTTGTTGGCCCTTTTGCTTTCACTCTGTGGTCCAGCTCACCTCAAAATCATCTGGATTGGGTTCAGGTCCAAAACCATCTGGATTGGGTTCAGGTCTGGTGACTGGAGGCCAGGTCATCTGGCCCAGCACCCACCACTCTCTTTATTGGTCAAACAGCCCTTACACAGCCTGGGTGTGAATCTATAGTTAATAGTCATGAAAAGAAAGGAAACTCATTGAATGAGAAAGTGTGTCCAAACTTTTGGTCTGTACTGTAGTAGTAAGTAGTATTTGTAGTAGTAAACATAGGTGTTTCAATTTAAGTTTGAAATAAAGACAAACACATTATATGTTTCTTTCTCCAGGTAAAAAAGTCTACTACCCCGTCCTCTTCAGCCAGTACAACCCCTCCGTAATCTACAGTAACCTGACCCAGCCTCCTCCGCTCCAACAACAGCTGGTATATGACTCAACAGCAGAGATGGTCCGGTGCCATTACACAAAAGGAAATAACATGTAATTGTTTGCTCTGTGCCTAAGGTGATAGAAAAGGAATCTGGCTTCTGGAGAGATTTTGGATTTGGCATGACGTGTCAGTACAGGTCGGACTTTCTCAACATAGGTAACGGCATCTCCCTTTGATACTCAGAAGTGATGTACTGTTTCTAGGTTCTAGATTTTATCCTCAAATTCTCACTTTGAAGCCTGGATACTTAACGTTTTGTTTCAGAAATAGATTTTGTTTGCTCCGAAAGAAAGAGTTTTGTACTTCCTTCTGTCTGTAACTCTGCAACACTGACATTTCCCCACTGTGGGACAAAAAAAGGATCTATTAATCTTAAAGCATTATTTTGTATATCATGTTTTCTAAAGATAAAGACGGCATGATGTGATCGGCTGTCTTTATCATTAGTAAAACATCTTTAGCAGACTGTGAGTCACTATTTGACTATTTGGCTTCGGGCTGAGAGATGATTGACTGAGTGAGGGTGAGCCTCTTTTTTTCACTTTTCTGTCTGAAAACTATGATCTAAAGATTTGTCAGAGGCCAAAAATGCATTCATGTGAAAACTGGTTCTAACTAACAATAGAACCATTTATTTATTAGTTTGATAGCAGTCACTTATGCACCAGATTTTAGAGAGAGGAGTTAGATTGTGTTACATAGTTTCATTATTTTGTTTTGAAAGATAAGAACCTCAACTTTAAGGTAATTTCAATAACTAGTTGCACTAATTGCAATATTATATTTATGTAATAAGGCAATACCCTTTTTTGGTAACTCAACATCAGAACAACAGTATTCTCACAGACAGTTGTTACTACATGGTTCTCACCCAGTTACATGTGAAACAAGTGATTTCAATAAACAAAATACATGTTTATATCATGGCTCTATTATAATATTTATATATCCATTCAGTCTAATTTCTGGTCGCTAAGATTTTCCAAAGTCCATTTTGTTTTGTTTTGTTTGCCGTTAAAATTAATATGTATTTTCTCTCAATTTGTTGGTTTAAGTTAGGCACTCCAATTTAAATTCATGTATTCTACCCTTTATTCTATATCAGCAGTAGGATATAGAATAAATAAGTAATTAAATACATTAGGATAGAAAGCAGAGCAGTTTAAACAAATACATAATTGTTGACCTCAGACTTGTCTCCTGCAGGAGGCTTTGACCGCAGGATCACCGGCTGGGGGCTGGAGGACGTGCACTTGTACAGAAAGTATCTCCACAGTAAGCTGATGGTGATCCGAGCCCCGTCCCGCGGACTCTTCCACCTGTGGCACGAGAAGAAGTGCGCGGACCAGCTGCCCCAGGACAAGTTCACCATGTGTATGCAGACCAAGGCCCTGAGCGAGGCGTCTCATGGCCAGCTGGGGGCGCTTCTGTTCAGGCAACAGATAGAGGCCCATTCAAAGCTGCAAAAAGGGAAGAGCTGATGATGGTGGTGGTTGGAGCAGAGGTGGCAAAAATACTGGTCATAGGTACTTAAGTAAAAGTATAGATACTAGCATAACAATCAACTCTGGTAAAAAAATAAAATAAAATGAAAAAAGCAATACTCTACACAAGTACAAACTTTTTCATGTATTCAACAAGTATTTTGATAATCGATCAGATGGCCAAATATTTTTTTTATTAATCGATTAGTTTTTCAGATCCCCAAAAGGTCAGAAAATTTGGGATTTTTTTTGAATACTTATAGCTCAAGTGATGCCCCTGAAGACATTTTCAGAGAGATGATAAGTTACGGTTGGTAAAAATACTTTGTAAACATATATTTATTTTTAAATGATCTGAGTCATGCTCTTCTCAGCAGGTTTAAGTCTAATGTAAGGTTTAAAAAACAAACAATCAAACAAAAGAGGAAAAGAATAATGCATTTGTGCTAAGTGACTGACAATAAATGTTAGACTTTTAAAAGTATTTCCTTTGAAACACTTAAACAATATTATACTTTTGTAAAAATGGAGAAAGAAAAAGTATAATATGCAAAACATGAAGCACTTAAGCCGAATGGTTATCTGAACATAGAAGCATGGCTAACCACAATTCATTAATTAACAGAAGCATGACTAACCACTTCATACCCATCAGTTGCCTACCAGAGTCTAATCATGTTAAAATGTAAGGAATAAAAGTAATGTTTTTGACTAATAATACGTAGTCAAGTGAAGTACTAATGCTATTGTAGTACTAATAGTACAATACTTAAATAAAAATACTTAGTTACTTGCCACCTCTGGGTTGGAGGAGCAGGGAAATAGATACTGTGAAATAAGACGAACTGCAATGTTACATAAAAGTGTATATTATGTTGACAGGTCAATGTATTTTTATGACAGTTTATGTGTATATGTTATCAAATATCAAAGCTACTCCAGCTGGATAAAGCTGATTAATGTTTTTATTTTGTAAATAATATGTTGTTTCCCAGCCAAAAGAGCATCGTAAAAATAAAACGTTGCGAATAAATCAGGTACTGTGTTTGTATATCTTTTTTATAAAACATGTTTTATAAAAATATTATTTTGCATGCTTATAGGAAAGTCCTGTGAGTGGCACAGCTTTGGCTGATTGGCCTTTTCACTTTTCTGTTTGAAAAATCTAAGTTACTGTAATAAAAGTTACATCTTTTATTACAGTAACATTTTCCAGGGTTTAAGAGTTAGGTTCCCCAGCTTTAAGTCACTTTTGTATAATAATACCAAACGTGATTTTATCTAGTGGTTGTGGTATTTGACTTATGTTGGTATTATGTCCAGTCCAAGTGAAACACCCCTCTCTTGGAGGATCATGGTGGAGCCCAGCTAATTGCTTAGTTGGGTGCCCCTGGCATGCACTGGGATGGGCGCGCCTCCAGCCCAGCACCTCCACCAATCACCTTCCAAGAGAAGAAAAGAGACAAGTTAGGAACAGGGAAAAATAAACAAATAAATATTTCAAAATAAAACAGGAAGGATACACCTGTGGGTGAGGAGTGGGGACTACTCCTTCACAGTGACTTTAGACAATGTTTAAGTCAATCTAATCTACAGATCTAAACTCCATTCCTCTCTCCCGTGTGTGTGTCACACCTCAACAGGTCAAGATGCGAACACAACAGTGACATTCAGAGGTGATTACACCCAACACTTCCACCAGCTTCTCTTCTTTGTTTTCTTCTTCTTCTTGTTGTCCTGCTCATTCTGTATCTCTTCCTTGTTTTGGTCTTTGGTTTCTGCCTCCCTGCTAGCCTGTTGTAGACGAATTTTCAGGGCCTCGCACTTGGCTCTGGACTCTTTCAGTTTTTTTTTTGTCTCTCCAAGTTCACCCACATTCTTCAAGTTTTCAACTGCATCTTCAATGTGGTATCTCTCTGCATCGTCAAGCTGCTCCTCTAAATCCTGACTTGTTCTCTCGAGGTCCTGGATTCTCTGCTGCTGCTGGAGCGTCTTTGTCTTTGCAAGTTCAGATTCCAGCTTCATATTTCTAACTTCATCTTCTAAATGTTGCTGGTCTGCTTCGTCCAGTTGTTGTTGCAGACATACTATGGCGTCCTCTAAGTCCACACAATGATCCTTCAGATTAATGTTATTCTCTATGAGGTCTCCCACATAAGCGTTGTCCTCGTTTTAGATCTCTCACGCCAGATCCTTGTTCCCCTTTCCTTTTTCTTAAGCAGAAATTCGATGAGGGTGTCTCTTTGCTCCAAGAACTCCTTATGCTCATCTACTTTCCATTAGAAAGCATTTCTCTCTAGAACAGTCTGTGTAAGTTCCTGCTCTGTCAGTTTCTGCTGCTTCAGTTTGTTTTTCATTTTGATAACTTCAGCCTCAAGCTTCATTTCGAACCTCATCTTGCAATTGTTACTTGTTTGCTTCGTCCAGTTGGTCTCGCAGATATTCTTGGTCTTGCTTTAAGAATACACAGCGATTGTGAAGATCAATATTCTTATTCATGAGGGTTCCCACATAAAAGTTGACCCTGTTGCGGACCTCCCGAGCCAGATCCTTGGTCTCTGTGTCCTTTTTCTTGATCTTTCCCGAAGTCGATCAGGGCGTCTCTCTGCTCTATGAAAATCTCGAGTTCATTGACTAGTGTGTAATGCGTGAACTTCATTAATACATATAAAAGCAAAAATAAACTTTGAAACCATTCGATATTGTAAATATTTGTAGAGGGCCCCAGGAACATAAATTATAAAACAGTGTGTGACTGTTCTCTTTTGTTAAGTAACACAGCACGTCAACAAAAGCTTTTAAGAAATAGAAGTACAATTGAATCTGGTTGGTTTTTATTATGACTACATTTGGATTTCTTCAGCGCTGTCTTCTGTTGAGCTTTCTCCATCCCTCAGTCACTGGTTCTGGGCTCATCTGGACAAATCCAACCTTTTTCTCCCACTTTATTCTGGGCTGGGTCACAGAGGCAGCAGTCTGAGCAGAGTGGCCCAGACTCCCCTTTTCACGCACACCTCCTGCAGCTGGACGAGGCGTTCTCAGGCCAGCTCCAGACTCAGCTCCCTCCTCACAACAACAGTCCCATACAGAGGCAGCATCACTGCAGACGCTGCTCCTTCCCTCTCAGTGAACAAGACCAGAGACACTTGAACTCCACCACTGGAGGAAGGAGCTCTCAGCCACCTGGAGAGGGTATGACATCTTCCTCCAGTCCAGTTCCCTGGCCTTGTATTCAGAGGGGCTGAGTTTCATTAGATCCACTTCTCTCTCATCTGCAGATTTGTTTTCGTCACAGTTTCTACGTTCGGTTCACAGGTCCAACTCCTCCTCAGCGCCTGCAGTCACAATAAAACAGAAGAATGGTATTGTTGAAATCTTGAAGTATATCTTCATACACATTTGCTGGAGGTATTTTACTCTCACCTCTGTTGGAGCTTCTCCTAGTTCCGGCAGCTCTCAGCAGACATGGTTCTGGTCTTATCTACGCTGGTATACTGTGGGTTGTGGTCCGGTGCAGGGGGTGTGGCTCTCTGTGGTGCTGAGCGCTGGTGGAGGCCCCACTGCTCCGGGTGTCTTCTTCGACTGGCTCTGGGCCCCTACTCCTCTGACATCATAGTCTGCCAGGTGAAAAGGCACTGAAGAATATTATACAGGTCCAAGGCCACTTGCTCTTGTCTTTGGGTTTGGCATCTTTAAACATCCGTCTGCCATCTGACGACAAAGGGCCAGTTGAAAAGACCATTGAGTGTATTGTTGCTGGTTGGAGTATGCAGTACTGTGCCAAATCCCCTTTGAAAAGGTGCCTCCTCTCATTACCTCAAACGGTTCTTCTTGATGTGAAGGAGCAGTGGCTCTAGTCAAAAGGAAACTCACTTAGAGCCTTGTATCTGCTATTTTGTCTTTTGGGTCGTTCTCCAAAGCTCATGGTGGGAACATACACACAGCAGTAAATGCAGAGTTTTGCCTGTAGCCACTGCTCCCTCTCACGTCACAATTAAACAGCAGAATGATGCTGTTGTCATCTTGTTGTAAATCCTCATACAGTCGTCTAGAGACCTCCCACAGGTTTCCTTCCTGAATAAAAACCAATGTGTTCAGAAGAGCAGTTCAGAAGAGCAGCAGGACACAAACTGAGGGCCTCTCACTTGGGATGAGTCTGGTCTCTTTGTGGCAGGTTCCTCTCTTCCTCTGATGTGGACTGCAGCCTCCACACGCCACTCTCACAAGAAAAGATCCTACATTTGGTCCAATACAAGTTTGGTGCCACTTACATTCTAATGTGCAGATGCAGACTGAACACTCTCTGATATTGGCTTACCAATGTTTGATGTGTGTTCTTTGGACTATATGTGGCCAGAGCTGGAAGTACAGCAGTCATTGTAGTTGTAGAAAACCATGGCTTTTCCAACACTGAGCTTGAGTTCCTGAAATGAAAATTTGTTCCTTCTGCTCATGCAAGTTACAATATGTCTGCATTCAGCTATGGACCCTTAGAGTCCAGCTCACCAGACACGTGTCCATGTCATTGGTCCAGAGTCAGAATGGCCTCTCACTGTGTAGAGTCAGTGCAGTAGTGTGGATGATACCATGGACAGCTCCATCAGCGACACATCCATCTGAGAACAGTGGGAGAAGACTGAGCCTTTCATTCATAAGTTCACTACTTATTTGAAGATGACTCACCGGGACATGATGATGCAGCTGACTCCTGTCTCCAACTGGAACACAAATCTGGAAACAATCTGAAGACATCTTTGATAATGACTTTAATACAAACTCATGTGGTGACGTGTGTTTGTCTTCATAATGATAATAATAATGGATCGGTTTTAAATAGCGCTTTTTTGGACACTCAAAGACGCTTCACATGCCATTATTCATTCACTCCATACACGGTGGTGATAAACTACTACTACTACTGTAGCCACAGCTGCCCTGGGGCACACTGACAGAAGCGAGGCAACCAGTATGTGCCATCGGCCCCTCCGACCACCACCAACCATTCACACACACACCAGACTCATTCTAGGCAATGTGGGTGAAGTATCTTGCCTAAGGACACAACGGCAGTTTGGCACTTTACAGCCGCCCCACTGTGGCATCTGCTGTTACCAGAGGTTAAGTGTCTTGCCAAGGACACAACAGCAGCAGACATCAGTGGGAGTTGGTGGAGAAGGTCTTGTGGGGGGCTCGAACCCACAACCTTCATGCTCAAAGGCCAATGCTCTACCAACTGAGCTACTGTCGTACTTTATTCAAAATAATAAATTCACATTCACAAAATCCACATTGAGAAGAGCCAGTTGAGGTGGTTGAGACATCTGTTTCAGATGCCTCCTGGACGCTTCCCTGGGGAAGTGTTCAGAGCATGTCCATCCCGCGAGGAGACCCAGGGGAAGACCCAGGACACACTGTGGGGACTATGTCATTCAGCTGGCCTGGGAACGCCTCGGGATTCCCCCAGATGAACTGGAGGAAGTGTGGGCGTCTGTGTTTAGACAGCTGTTCTCGCAACCCAACAACGGATAAAGCAGAATTATTGGAAGGAGGAAGGATCACAGCACCAACCCAGATGGCGCTCAACCTCCTCTCCTGCTGATCCTGCTCAGCTCTAGAGCAGGGGTGGCCAAATGTTCAATCAGCGGCTAAAACTACATTGGTGCGCAGAGGGCCAAAGATAATTGGGTGTTGCACCAAAAGGAATAACTAAACTGTCCTTAACGATTGTTAGACTTGTTAGACTAGTTTTGACCAATGTCCTCAACCCTTCATAGCCCATATTAGACCCTCAGAGGGACCAATGTGGCCCACAGGCCCCAGCTTGGGCATCCCTGCTCTAGAGTGAACACAAGGTCAGGCGTACTATGCAGGAAACCACACTAGAGTAAACTTAAGCTCTCATTTCTTCCATTCTCAAATACTGTACAATCAAGTCACTGTGTCATTTTAGAGAGTGGGTTTTCTGTCAAAGTTGATCTGTGTCTAATACGTTCCTACATACTATTCCTGTCCTTTGATTTGAAAATGCACATCAAAGCAGTGGGTATCGCACCAGCAACCATCAATAAATCAATCAACAAACTTTATGTAAATAAAGTTTAAAGGGCTGGTTATTGGGCGACTCCCCAGAGGAGAAAGCAAGGAGTACTATGGAGGACAGAGTGAGGCTGAAGATTTCTGCTCAATGGAGGATCATCTGTGGACTTACTGCTCATGCTCTATGTGCTTCTGCTGTGGAGACTTGTCAGGATTTAGTTTATGGAAGTCCTACATAGTTTTCTTTGCCTTCTCCTCTTTTCAAACAAACTAGAACAAGGGTCTTAAGCCTGTTGTGCGGAGCGACCAGTGGCTCTCCAGCCCTTTCAAAGTGTCCTCTGATAGGCTTTATCTAAACATGTCTTTCATCAATCACTGTAACTACTCAGTATTAATCCTTTTGTGTTCTAATGAAGGAATACATGGTTTATGTTTGATACGTATATAAGGCTATATGTCAAAAGGCTGAAAACCCTTGTCCTAGGTGAATCTTTTTTTGTTTTTTTGTTTTTTGGCTTAATGGCAAAACTTTGCCCAATCAAGAAAGAAAAATGTCCAGAGGAGTAATGGGCTGCTGATGGTGGCGCGTGTGTCCCATGTGAAGCATTTTGTGACCTCCTCTCGTGTCACAGTGCTGTAGAAATAGGCGTGGCCTTTTCTCCTCCTCTCCTCCAGAGGCTGCTGTCTCCAGTCTCAGGCTGAGCTTCAGTCCTCGTCAGAGTCTTGGAGCAGGTGGAGCTGCTGGAGGAAGCGGACGAAGCCCCCGGACGTCCCGGCAGAGGTGGAGGGGGTGGGCTCCTCCTCGATGTCCTCAGAGTAGGAGAAGCGTGACCTCTTGGAGATGGGCTCTTCCTCTTCATTTTCATCCCTGTGGCGCCTGGACCCCCCTGGACGACGCTCCTCTTCAAAGACGGGACAGGGCACAGGGGAAAGGCTCGCTGCTCGCTGCTGAGGAACCTCCACAGCTGGAGCAGGAGGGTCCCACTGGGGCAGGTTGTCCCAGAAGTCCTCTGGAGGAAGACGCTGGTCGTCCTCTTCACCCTCCATGTCCTCGTCTTCCTCTTCACTCACGTCCTCCTCGGAGAGACTGTCGTAGCCAGAGTCTGCGTCGTCCCAGTCTTCCTCCTCCCCTTCATCCTCTTCATCAGAAGCCTGGTCCAAGCCTTGGCCACGCATGAGGAGAAAAGCCCTACCTACCTGCAACTCACCTGCGTCCTCCTCGTCTGACGAGTAGTCAGGGAGAGGGTCCTCTGGAGCGTCCAGGGGGTCCCGAGCCGCTGAAACATATTGACAACATCAACAATTTCCTCACACACTAAAGTCTTCTTGTTTTGTCAAAGTCATGAGTCAAACACAGCAGTCCACCTCTTCATGAAGACAAAAGAGCTGGAAAGCACCAGAGCAGTCTGGATCAGAGGACATTTTCTCTGCTCATAAAAAGCCCTAAGTTCTAAGTATTTGAGTGGACTATTAACGTACATTATCTAGACTTCGTGCACTAATAGCTGATCCCAGTGAGCTCAGTGTGCCTTCTCCAGCACTTTAGTGCATCTGACAGTATATAGTGCATCACTCTTACCACCGTCAATGAGAAACACTCAGATAAACCTGTGCACAGTCAGCATCTCCAGCTGGAGATGCTGACTGTGCACAGGTTTTTAGGAGTAAACCACTTCAATATCCTGTCCAGTTACTGTGACAGGTCGATGGGAAGGGCTCATGTGAAAGTTGATGATCATCTCCTTGGTCTTGGACGCATTGAGAATCAGTCCATTTCTCTTCCTCCAGTCTGAGAAGGCAGCCACAACCTCCCTGTACTCTGCTTCATCCCCCCCCCTTCACAAATGCCACAACAGCGGTATCGTCCGAGTATTTTTGTACATGGCATGTAGCAGCGTTGTGCGCAAAGTCTGTAGTGTAAATTGTGAAGAGGATGGGAGCCAGAACGGTACCCTGTGGTGCTCCCATATTGCTTACAACAGTCCTAGACACGCTCTTCCCTAACCTGATATACTGTGACCTCACAGTGAGGGAGTTGTAAATCCAGTTAGTAAAGATGGGATCAACTCCAATCTTCTCCAGTTTCTCCCTAAGTAATAGAGGTTGGATGGTGTTAAATGCACAAGAACATCAGCCTCACATAACCTCAGGGCCATCCTGGAAGTACACGGATGTGTCCAGTGGGTAGGGACACATCCAGTCTGAAGAGTCTTGTTAAAGATGGTATGGAGAGGCTCAGCTAACCCCGCTGCACATTCCGTTAGGAGCCTTGGCGTTATCCCATCAGGCCCAGCAGACTTCCTCCCCTGGAGCTTCTTTAGCTCCACCCGGACATCCTCCATGGTGAAGGACGCAGCAGCAGGGGTGGTGTAGCCGTCGGGAGGAGCAGGACAGGTAACAGCAGAGGTGGTGCAGCCGCCGGGAGGAGAAAGACTGGTCACAGCAGCAGACGTGGGGGAGCCGCCGGGAGGAGCAGGGCAGGTCACAGCAGAATTAGCGTGGACAGGGGAAGTGTCGAACCGGTTGTGAAAGTGGTTAATATCAGCATTCCCGGCTGCCTCACTGCCCTTCACTTTGTATCCAGTAATGGCCCTCATGCCCTTCCACACTTCCCGGGTGTCGTTATTCGGCAGTTTCTCCTCCAGACCATTATTGTACTCCCTCCTTGCCTGTCTGAGACTGCCTTAAAAGCCTGTTTCTATAGGTTCAAAGTGTTTTTGTTGTCACTTGTGATCCAAGGTTTGTTATTTGGAAAACAGCAGACTGTTTTCTTTGGCACTGCAACATCGGTACAGAAGTGGATGTAGTCAGTAACACTGTCCACAGCCTTGTTGATGTCCTCCCCTGAGCCCAGAAGTATTCCAGTTGGTAGTCTCAAAGCATCACTGGCCTCTGTTGTCCATTGTCTGAATGATCTACGGACTATGGGCATTCTCATCACATTTGGCCTATATATGGGCTTTAGACGAATCAGATTGTGATCAGACTTGCTGAGGGGGGGCATTGCCACTACACTATAGGCATTCTTCACATTCACGAGGCAAAGACCTAAGATGCTGTTGTGTCTTGTATGACAATCAAATGGCACTAACATGTCACTAATGTAGTTTGGTGTGAGTTCATGGTGAGACTTGTACACAAGCAGAGCTGTTTTAAAGAATAGTCTCTGAGCCACAGGAAACCAGTGCAGACACCTGAGGACCGGATTAATGTGATCATACTTCCTGGTTCTAGTCAGGAGTCAGGTCTCGAGCTGCTGCATTTTGTACAGTATATACTGCAGCTGTTTTACAGCCTGTTTGGAGAGACATGTGAGCAGGCCATTGCAGTAGTCTAACCCAGGGGTTCCCAAAGTTTTTAGCCCGCGACCCCCATCATAAATGCGCTGCTCCCCCGCGACCCCCCACCTCAACAGTCCTTCTCGTCAATGAGCATGTATTTCCTTGATACGGAGTAACGCAGAGACTCGCGCCACAACTGAGCTGCACTGTCCAGCCCAAAAAAGGAGGCTTGCGTATTTTTACTCACGTAGTGACACAGTGATGGGCTTGGTGGGCTCCCTCCTCAGCAGAAGTGGAGCGCATTTCTTGCGGCTCGCCCTCTCTGTTCTCATACCGCGGTAAAGTGGCCCGGCTTTTCGGAGTCAGCGGTAACAGGTCCGCACATAAAAAGCGGGCGGCCGCTTTCTGCTGTTACTTTATGCGCTTCATCCCCGCGGCTTCTTTTTCCAAAGTTACTGTAAGCAACAGCATAAAGCAGCCACCCGCTTTTAATGTGCGGACCTCTTTACCACTGACTCCGAAAAGCCGGGCCTCTTTTCACCCTCTTCTACCGCTGCCTTCTCTCCCTCCACTGCCCTTCTCTCCCTCCGCTCCCTCCACTGCCCTCTCTCCCTCTCTTCGCACCATCAGCCTGACCTCACATGTGACTTTTCTCCCCCTCCGGGTTTTTCTGTTGTGGCTATTAACCACGTTTCATTTTAAAGCAGGTATTATTTGTTTGAAGCCTCCAAACACCTTTAGTTTTAGCAAACAACAGCTGGACACGCTTTGTTGCTGCGTGACGTAAGCTGCGTAACTTGATTTTGATTGACGCTGTCAATGACTGGACAAAATTACAAACGTAATTTAAATATTTTATATTCTCCTAACACAATTTAACAAGTAGTCCTTTTGAATCAAATCAAATGCTAAATCAATATTTAAGGGCTATTAATTAGCAAAATGTTTTTTTTTTTTTTTGGAAATCATCTTGCGACCCCCCCCAGGGGTTCCCGCGACCCCCCGGGGGGTCGGGACCCCCACTTTGGGAACCACTGGTCTAACCTACTGGGGACAAATGCATGGATAAGAATCTCCAAGTCTGCTTTAGACACTATGTTTTTGATCCCGGCAAGGTAGTATAAAAGCTGCTGATCTTACTGATTTGATGTGGCTATTAAAAGTCTGAGTCCAAATTTAAAGCTGCACTAACTGACTTAATTTTTGTATTCATTACGAAAATGCTATCCATGTCCATGTAATGCATTGGTATATACGTCCTTTTGAAGAAAAAGTAGCGCAGGGTTGTGCTGGCGTGTCATTATATTTTAGATCGAGTTTTGATGAAACAAGGAATAGAATGTGTTTCGGGACCAGATTGTGACCAATCACAGTGGACCACTAGCCCCCACTTTCGTGAGAAATCTATAGGTCCGTTAGCACAGACAGCTGAGTTAGCACAACAAGTGGCGGAGCTAACCTGTGGCTTCCGTGTCTTCGTCACCGGTTACTGCTTACACAGCGAGACAGCCATCCAAAAGAAAGTCTTGTTCCTCCGCGCTTCCCGGTTCTATCATTCTGTGGTCACGCCATCCACGTGCAAATCCATATCCATGAATCTATCCATATTGGGAGACGCTAGCTCCGTAAACAACAGTGGGTGTGCGGTAGCGGGGGTCGATTGCTTCATGGGTGCGGGGAGGGGAGCAGAAAGAGCGAGACCAGTGAGTCCGCTGCTTCAAAATCCCAAAGTCAGTTAGTGCAGCTTTAAGTCTGAGTTTTAAGGAGAGGGACTGGAGGTGAAAGATCATGCTCTCTCTTTGTTTCTGGGGACAATAATTTGGTTTTGTCAGTGTTTAGCTAAAGGAAGTTGTTTTGCATTCACTCACTGATCTGTTGGATACAGCGAAGGAGTGAGTCCATGGTCCATGTTCAGACAGTGAGACATAGATCTGAGTGTTGTATGCATAGTGGCGATAGGACACTTCGTTTCTGATTAACTGACCTAACGGCAGCATGTAGAGATTGAAAAGAAGAGGTCCCAGGATCGACCCCTGTGGTACTCCACAGGGGGTACATTTTAATTGAATCATTATTCAAGTACAGTCCCCCCCATATATTGTCTTACTGTTGAAACTGTGTAAAATGTTACAATGGCTGACAATATTAAATATACTTCTTTAGGAATGAAACATCTGACTTGTTTTTGATGAATACTTAGCCTTACTACACTGCTGTATACATAGTTCCCACATGACGTCACTACATACGGGGATTTGCCGACCCGGCGCCATTTGTCTTGGCATGCTGTGGGCAAAACAATAGAAAAAGAAGCTGAAACGTGTTAATGTCGTGATAAAGTTGAAAATGGTCATCTCCTGCTGGGTCAATGGATGTTCAAATCGTGCCGGAGGTTCCGTTAAACTTGGATTTTACAGTATACCCATCATTAGACTTCATGAATGTGAGAAGACTAAGCTTTTGTCAGAACAACCACGGAGGTTATGGCTTGCGAAGATAAACAGGCAAGAAACTCCCTCAAAACACGCAAGAATATGCTCGGAGCACTTTGTGTCAGGTGCGTATCGTATCTTATAATGTGTTGACAGACGTAATTTACTCAGTACTAACTTGTGTATGCTGATATCTGGTAACTTGAGAGTTTCATTATTTAGATTACTTTATTATGAGGAGGATCGGTGTCGCGTCCGAGGCTCTCGAGGGCAACGTAAATGTATTAAATAGATAATAATAGTTCTATGGTGGGCTAAAACAATGTTCACAAACAGCATTGCTTCTGTAAAAAGATCTGTGTCATAAAATAAACTGCTCTTTACGCCTGGAAAAATTAGTTGCCCACCATTCACCAAAACATACGGTCAAAAACGCGGAAATAAACAATAACAGCAATCCAGAGTGTCCGTGTGGCATTAGCATTAATTAAATTAATTGTTAATATAATTAAAATAATTAAATGGAGCTCCAACTGGTATTAAATCTAAAGTTTTTGAGAAATGTTTGCATTGCTTGTTAATTTTTGCTGCATAATTTGATCAAATATGTAAAACATGTTCGTAGCACGTTAAACTGTGGTGCCATTGTATTAATATACAATTATTTGCTCAAAAGTTGCCCTTTTTTTCCAATTTGCGTTTGAATATCTACATTTATTCTCATTCTTCTGTTTAATGGAATGCACAAACACAGCAGCGTGCCATCAAAGATGGCGTCTCCGAGGAGGTCATGTGACATTCATTGTTCTGTGGGAACTATGTATAGTGTTGGTCATTTGTGGTGGTACTTGGAGAGGAAAGTATTTTCTGAGGTGGTACTTGGTGTAAAAAGTTTGAGAACCACTGCTCCAGTCTATGTATGAGGATCTCATGGTCGACAGTGTCAAAAGCCACACTCAGATATATCAAGATTAAGGCTTTGCCTGCGACAGTGTTCAGACGGCCGTGTAGTGGCCAACGTGTACCTGTGCCACTGAGATGTTCCCAAACACCGGTCGTTGACACGCTTCAAATGGCTTTTCTGTCAGCTTTGACCACTGCGTAAGTCCACTAATTCATTTTTATAGATAAAAATCAACGTTTATTCATGTATCTTGCAAGACAACAAAACTCCATAAAAGTAGCGGTCAAAAACCATTCCCCTCTACCTGATGCCCCCCCCCCCTCATGGAAAACACTTAAAATATACCTTGCTACTGTATAACCCTATATTTATACTTATAATACGTAATGACTCAAAAGTGAATCATTCAAGGTCATGTGTTAAATTCTAAGTCCTTTGGAGAGCTACCTGAAAGGGGCTGGCGAGCTGCTGGTTGGAGACCCCTGGTCTTTATGTAGTCATTATTTTTCTTTTCTATGTTTTTACCTAACTAATATTCTAATTTAGCATTTTCTGTTGCTTGGGAACAATCTTTCAAGATTCTGAACTGGTTCTGGACCCTAGTAAACCTACCTGCCTTTTAACGTGGAAGTATAACTTAGGACTATTGTTCTGGTTCCATTATTGTGACTCAACCCAGCTCTTTCCCCTCTAACGTGCTGTACAAACTAGAAAATTCTAGCTTTATTTGTCAGAAAAATTCCACAGTGAGGTGCCGCCTCCATAAATAGCGAAAAGCTGAGGCGTTCTGTGGGCGGAGCTTCACAACCACGCGATAGGACCATGCGAGACCAATGTGCCTGTTTTCCATAAACATGAGTGGCCTTCATGTACGACTAGGAATTAATAGTCTTTTCTACATCAATTCCAAAACAGTACTCATCACACTCATAAAGAGGTTAGATTTTCTTCTAAAAAACCTGAATGTAGAATTATTATATCTATATATTATCCTGTCATGGTATTGTGATTAGCATTATTAATCAATTCATGTGCATACATTTAATATTTACAGTCTATGGTGTAAATTACAGAGCACATAATTTATTTACACACGCGTTTTGTTTAAATAAGCTATAGTATAGTAAAATATATATATTATATATAACTGTGTAAAAATAAAGTGGTGTGTAAAGCGTAGACTTCATCAATACATGTAAGAGCAAATCTAAACATTGAAATGATTGGCTAAGTGAAGTCGAGTATATTTTTCCTGCACTCCGCGAATGCAGCATTAAGCCCACCTAACTATGCTTACTCAGTCTGTCTCGGTCTGTCTACTTGGAGCGCAGTTTCCACAACATTCTCACGTTTGGATTATGAGCGGAAGTATCCGGCTCTTTTTATGATGGATTTTGAGACATTAAACGGGTGAGAAGTCCCTCGTCTGTGCTCGTGTTCTAGCCCCGTAGACATAGCTTAGTTTTGGATGTTTTTGTGACTTGAATTGGTTCGTATAGCGCTACGTCTTGTGTTGTGCGTGGGACATCCCCTCTCCTTTTACTCCAGTCCGGTTAGTGCAATGACTCCGCTGCTGTGTTTGACTCTTCTGCTGGAATAGTGAGACATGTGCGCCAGATAGACAGCGCCTGATCTCGCCCAAACCCACCCGGAGGACCCTCACCCGAAACGACAGCCGCAGAAGGATCGTTTTTACCCGACCACAACAGCCGAGAAAGAAGGGACTCCACGAGATGTTTGAAGCTTCCGGGGTCCCGCTTGTCCTGCTGGATGTGGGCTGTCTTGTTCTGGGTAAGCTATTGCCAGTGCTAAGCTTATCAAAAAGTGCCGCAGACATAAGTTATTTCTGTACTATTAAGGTCAATAGTAAACTCTCTAAAATCCTGCTTTTTCATTTCAGTTAATTTATTTATGTACTGTCCAAAATCAAAAACAGTAGTCATGTTTTCCATTTCGTCCCAGAGAAAGCTTACCAATCCTAGTGTAATATATTTTTTTTAACATGAATGGGAGAATTGGTCAATTTTTTTTGTCTGTTTGTCTATTTGACCAATGTTGATATTCCTTGGATATGTGACTTAAACTTTTTATGCTTTGCTCCAGTGAAGTTACATTGTATATTATGACAACAAAGGACCCTCATATCAAACCCAAGCCTGACCTCAACCAAATCAACTGTTCGTAACCCTAACCTGGTTATGACTCTTCACAATTTAAAGCAAGAAATGCCAACAAAACTGGAATATTTCTTTTTGCCTGGGGTGACATTCCATGTTTTTGTGAGTCCCCTATGGAATGCACTCAGAGGTAAAATTGGTACATAAAAATCATGCAATAAAATGGTTGCGTAACCTTTAGGACTTTGTACCTCAAGCTTATATATAGTGATACAGTGATAGTCAGCATTAATAGGTACCAGGGAATGTTGTGACAAGTTGCCCCATACACAATGTTCAAATGGTCCCTACTTTGATTAGTCAGTGCTTTGTGGTTGCTGACTCCTTATGTGTCTGTGGGCATGGTAACAAATGCAAAGTTGTCTAGTTGTTAGTTTCCATCAGATTTTGTTTGGTATTTTGTGTATCCTTCCAAAATATATGATAATGGCTAACCACTATCTTGTCGAACACATGAAAAACCTGTTTGTTTACTGAAGAACGGTTGAGCTTTATAAAGAAGCTTTCAATATCCTACCCGCCTAAAATATCATATTATTTGCATTGAAAATGTTTCAGGCCAACCCCCTTTTAAGCCCTTGCGCAAAGAATTGAGACTCTATTGTGTAACTTTAAACCTGTATGTCCCAAAGGGGTTCAGCCTCCTTTACAAACAGCACCTGTGTCTCAACATTTATACAAAAAAGTTCAATTGCATATGTTTTTAAGGCATCCTTTGAATCTATAAACTTAACCATGCTATAATAAGTACTTTTTATTGACAGTTGGACTACCCTTTGCTATCCTCACACCTCGGCACAGCCCCTTCAAGCGAGGATTCTTCTGCAATGACGACTCTATCCGATATCCACTCAAAGATGACACTATATCATACCAGCTGCTTGGGGGAGTAATGATCCCATTTTCATTGATAGTGGTAAGTCATATTCTATTAAATTTTTATCTCTAAATGTTCATCATGTCAGTATTTTGGTGGAGGGACTGGAACTTGCCTCATAGATGTGTTATTGGCCTACTACAACAGAACAATATTAAACTTGAAATAAATATTTGCAGGATTTCTAATATGATAAACAGGTAGTCACAATGAGTCATATATATATATATATTTTTTAAACCAATAACTTCATAAAACAAATGCAAAAGAGACAAGAAGGTGTCAGAAGTGGATGACACAAGTCTAACCACTCCCTTGACATTTACAATCTGTTTTATTCACAATCCCTGTCCTGTGTACAGCTTGTGTGCGGTGAGTGCCTTTCTGTTTACCTGTCCCGCAACAAGAACCAGTCTTCAGGGACCAGATATGTGGCGTGTGTCTATAAAGCCATCGGGAGTTATGTCTTCGGAGCTGCAGCTAGCCAATCGCTGACAGATGTAGCCAAATACTCCATTGGACGATTGCGGCCCCACTTCCTGGCTGTATGCAAACCGCCCTGGGACAAGATCAACTGTAAAGCCGGGGGTTACGTGGAAAACTTCACCTGTGCCGGAGATCCTTTTCTGGTAGATGAAGCCAGGTATTGAAATTAATAATGGGACACCTCACTTTATGATGACTGAAAAATGATCCGCCTGGAATTTGTTTGCACCAACACAGAATTTTTTTATTTTTAAAGCTGATTTAAAGAAGTGAGAGAGGCCTACATATGTGAAAACGTTAGAGTGAGGAAGCTATTAGATCGGCCCTGATTGTTAGTTTTTGTGGACAACTTCCCCTTTTGAGTGGTTACAGTTGTACTATAAACCAGTACGTCCCAATTTTTACAGCTGTCATTAATTATTATTATTGGCCGTGAAGATGGGGCGACAGTAGCTCAGTTGGTAGAGCATTGGCCTTAAGGCCAGAAGGTTGTGGGTTCAATTCCCACCTCTCCACCGACTCACACTGATGACTGCTGTCGTTGTGTCCTTGGGCAAGACACTTAACCCCACTTTGCCCAAAAGCCCCCACTGAAAGATCAAGGCTATGCACTCACTCAGAGAGCAGCCGCCCTCCTGTGGACTCACCACCTGCAGGAGGATCAGTGAGGGGCTGGTGCTATGAGACTTGGGTGGCATCTCTGACTGCCACCCCCCTGACCCAGAAATGGATTAAAGGGTAGAAAATGGATGGATGGATGGATGGATGGCCGTGAAGATTGTTAGGGCATCAAAAATCAATGCTTGAGTTGTAAAATAGGATGGTATATGGATACATTTTGAAATTCTTTCCACAAGATCCTGTCTTTATCTTATTAGAAAACATGTTATCTTTTGAATACTAGCAAGAAAAATCCCTGGGAGTCACTATTTGACGCGTTGGGTTTTTCCTGTATGAAAAAGTTGGTATAAAGAATTCTTGTATTCTCTCTATCATGTACAGGCAATGGTAGATATTGCTGGTACCTTACCATGATAATTAGTTTCAGGGCTTTGGTAAGTTACAAGTAAACAGGAACTTGTTTGATAATGATATTTACACAATACTTGTTAGTAGTGTTGTAGCCACAGGTGCTCTGTGGTAGACTGGTGAAATCTAAGATCAACTGGACTGTGTCTCCCTGCGACCACCCCCAATGACTCATTTTACATACATTCCACATTCATACTGGACAAAGAGGGCAAAATGTCTTGCCAAAGGACACAATAGTAACTTCACTATTTAAGCACAATACAGAGACCAGTCATCCTGATTGAATATACTTACTCACGCCTTCATTCCACACACATACACTTTGGAACAGTTTAAATGCATTTGTTTTTGTGAATTGTATTTTAAGGTTGTAAACACAGCAAGCTACTTAGGAAACTGATTTTACGGTTTTCTATATGATGTTCATTCAAGATTACACATGCATAGCCATTAAATGTGCAAGTCTGCATTTTTGTAGCCAAGGAAAACCGCCACAGTGACTAAGCTTTGACTAAGCTCTGACAAAGAATAAAGTTATTCAAAATTGTCTAAATTATGTAATTTTGGTCTATTGCAGGCTTTCCTTTTACTCTGGGCATTCCTCTTTTTCCATGTACTGCATGATGTTTCTTGTTGTAAGTATTTTTTCACATTTCCATCTTACTAATGTACTATGTATAATTACCTGTGCAAATCTTATTGTGTGTTTATCTCATGTAGTTATACGTTCAAGCTCGACTGAAATCAAACTGGGCCAGGCTCCTACGTCCCACATGTCAGTTTTTTCTGATTGTGACTGCGGTTTACGTGGGCCTGTCCCGAGTGTCTGACTACAAGCACCACTGGAGTGACGTGTTGGCTGGACTCCTGCAGGGAGGACTAGTGGCCATTTTGATTGTAAGTGAAGTTTTGTAAAAGTTAACGTGTCTCCACTAGTTTTCATAGCATTCGCATGGTTTTATTTCCGGGAAAAATACACAAGTTTCCATAAGCGTCTGCCGCATTGAAAATGTATGTTTACTTTGTCCGATAACATAAGATCAGATAAGAGAACCTTTATTTGTCCCACAGTGGGGAAATTTCAATGTTGCAGCGCACATACAGTGCTTCAATATTAATACATCAATATATCTCTAGATCTCGTGCAAACCTATATACATATAGGACAGGAACTATAATGTCAAGTGGAAAATCACTGACTTCTGCATGCTGGCGTAATGACCAGTGTAATGACTCTCGTTGAGTTTTAAGTCTCTTTATTGGTTGAGGCAGCCGTCTGAGTCGGCCAGACTTCCCTATCCTTTCACATCTCCAGCTTATCCCAGCACGATCCAAGGCCATCTGAGAGGTGTAGTCTTCCCAGGAACACTTCCACACTGAAGTGTCCAGTGGCTCTACTTTGAGCTCCTCACTCTATTTTTAAGGGAACGCCACACTCGCTTCAACCAATGGGATTGATTCGATTGATTTCAGTTGGTAATTTTTCTGACGCTAAAATATTTAGATATAAATAGGAGTATTTTTTTCTCCCATTAACACTTTCTATTCTATGAAAAATGCAGAAGTAACTACTGTACTGTACAAAGACCAACCTTTTCAGTTCGACATTCAATATACAACGCTTCCCAAATTATAGCAACAGAAAAAGTGAACGCCTACAAGATTATACCCTCTGTTAGCAGTATGTGGAGCAGACAATCATAAGAAACAATATTGTGAATGTAGTAATTAAATTTAAAATATGCATGTTATGATTCTGTATTCTTCATGATTTCACATATGACCATAAACCACAACAAATGTATAAAGACCTGTTTTAGTAATTCTAATGGGAAAACATAATATTGTTATGCGCTCACTTCTTATCAATACAGAGGAATCCATTCTGTGCTCACTTCTACCTTCTATTGTTATTATTATTCCTTGTTTTTCTGCAGGTTTTCTGTGTGACAAACTTCTTTGAGCAGCCCATTAAACCAGTGGTGTCACAGGAGGAGGAGGAGGCCCGGCAAACCAGCTTACAAGAAAACCCATTGCGAGAAAACCACTACGGAAGCACGGACTGAAGAGCAAACATGTTTTTCTCTCCAAAGAACTCTGTTTGCCTTTAGCTGCTACAAGCCCACGGCAGGCGACCAAACTTTGCACTAAGTCATTAATTTTTATTATGTTTTGTGTGTAAATGTTGCTTTTTTTGCTAAATGAAAACCCATTCTGATTTATATTTGATGTGCTGACAAATGCTGAGTTTGTAACTTTTGGATTTCCTGCAGCGGATGTACAGTGAGCTTGTGTAATGCTGCCATCATGAATGAATGAATTCTTTTTGCATGGTCCATAATGAGCATCTGTGCGTTTGACCAGTGGAACCCTGTAGAACCTGTGAAAACGATTTTTTCTGTACTCAAAGACTAAGACGGAACTCAGACATAATTTATTTTGCCTTCGACTAATAAATTGCTGCATTTCGGAGCAGTTGAATTATGTTTTTTTATTGTAAATATAATTGTAATTTCTTTTTTACTGTGTGTATACAAACCTTGTATTCATCTGAACAATACAAAGTAATTTAAAGAGTGGATTTTCATTTTACATTATTAATGGCATCAGTTTTATATAGGGCTTTTCAGGACACTCAGATGCTTCACATGTCAGTACTCTTTCACTCTATTCACGGTGGTGATAATCTATTGTAGCCACAGCTGCCCTGGGGAACAGAGAATCGAGGCAACCAGTCTGTACTTTTTCAGCCCTCCGACCACCACCAGCCATTCATGTACACACCAGATTCATTCCAGGCAATGTGGGTGAAGTCTTTCCTAAGCAACAGTTTGGCAGCTGGTGTTTCCATTGGTCTCCCATCACAATACTAACCAGGCCCTGCCCTGCCCTGCATAGCTTGAGATCTGACAGGATCTGGCTTTTACTAATATGGTCGTACTTCCTGGTTCCAGTCAGGACTCGAGCTGCTGCATTTGGAATGTACTGCAGCTGTTTTACAGCCTGTTTGGACAGACCTGTGAGCAGGCCATTGCAGTAGTCTAACCTACTGGAGACAAATGCATGGATAAGAATCTCCAAGTCTGCTTTAGACACTATGTTTTTGATCCTGGTAATGTTTAGATGGTAAAAAGCTGCTGATGTTACTGATTTAATGTGGCTATTAAAATTTAAGTCTGATTCAAGTATTACCCCTAGATTTCTGACCATGTCATGACCTGTTTTAATCCATTGTGCCTTGTAATAGAGCATTGTGAAAAATAAGGAAGTCCTTCGCACATTTACTTTCATTGTTGGCAAACCTTTAAAACCTACGTAGGTTTTAAAGGTTTGCCAACAATTTGTTTTCTGTTGACGTCAAGCAGAAAGTTATGTAATCTGCAATATCTCATTACTGCAAACAAATGTCCTAATTGTTTTATTTTTGTTCTACTTGTTATATCTTAAACTACTTGACACCTTCACCCATGTAAACATTACAAGGACAGGTTATTCTTCCCAACCGACAGGTGCCACCAAGGCCAAAGGCTTAAGGTTACAATCCTATTATACATGGGACCTGAAAGAGCAAGGCAAGAGATTCACAGCCTCAGATTTTTAAGGTAAGCAACAAGTGCCCACAAAAAGTAACTTCCAGAAAAGTTTATTTGAAAGATTTTGTACTTTCAACAATGACAATATGACCCTTTGTTTTCTGAAGTCAGGCGATAAGCCTGAGGTAATTTAATATGGAGGACAGGGGTTCATTTTCTGCGAATATTGTGGACCAGGATATGGAGGAACATTGGATTAACCCGATTAAAATCATCCAATTTGGAAGATTTTTTCTATGTACAAAACAAATGGAGCAAATTCTCAGGTGACTGGCATTTATTTTGAAAGATTGAATCCTGTGGGTAATTTAATAGCTTGATCATGATTTTTCTTCCAAAATATAAAATCCTCATTCAAAACCCAGTGTTCTGGCAGTTTTCCCAGTCCAGTTTGTGTGTTACTGACCTCCACAATGGCCATTCACTGCTGCCCCTTGTCACATGACATCACTGTAGACTCCTTTTAATAGATTAAACTGGGCTACAAGATTTATAAACTGATATACAGATTATAATTACTTGATCAGCAGTCTCAACTTTAGAGTAGAACATGGATTGAGTAAAAATAGAATGGACCTTGAACTAAAATTGCTCTTTGGAACAAGTCAAAGTGACATGGCTAAACTAGTCTGTTCAGCTAGTAAAACTCCCTTTAGCGTTAGGGTCACTGATATACAATATTACACATTTTATTCCCCCTTGTGTATATGTTAGCATTTTAATTCTGCGTCAATCAGCCTTGTTCTGTGGAAATCTTGACTGTTAAAAAAAAAAAAAAAAAAGGCAGAACTGCATTGACCCCTGTTGGAGGGAGTAGTCCTAAAAAGGTGACACCCGAGACACAGAATGACTCAAGTTGGTCGTTTTGGAATATAATTTAATTCATTACTATTGTATCAAACATTTGGGCTACAGCCAGCAGCTCAAACCTCCCTCAGAACAAGATAACGTTAACATTTAATGAACTTTACACAATAAAGACTGGTCACTGAAAGTATTTGCATTCTATGGCCAGTCAGGAAAATATGCTTTACAGGCACAGACTTTGCAATGAACAAAATTTTGCAATCTCTTCAGGTTGTAAAATTTTATTTTGGGGAATCTGTACATGGAGGTTGTGGCCTTCAGAGTGTCAAACAATAAACAGGAACAGGATAAGCGCACTGAAGCTCATGACAAGTGCTGCTGCTCTTTACTCAAAACTGGACAAGAAGGTCAGAACAACCTGCTTCAGTTTAGCATCTGATGCTTCTGAGATTTTACCATCATTCCTAAACACAAGAGAGTGTCAAAAAATGTTGCATGAGGAAAATGTAGACTATAGAAGATAAAATTCTTACTTGATTGCTGCAAGGAGGTCCTGGTGCTGACTGAGAACGTGCTGCAGGAAAGCCTTCTCAAACCTTGTGATCTTGCTGGGCTCCATTTTGTCGAGGTAACCCCTGACACCAGCGTAGATGACCGTGACCTGCTCTTCAATAGCCATAGGTGCTACAGGAAAACAAGTGTGTTAGAGAATGATTGTGGCAATAGACGTTGTGCCAAGAATCCAACTTACAGTACTGGCCCTGCTTGAGCAGCTCTGTCAACCTAACACCCCTGTTAAGCAGCTGCTGAGTGGCAGCGTCCAAGTCTGAACCAAACTGGGCGAAGGCTGCAACCTCACGGTACTGAGCCAGCTCCAGCTTCATGGTACCAGCCACCTACCAGCAACATATTCAATTAGTATATTGACATACCAATCACAACACATCATATAGGACAAACATACCTGCTTCATGGCCCTTGTCTGGGCAGCAGAGCCTACTCTGGACACAGACAAACCTACATTGATGGCTGGACGAATACCCTTGTAGAACAACTCAGTCTCCAAGAAGATCTAGAGCAGAAGAAAGTTGGGTTAGCACAGCAGTGAAATTATAGTTAAAGCTGCACTAACTGACTTTTTGTATTAATCAAAAAAATTCAATCCATATTCATGCAATGCGTTGGGATATACATCCTTCTGAAGAAAAAGTAGCGCAGATTTGTGCTGGCGTGTAATTTTATAAATCGAGTTTTGGTGAAACGAGGAATGTGCTTTGGGTCCCGATTGTGACAAATCACAGCGGACCACCGGCCCCAGCTTTCTTGAGAAAAGCCACAAGTCTCTCGTTAGCACAGACAGCTAAGGTAAACAAGCGGCAGAGGCTAACCTGAAGCCTCCTGTGTCTTCGTTACCGGTTTCTGCTTACACAGCCATCCAAAATAAAGTCTCATTCCTCCGCGCTCAGCATTCTCACGTCAAAAGTAACGCCATCCACGTTCAAATGGACGCAGAGAGAGCGAGCTCAGCAGCACTCTGATTCGAAAGTTTCTCCAAGTCAGTTAGTGCAGCTTTAATAATAACATAAAAAGTCCAACAAACCTGTCCATCAGTGATGGAGATGACATTAGTGGGGATATAGGCAGACACATCACCGGCCTGAGTCTCAATCACAGGGAGAGCAGTGAGGGAACCACCGCCAAAGTTGTCGTTCATCTTTGCAGCTCTCTCCAGCAGACGGGAATGCAGGTAGAACACATCACCAGGATAAGCCTCACGACCAGGAGGACGACGCAGCAGCAGGGACATCTGACGGTAGGCAACAGCCTGAGAGAAAGCAAAGCAGTGTCACTCGGCCACAATCAGCCTTAAATCAGAAATAAAGAGCAGCACTCACCTGCTTGGACAAGTCATCATAGATGATGAGGGCATGCTTGCCATTGTCTCTGAAGTACTCTCCCATGGAACAGCCAGAATATGGGGCCAGATACTGCAGAGGAGCGGCATCAGAAGCAGTGGCAGACACTACAATAGTGTACTTCATGGCATCAGTGTCAGTCAGCCTCTTCACCAGCTGTGCCACAGTGGACCTCTTCTGACCGATAGCCACATAGATACAGTACAGCTTCTTCTTTTCATCAGTACCTTCATTGAAACGCTTCTGGTTGATAATTGTGTCAATAGCAATGGCAGTTTTTCTGAAAAATATCAAGTATAAGAAAATTACAGCCTTTACAACATTTCTCGTAAGTTCTTACCCAGTCTGCCTGTCCCCAATGATCAGCTCTCTCTGGCCTCTACCAATGGGCACCAGACTGTCCACAGCCTTGATCCCAGTCTGCATGGGCTCCCTCACCGAGATACGGGGGATAATACCAGGGGCCTTCAGACCCACACGCCTGCGGATGGAAGAGCCAAGGGGACCCTACAGAACATGGGTAAAAAGCATGTGATATCTGGTCAGATATTAAAATGTACAAATCTAGGCGTTAAAGCACAAACCTTTCCATCAATGGCATTTCCCAGAGCGTCCACAACGCGGCCCAGCAGCTCCTCTCCGACAGGAACATCCACAATGGCACCAGTCCTCTTGACAATGTCACCCTCTTTGATCAGTTTGTCATTACCAAAGACCACAACACCAACATTGTCAGGCTCCAAGTTCAAAGACATGCCCTAAAAAGTACAAGTGTGTAAAAATTCAATCTTAACTTATGATTTTACAACAATTAAAACATGAATGCAGACTATTTTACCTTGAGTCCTGAGGAAAACTCCACCATCTCCTCAGCCTGGACGTTCCTCAGACCGTACACTCTGGCAATACCGTCACCAATGGACAGCACACGTCCAGTCTCCTGCAGGTCAGCAGAAGTGTCTGCTCCCATGATCTTCTCCTCCAGGATTGACGACACCTCAGCTGTGCCTGTAGAAAGCAGTTACATGAGTAGAGTCAAAGCACCAACAATATCAATGAGCCTGCAATAATCCATAAATATAACCAAACAAAAATAAAAACAAAGACATTTAATCTTAATGCTTTGAAGACCAAAGTAGTTTTTAGCAAACTTGTTGGACATAACATCTTCGAAGTGGAAAATGTATGCGAACATGACCACAATGTATTTTAAGGCAACATTAAAACAGATTTAAATAATAGCTTACCGGTTTTCTGCAGCCATGGTCTGTTCGTGTGGAGGTGGTTGACCCCAACGCAGGCAGCTGGGATAGTCTTTGAGACCTAGGTTCAATGACAAACTGGTTATTTTGCTGAATGCATTTTATGACAACCCAATAATAAAACATTTGAGACTTTAAAATTCGTATCGCATTAAGTTCCGTGCAGCGCAGAGAGTATGCGCTGTCAGGCTTTCTGACCTTCAGCGTGGCTGAATGGAGCGTTAGCATAGCTAGCTTCACCGCTAAGTACAAATGGGTTTGGCCGCAATCACCAATGGGTACATTACTGTTTGGGTCAAGGACAAACGAAAACTAACATAATACAAAATATTCTTTATTTTTGCATGATGCACTGATAGAGATGTTTCAGGGTGACCGGTGCGAGGTGTTCCTAATGACAGGATAACTTTAGCTAGCGGCCTGCGACTTTGCCCTTAACACAATCAAAAGAGAAGGTAGTACTGAAACATTCACATTCTCAAAAAGATTGAACAGAGAAATGAAGCACTTACAAGTCCAGCTCGTCGGGGCAAAGTCCGGGCCAAAGCTGAGGCGACTCTCACGGAAAGCATTTTATGTGTCTGCGGTGACCTGTGCTGCGTGTGCCTCCGTGAGGAAAGTGTAATGGCTGAAGGAGACTTCTTCTATTTATGTGAAAGAGAGATAGTGCCTCACTGCAAACACGCCCCCTGCCGCTCACGATCTGGACACTGCACCTGCAACTGAGCCACAAATGCGTTCATAACAAATATTGACCAAAGAAAATTTTGTATAAAGTAATAACAACAGAGTAATAATAACAAAATGTAATATAATTATAGAAATAACATAATGTAGTTTAATAATAATGTATTATATGATAAAACATATTAGAAAGCAATGTAATAATATAATGTAATAATAATATACTACAATGTAATAATATAATACTACCCTCGAGTCAAAATGACCCGCCACAGATGATTAAGATGTAAAAGAAAAATACCATAAATTAGGCTCTAAACGAGTCTAAATTACGCTTTTAGACCCAAGATAAATCATTAAAATTCAGATTGAAAAAACATTATTTACATAGCACCTATCACAGACCAGAGTCACAAGGCGCTTTACAATCTTGGAGTCGCTTAATTGTGAAAGCACACATCAGCCTGTTATTGAGATGACAGAGGTTACATTATACATTTTTTAATAGACTATATAGAACAAGTCAAAGCATATCTAGAGGGTAATAGCCGACTTCTTTTTAACACAGAAGGTACTGGGTTTCGAATCCCCGTCGGACAGGGCCTTTCTGAGTGGAGTTTGCATGTTCTCCCCGTGTCTGCGTAGGTTTCCTCCGGGTGCTCCGGGTTCTTCTACCACTAAAAACATGTACAATAGGTCTGGCTTGCGCTTCCTGTACTGGCGATCCCGCTCCCATCTCTGTGTGGAGTGAGAAACAAAGGCCCATAATTGCAAACCGCTTTGTGACTCTGGTATGTGAAAGGTGCTATATAAATAAAGATTTCTTACTTACTTACTCACAGCAGCATTGACACCTGTAATAATTACTTCAGATGCACAGTAGAATAGAATGATTCGTGAGTGCCGCAATTGGTGATGACATTGCAGTTCTAATTGTTCGATTCTCTAATCTACTGTTGGAAAATCATCCCCGAGATGGCTGCTGTTGTGGATTTGGACTGTACAGAATAAAGTGTTTGAGATTACATCATAAAATTTGTCTATTTCACACTTAAATGATTCACTTCACCAAATCAAAGTTTTGTGTATATTTTTGCTGTACATTGTTGAGGCCTAGTTTGGTCGGGAACATCCCTTTGGTTAAGTACAATAATATTATTGTCTTATATTGTCATATGAATTTTAGTAAGTAGTTACTATTGTTTTTTTTTACCACCTTTGGTATCCTTGGTTTTGTTTACCTCCCTCTGTTGTACTTATAGAGGTTCCTTGGTTTCCTTGTGTGTATTACTTAATGACTTTAATCACTACTTGATAATTTTACGTTGGCAGGAGTAGAAAAGCAAAAGTGTAAATGGAAAGTGCATGGGGTATCCACCCATCCATCCATTTTCTACCCCTTAATCCATTTCTGGGTCAGGGGGTGGCCAGAGATGTCACCCAGTACACATGGCACCAGCCACTCACTGATCCTCCTGCAGGTGGTGAGTACACAGGAGGATGGCTGCTCTATGGCATAGCCTTGATCTTTCAGCAGGGGCTTCAGGCAAAGTGGGGTTAAGTGTCTTGCCCAAGGACACAACAACAGCAGTCATCAGTGCGAGTCGGTGGAGAAGGTCTCATGGAGGGCTTGATCCCACGACCTTCAGGCTCAAATGCTAATGCTCTACAAACTGAGCCACTGTGACCCTGCATTAGGTAGGATTAAATAAATCATCTTCTCACCACTCCCTTTCAGACAATTTGTTACAGATGTCTTTTGTATTTAATATTAACTGCATTTCTTCTTCGTTGCCTGAAATAAATAAACAATGAAAAAAAGAGAGAATGACTTGATACTTTCCACTGGTGTACAGAACATCATCACACAACACGGCAGAAATGTTTGTTCTCCAAAGCGCCCCCTCGTGGCCGTGATGCGCCATGAAATGTCTGCTTTTGTGAACGGCAAAGCCGCGGCAGCAGCAGTCGGAGGAGACAGTCGTACGATAGGGCTGTCCGAGCTGCTGCTAGCCTTTAGCCGCCTGAATGTAGATCCGCATGGGCTACGTCTGCTTCACTCCCGAATAAACCAGCGGAACTGTAAGACACGGATCCCAGGATGGTGTTAGTGCATGTCGGATATCTGGTTCTTCCTGTATTCGGCTCAGTAAGAAATAGAGGTATGGTTTTAGTCTTCTCATCGACTCAAAACATGTGCCCTGTTTATCTTAATATGCACTGCAGCTGTTGGCTAGCTTCACTAGCTTGAGCTTAGCCCTGACATTAGCCCGATTGATTTACTGCACAGACTAATAATAATTCAGCGCGCTAAATGTTACGCAAATTCCGCATATTTTGTATCAATGACTTAACAAATAAATTACATAACTTAGCGGTCTGTTTCACTACATGTAAAATAAAAACAGCGTCGTTTACGGTAGGCTAAGCTAGCGCGTCTGTGCATCGGAACAACATTTGTCACAAAGGACCCCTCTCAAACGCACGTCTGTAGCAATTTTCCTAATGACCACAATACATTTCCTCACAGTGGATTTAGTGCTGTACTTGTAAACATGTCATTTGGCACGCTGGTAATATTACGGTGCAATGTGTTTTTTTTCATGGCGGAATGTGCACTGTAAAATACCGCAAAACAGACGCGTAGCCTCTCAGCTTATCTGTGCCCGGATGATGTCATTTGAAGATCATCTGCCCCTATGCGCCTTGTCGTCTTTTTAGCTGCATTTTCGCTTTTCCACGCGTCAATTGAGGATTCGACCCGCTCCATATTGCGTTTTCTCAGTCGTCTCATTATCTTGTTGTTTATTGCAAAATTGCCATTCAGCAGCAGCACTGTCTGCTCAATGGCAAGAGCCGAGTCTGCGGTCACGCTTAAAACGATTCTTTAGAAGCTCCAGTGTAACATTAATTTTACAACAGTGGCATCAGTGATTTCATTGTGCTTTTATTTCTGTTCTTATTTCCCTGTTTCATAGTATGGAGGCTGGCTCTACATTCTGCATTTATCAGATCTTTGTCGTCCCCCCCATTGTGTAGCTAATGATCATCTGCTGCTGTGTGGTGTGGCGTGGCCTCTGCCTGTTCTCTGCATTTAGCTGTATTGTGAACCCCTTCTTCATTTCCTCTTTCCATCAGAAGACGGCATTGGTATTAAAAGCACCCCCCTCTCCAGATGTGTTCAGCCATAGACTTTCATGTTAAACAAACTAAACATAGCTAACACTTAGTCCACGGCACCTTTTGTCTTTTTTTCTGTCAATTTGCTGTAGCACTGAGTAAACATTTAGATCCTTTTTAGATATCAGTTGAATGTCATTGTGTACCTCCCATCCAGTCTTGGTAGAAAACATGCTGTAAATTCCTGTAAAGTGGATACATTTTGCATGATTTCCAATAGTGCACTGCATTGTTGAACACCAGAATTTGGCTCATCCTTCCCTTTTCTCTTCGCACAAGGTGCAATGTACATAAGTCCACAATAATCCCATTGGAAACTTGTGCATGCCAAAGCAAATAACTTCACTTAACTACACTGCACCTGAACACCTGTCATAAGTGTTTCCATTTGTGTAATTGTTTCTGTTCCCGCTATTTATAAAACAAAGTTCGAATCACACTGAATTGCCAGGATCTTGAGAAAATAAATTAAATAAAAAAAAAAAATCAACAAAATGTGCTAACTGGTGGTTCATAATTTCTGATTTTCCCACTAACCTATGGTCAAAATGCTATCCATTTCACAGGGATGCCTATTTTTCCTGCACTGCTAAAAAAAAGATAAAAAATCCTCTATTAGTAATAACGTCTTATTGTTTGGTTGTGGTTTCTCTTTGCCTTTTGTTCTGGTAATAGTACTTTCAATGCATGGTTCACATTTATGATTCATAATTTGTTTGTTTATGTTTTTTCTACATTGACTAGTTCAAATCCAATGTAATCTTTCTGTAGTAAAGATGTATCCTGCTGTACTTGAATCATGTGCTCTAGCCAACACGTCTGCTCATTGGATGCTGCTTTTGTTCTTTTTTAACCCTATATGGAGCATGGTGGGCCTTGCCTTTTAGTCTATGTTGTTTATTTTTGTTGCATGGATTTATTGCTATTTATTACAAAAGAGGAAAGAAATTAAACACATTTTTTCACAAATACTAATATATATTTCAATAAAGACAATAGTGTTTTTCCTAACCTTCAGTGTGCTTCTTGCTGATTTCCATATATTGTCCTCCCCTTCTTCCTTATCCCTTACCTCCCAGAACAAAACTACCCCCCCCCCCCCCACACCAAGCCCTCCTCTTCCTTATTGCTCTGACAAAGATAGACTCCATCACAGAGCTTGTATAGTCTATCTGCTGTCATTCATGGTGATCGTTTTGACAGAGAGGATTTGGAAATGCAGTGTTGCCAACATTATAAAACGACTAGCGGTGTGTAGAGCACAGTCTGTGACCCCACTACAAGGTCATAGCCCGTCTGCTCAGCTGTACAGACTACACATGAAGAATCCATTATCCCCCACTGCTCAAATTACTGTCGTATACTACAAACACTGCATTTTCCAAGCATACTCTTTATGTAAATGCAATGTAGACTTTGCCAAAATAGTAATATATACATTTGAATATTTCCATTCTATACATTATCATATCTTGTGACTCCATCAAAGTGTTTCATAGACCTTGACTTTTTCAAAATGTGAAAAGCTAATTTACGGATGAATTTGAAATGGGTTTAAAAATGTTATTGACAAAATGTGTTTCATCTTTGATCATATGGGCTGTTGTAAGTATAATGATTAATAACTACATCGTTTCAAAGGAAGGGTTTAGCATCTCTTCTCTGAGCTCTGACAGCAGTCTGTTCTCTGTAGTTGCCAAATAGCTGTGGTTGGAAAGAGAAAAAAAGACTCTTTCCTCTAAACTCATGTGGTTTAAATAGACCTTAGTAAGGCTATTGAATAGTACAGCTTTGTGTGCTGTTACAGTCTTCAGTGTGCTAGTGTCAAATGGGGTTTCTCTGGCAGCTACTCAAGACAACATTTAAATAATTACATTGACACTTGTACTTGCACTGTCAGCTGCAAATGTAAGACCTATGCTTAAAAGCGAGCTTCGCTGAAGCGGTAGCATATGCTGACTTTACCTTTCTGATCCGGTTTCCTTCTGTGAATCCGAAGACCGGCAGTCGAACCAGAGATCGGAATTCCGATAAGCTCAGCACCAAAACATGGTATTCATGCTCATGGCTCTGTGGTAACCATTTTCCACCCACAGAAGTATGTTCACTCTAGGTAAGAGATAGGGCTTCATTAACATGCTATATCACACACACACAGTGACACATTTCAGCCACTATTAATGCCAGCTGATGTCTGCTCTGTGCTGACTGCTTTCTTATCTTCTGCAGGATCCCATTTCAGCCGGCAACAGCAGCAGCAGCAGCACAGCCATGCTACCTCTTGCCGGCACTTCCAGTTAGGCCCTCAGGCCCCTCTGCCCATGGACTTCCCCATGCCCCACCCCGGGCAGCCCCAGTCGGGCATTAACCCACATTTAGCTCCCCCGGGTCATCAACATGGCCCTCCACTGCACCCACCTCTTAACCCTTTATCCGCCCCCCAGTTCCAGGACCTCCCTGCCCCCCCTTTCCTACCTCAGGCATTACACCAGCAATACCTCCTGCAGCAGCAGCTCCTGGAGGCCCAGCACAGACACATCCTGCCGCCCTCCAGGTACTTGTCCAAATAACTTCATACAATCAACTCGACTAGCTCACAGATGACGGTCTCCAAATAGAGCGGAAACCAGAAGTTTAAAGACACTGTTGAAATGAATCGTCTGACTTTAGAGACTACTATAAATCATTCAGAAAAAATACCTCATTGGCATTGAGCCAATGGAAATTATTTCAGTTAATACAACAGTCCTAAAATAAATGAATGTCTTTTCTCTGTATGCTGATGCAGAATCCTAAATAAAAACAGCAAAGTTTTGAGTGAAATTAGTACAGTCTCAACTCTGAGTCTGATTCACTTTAATCAAAATGCTTAATTTGTGGAGATTGGACTCGTGCACTGGTCCTGTGGTCACATCTACACCTTTTGATCTGATAATTGGTCCAATTCCGGTTCACTTTAGACTGAGAGCCTGCCTCAATCAGACTAAGAAATGATGCCCATGTCCCGATAAACTTATCTTCAAGATCCAAATGCATCATTACCTCTATTCACCAGTCGACATGAGAGGGAGGCCCGCTTCCAACTTAAGAAAATCAATCAATTTGTCTTTTAAGTTTTGGAGAGCCTTCATTTGTCCTACAGTGGGGAAATCTGTATGACAGAGCATTACTTAACAGCATAACATTACAGAACAGTGAAAATAAAAGCACTCAAACAAGATGATTTAGAAAAAAAAACTGCAGTTGCTGTGAATAGTTAAAGAATAATTAACTCTAATCTATTTTTTAAAAACATGGCATACAACTATAGTTGTAATTTGGATGTGGGAAAAGTAGTTTCTATAAATGCCTCAAAATATAAGTACACTTCAGTATAAGAGAATATTCATCTCGGAGGCAACTGACTAAGTATGTGTGTATGTGCATGAGACAAATAAGATAATACTTGTCGGGAACATGTTACTCAATCTGAGGTGAGATAAGTGACTCCTATTTATAATTTGAAATTGATTTAAGCCGCGTGAGTACAGGTAGGAGCTTGTTCCCATTCTTCCTATGTGTCAGTAATGCCAAGATCCTCCTCCCAGGCTCGTCTCTGGTGAAGTAAAGTACATCATTGATACTAAAAATATGTCTCGTAGATTGCTCACAGTGGTTGTTCTTGAGATGTTTAAAGGCCTCTAGATAAATAGCTTATATAGAGTACCGAAAAGCCTAATATGTTTTAAAGCTGGAGTTTTAATAAATCACATGTAACTAGTTTTCATCTGCATGTATCATGGATCAGTTTTTTAGTGAAAAAGAGACCCTCACTCAGCCAGTTTGTGCTTCTCCAGCTTTAAGGGGAAAACCTGTTTTGTAATTGGATCTTACAATTTCATGTGTTATATCAAATTAGTATTTAAATACACTGCAAAAGAAACCGTGAGCAAATGTACAGTAGCTCAAAATCACTGCCTACATTTTTGATACGAGTGATGGTAATGTTGCATTGCACATTTGACCACATAGCTAAAGACACCTACGTCCAAGAGCATGTTTTTAGAGCTTCCTGCTGTATTTGTGAACAGACGCACCCCAGAGAGGGTTCCACACCAGCCCCACAGACTGCGGCCCGGCTACGACTTTGTTCCCCCCATCCACGTCCCTCCTCAGCCTGTGGTGCAGCAGCCGCGCTATCTCGCAGAGGGAACCGATTGGTAAGCCGTGTACACCTCCCTGTCTGTATCTGTCTGATGATAATGAAATACAAATCTTCAGAGACTTTTATTTTGAGTACAAAGTTGTGCTTCACTTTCTTTTCTTTTACTACATAATACACTTTGTTAGATCCAACCAAAAGACTTACATGTAAACAATTCGGTTAACTAAACCATAGACCATTAATGCTGTTCTCTTATTAGAAAGCATGTAATGTTTTGCGTAATTCACTATCTGAGAGCTGATTGGCTGAGTGAGGATAGTCATCTTTTTCACATTTGAAAAAGCTGATCTAAATATGTGAAATCTGTTTTAGAGGTAGGAACTAGAGTTAAATGGGTTCTGTTTCAGTTGAATGTGTTGAATGTGTAGCTACCCCAGCTTTAAAATCTAATTGTAGATAATCCGTCACTAAATGATATGGTATTATCTTCTGTATATAATATATTTGTACGTATCGTATGTGGCACAACATAACATTATCGCATCTCCAAAGGAGACATACAGAACCAGACTGTTACAATAATATTTAGCACTGCCTGACCCTGTACATATTAATGCAAATACAATCTTCATGTCTGTTGTCATAAACATGATGAAATTGTCCCATGCCATAACCACCACCAGTAAGATTCTCTGCAGGAGTTCAATCAAGGATTTTAATTGATTTTGTCTCTTTTATCTGAGTAATTTTGCAGAATTTGCAGATCTGCCTGGTCTATAGATCTAACAAGAGCTTTCATTTAAAAATACATCTATATTTTAGCTGCTGTGACAGTTTTGATATAGTTGAGCCCAGAGCAGTTTCACTTGAGTTATTGTGTCAAATCACTTCAAATATATTGCACCAGGCATTTGATCAATGTATAAAGGTGATGGAGCGACCTATAAGTCAAAAGATTTATCGTCACTCTGCTTCTAGTAATGTGGAAAAAGATGATGGTAAGTTCAGGCAGAGAGCGAGAGGAGAAAGATGTTACATTATTTAAGGGCTCTGCAGTTGTAGCTGAGCACACACCAAGGCTCAGAACAGATTTCCTTCTGAAAGTGCAGTGGAATAATGACTGGAGAATGCACTGGCTGAACTGGGAGAGAGAGGGCTGTTCCATATGTGGCAGTGGAGACGAGAGGAACAAGAGGCTGATGAATGTTAGCAGGAGGTAGAACGGTTTTGGGTCAGTGTGGGGGGTCTGTTTGTGAGTCTGTTCTCACAGACCACAGGGGACCTGAGGGCCGCAGGGCTGGGCTACTACTTTGATTTACTATCGGATTATTTCTTAATAAGATTATTCAGTTCTACTAATCACACCTTGAGCATAGGTTTTTAATCATATTAATAGATTAATACTCTGTCTTCGGGCCAAACAAGGATCATGTTTAACTGGACAATTTTTATTTTTTCCGGACGGCTGCTAATAAACAGGGGCTAATCCTAATGCACTTGTAGGCAATTGAGATATATGTAGAGGGTTATTACGTATTTATTTTTATGGATATTGGCCAGAATATTGGTTTATTTTGAAAAAGAGACTGATAGGAACGTCAATACCAATTAATCTACTATTTTCCCTTAGTTTATACATCTTTTGCTGTGTTCAAAAAAAAAAAAAAAAAAGTACATTTCTATGTTATCGAGGAATAGGGATTTGGGTATTGCTTTTTGGTAGTTTTTCTATTACAGTCATGATTGGCTTGAAACAGAACTGGACCAACAATAAAGATGTGGTTGTTTCCTGGTGAATGCCCACGGAAGCATGCAGGCTGCACAGTTTTGGGCCAAAAGCTCATACTTCGAAAACGTAAAATATTGGTCCAATATATTGATCAATCTCTAATCATGATTCTAACCATAATCTAAGAGATTACATCTAAAACCTCTGAGATTAACACAATAAAGACATGTTGAAAGTACCATCATCATCTACATTCTCTCACGGCTCTCTTCTCCTTCCACAGGGATCTCAGCGTAGATGCCGGGCTGCCTCCTCAGTACCACATCCACCCGTTGCCGCAGCACTATCAGCATTACCTGACCTCTCCCAGGATGCACCACTTCCCCCGAAACAACGCCTCCACACAAGTGGTGAGCTCCACTCTGCAGATCAGGACGAGTGTGTTTATGGGTCTAAAAGAGACATTTCCAGCTAATCCCCCCAATGTTTAACCAATAATGATCTCATTCTTGGATTTTACTAACTGTATTACTATTTTATATTATATTACTAACTGTGAATGACAAACTGAGACGAACCTTTAATCCTTCCCTAAATCAGTGGAACAAGAATATCAGCAGAATTTTAAATACAAATCCAATAACCAATTTTAGCTTTGTGACTGTTGTATTTCACCAAATATTCAACACAAACCACAACAATTTAAGTGAAATAAGGACAAATAATTAGGGCTGTCAAATGACTACATTTTTTTATCGAGTTAATTACAGCTTAAACATTAATTAATCGTAATTAATCGCATTTCAAACTATCGGCAAAATGATGCCATATTTTTCTCTAAATGGTTATTTGAATGGAAAGATAAATGACTGCATAGTGCACATGTACTGTATTTGTTTATTATACAATAATTCCATATAAAATGGAATTAACATTATTAACATTCTGTCTTTCTGTTTAAACCCTAACTATTGTTTGTTACAGATGAGGGACATTTCAAAACAGTCTGAAATGCAGACTGTCATTACATCTGTTTGATTTTCTCACACCATTACTTTTGGGCACAACCAACATGAATTGGTAGTGGAAGGGAAAATTAGGTACCCCAGCTTTAATTTAGCGAGTGCGCTTCGGGAGAAGACACGGAGGAGACTGAGGCTCCATAGTCCAGCTATTGTGTGCCCCGGTTACGTAAAGACACGCACACTACCAGCAGAGAATAGTTCTGTGCGTTGTCTTGGATATGATCACGTTACAGCGGCACCGTTCGCTTTGATCACAGCCCCTGGAGGTGGGAACCACAGTCCAGAGCGCCCGCAGCTCAGCTCGCAGCGAGTTCATACACGGTGCCCCACGGTCACGCATGTATTCTTTTAAAACTTAAATTCCCAGAGGGCCTACCTACTCTGTCGCCATCTCACACACGCACATGTCCGCGGCATTCTGAGTGTTAAAAAATTAACGCGATTAATGAATTTTTTTTATTAACTAGCGTTGACGCGATAATTTTGACAGTCCTACAAATACCGCACAATAACAGAATAACAAAGCGTAAGAATGGGTTTAGTATTTAGACTTGGATTCTACGAAGTCATGAAGATTATTACGTATCATGAATATTTACAGTATTTATTAAATGTACAGTTAAAATGGAGTACTAGTAAGATAAATTAGATATATGCCCTGGTCCAAACTGCCCCTGAATACTCAGTGATGGTTAAAATGCAGTAATGCACATGATTCGATGGGTGACATTCAGCCTGAGCAGGTCTAACCCAATGAAATATACATCAGGTCAATCCAGGACAAGACTTGCTTTTTTTTAACCAGATAGACTGACGCATGGTCTGTGTGAAACTCTTTGTCCATCCCCCCCAAGGCTTTGTCAGTCAGATTAACCCCTGGCTTCCTGTGCATGATTTCCGCCTCAGAGCTGACGGAGCCTCTTTTTCTACCCTCTCTCACAGATTGTTCATGAGATCAGAAACTACCCTTATCCCCAGCTGCACTTACTCGCTCTGCAGAGCCTCAACCCCTCCCGCCACGCCTCTGCTGTTCGGGAGAGCTACGAGGTGAGTGCTGCTTCCTCTGCACTGCACATTTCCCTGCTGTAGACGTAATGTAGATCAGGCACGTCCAGACTATGGCTCGTGGGCCTTAGTTGGCAGGGCAAGGAAAGTTCATTTGTATTGTATTTGTATTTGTACACTTCATACTCAAGGCAACTCAAACTCAAACGCTAGCTTTGTTCATACAGGTCATACACAAGGCAACTCAAAGTGCTGAACACAACAAGATGGAAATGATTCAAGGCATTAAAATCATAAATAATCACAGTACATTAAATAGAGTGAAGATAAAATCCCTCAGTTGTAACGAATTGTTTTAACCTGGATTATTGTAAGAGAAGATGCCTGTCTCAGATTTTCATGAAGACTGTTTCGTGGTGTAGCACTATTTTATTTTGATATCGTCATTTTATCTTCTATCTATCTCGATATGTCCTCTTAACAACTGACCAATCCGGTGCCTTCTGCCCCTGATTTGGACTATAGTTAGCATAATAGTCATAGTACGAGGGGGGACAGACCGGCGCCGCTCCATATTGGCTCCTTTCTCCACAATTTTGCAAACACTTTGGCTCTAGATTCCCGCCTGTTCGAATTAGCTTTAATCGTCTTCTTCTGATTAGACCATACCACAGTCAATCGGCACCTCTCATTCACCGGCGCCCCCAAGAGAGGCGTGACGGCTAAAACTCGTCCATAATTGCAATTACTGTTTACCAGATGCCTCTAAATCTGCCATCTGCATTTCATCGGGTGCATTTGTTTCCATTTGAGGGAGATGTAATAGTTTTATCACCAGCGTATGTGCCGGTTAAGTCTGTCGCCAAACGTATCATTTCCATTCTGGAGTAAGGACAGCTTGCCGCATCAAAGTCTTGACATATCCCCCCTCTCACACAGATGAATTTCCCACTGTAAATCATTTGCATCGCGTTACGCACTACGAAACAGAACGATAATGAATGCTTGGAATGATTACAGAACGTTGGCAATGGACATGGCATTCGTTGCGGACTGGGAAGGAAAGGATAATCCACAAACTGTACAAACTATTCATTCGATTTCATTACAACCAAAAGATAGTCTTGAAGGTCACTTGTCCTTGTAGAGAACAATGCATTCCACTGGTCGCACACGCTGATTTTCTAGTAACACAACTTGGATCTGCTCATCTCTTTTTAGTGTTGACATGCCCTTTAATATTCTCAATTAGGCATAGAAGATCAATCCATCAATTTGGGCTGTAACAATATATTGTATGGTGGTTTGTTGCCTTGTTGCCTATGTAATGTATGTAATAGTCTCAATGTTTGCTAATTTGAATTACTTTGAATATTATTGCAGTTATAATTAGACTTTTTACACGTTTTGTAAGACTTGGGATAAATGTCGGACTGACTGGCAGTATATTTGGAATATTTACTGGGCTTTGAATTTATATTACGCCGCTAAATATGTACAAGTATCGAATTGGAATATTTTGTGTCACTAAATATGGATATCACAGTAAACATCAGGCCATGTATCGTGACTTGGGCTGTTCCATCTCCATTAACTAGTTTATGTTGTGCCGGTACTTATTTGTTGTGTATTATTGCAGTATTTTGTAGTCCTCTCCCACTCTCCCTGACTCAGGTTGCCAGATAAACACCAAATCCAGCAGCAAACACAAGGAATTATTTTATCAGTCTCCATTCACATTTCCATGAGGCATGCTAATGTTGAATGAATGTTTAATTTTATTTTTATTTGGACATTTGAGTTAAAAAACACAAAACAAAATAAAAGAAATGTAATTATAGATTATCCAAAATAAATAAGCAATTGATGTTCAAAATAGTGGGGGAAGAATGGATGTTGGAACATATTTCTTCAGCGTATCAACATCAGGGTTTGCTCCAGAGGATCTCACCCTTCGATTTTATTTATTGTATGTATAAGTTAGGGCTGGGCGATTAATCGATTTTAATCATTAATTCGAGTTTTACGTTTAGGGCGATTTCTTTTTTTAAAAAATCGATTTTTATTTTCTCCAGCGCAGAACTACAGCGCTAACGCGCTAACCGCGGGTCTATGGTGTTGAGCAGTTATTTTGAAGCTAACCTAATGCTAACAGTCTCCCTCTGGCCTGATGCTCGCTCTCACAGTTGGTGCTGTTGCAATAACACTTCAAACGTTCAAGAATCAGACTTTATTTAAATCGCCAGACACACACACACACGCACGCAGGCCCCGGTCGCTATGTTCGTACGCCATGTTCGTACGCCACATCTTTCACGCTCTCTCACGCTCGTTATTCCAAAGCGCACTCCCGTGTCCGTGGCGCGCACACACTCGTGTCCCACTGAGCCGCTGCACTTTGGGGAAAGACACGTCTCACACATTGCTCTCATTGCTCTGATACAAACAACGTGTTCCCCGCTGTCTGTTAGCTACTGTAGCTGCTAGCTACAGTAGCTGCTAGCTACTGTAGCTAGCTACAGTAGCTGCTAGCTACAGTAGCTGTTAGCTACCGTAGCTGCTACAGTAGCTGCTACAGTAGCTGTTAGCTACAGTAGCTGCTAGCTACAGTAGCTGTTAGCTACAGCATCAGAATGTAAACAGGAAGCTCGCACAATGCGGGAGTCACTGAAGTTAGTATTAGCGCCACCAGCTGGACCGAGCGTTGTACTACAGCACAGTTACTCAGGCACAGTTGAAAGAACAAGCATGAAAACCCGAGGAGGCTTTTGGAAAAGACTGTTACAACATTTCTATTTTGAGTAATCAGTTTTAAAAATGTGATATTTCATGTAAATATTGCATGTGTTTAATAGGATTGATATATTTGCGATGGGCCTTGTTTGTGTGATTTAAGTTATTTTGAAGGTGCATAGTGTCATTGTAAGTGAAGTTATTATAAAACTGTTAAGCTACATTTTCACTGTTTACAATGGCAGAGCCATCTCGTTTACAAGCATGTTTTAAGGCTTAATTCCTGTTACACTTATGCTCCATGGGGATTTAGATTGAACTGCATAAAGGAAAATCTATTTCTTTGTCAGTTGTAGTTTGTTTTTAAATAGAAAAAAATAAATCGATTAAAATCGAAAATCGGATTTGGTGTGAAAAAATCTGAGATTTTTTTTTTTTGCCATATTGCCCAGCCCTAGTATAAGTCCCACATTAAAAAGAGACTAACATTATTTTAATTGGGGTACATGTGGTCTCAAATGATTCTTATTACAATTAAGCTTTAATCTGCAAAAAAACTTCTTGACTTTCGTCTTTTACCGTTTTTAGAGCAATCTGTCATAGAATGTGATAACATGCAATTAAATATCAAACCCGAGTTACTGCATCGTGAGCGCACAGTTTTAGCCACTAGACCACCGATTCGCGCGGTCACATTTGCTCTGAAGAACGGAGTCAAAGCAGCAAATTCTGCACCACACGTAAACTTATCAGCTGTCTCAATTGTTCAAAGGCGTCCCGATATAAATCCTCGTTTTAGTCTTTGTTTTGTCATTATGATTTGAGAGTCATAACAAGACCTTTTTTAGTTCTGCGGCCACATGTTGTTTTACCTCTGAGATTAGTGAGCCGCACGGAGTTCTGGCAACCCGATCACGGACTTACATGACATTTCCTGATTGGCAAAACGGCGGAGGGTAGGACATCAAAATCAAAACAATAAAAACTTTTACGGGTCGTAAAACTAATTTTGATAATCAAATATCTCGGCTGAACTACTGTTCATGAGCATGATTTAATAACGCCTTTTGAAATATGGGGGCCATTTAATGATGACTTGACATGCAAATATTACATACTGCTACTTTAAATATTTATAATACTTTAGGGTACATTTAAGTAAGTGGGTTTGGGAGACTCCTGTAAGACCTCTGTAACCAACTTAACTAATGTAAAACTGTTCAGTATTGAAACCAGGTCAAATAAATATGTGATCAATTGTATTAATTTTAGCTCGACCACCATCCATGTAATCACAAAGGAAGTGAGGATGTCATTTGTTATTGTCAATTGCGTTCAGAGTTTGATGGAGCTCTCCTTAGCGCCACGGAGAGCTCCATATCGGCTATATCTATGTGCTACACAAATATCCTTGCCTTGCCATGCCCACATATGTCATGGCCCACTGCTGGCGATCTTTGCCCGGATATTTAATCCTATAGATTGTCCTCATCTTTTGCCTCAAGGAGCTGCTGCAGTTGGAGGACCGTCTTGGCAGCGTGAACAGAGGCGCAGTGCAGACCACCATCGAGAGATACACTTTCCCCCACAAGTACAAGAAGGTACCGCTGCATTTGACCCGTTTGTAATGAGCTCCGGTTCAAGCAAAGTCTCTGGACCAGTTTGCTGCTATGTTCTAAGATAAGATAAGATAAAATGAGATATTCCTTTATTCGTCTCACAGTGGAGAAATTTCAGTGTCATTGTTGTACACATTACAGCAGAGAAAGAAGGAAATAAGAGCACTGAGGCTGCACACATTCTGTCTAGTATTGTGATTCCATTTACAATCTCGGCGCAGTGGTTAGCTGTGTTTCACAACAAGGTGGTTCTATTCCACCTCCAGATAGGGGCTTTATGTGTAGAGTTTGCATGTTCTCCCTGTGTCTGCGTAGGTTTCCTCCAGGTGTTCCGGTTTCCCCTACCATTAAAAACTTGCACAATATATGAGGATTGAATGAGTGTGTGTTTGTGAGTGTGACTGTGGGACTACAAATCTCCAACTGGGACTACAAAGCTGCAACATGCTGTTTTTGTCTTACTAGAAAACGGGTCTTTTGCATACATGTAAGAAAGAGCCCCTGAGTCACTCATTCACCCTTTGTGATTGGAGCTGATTCACTGAGTGAGGGTGGTTCACTCTTTTTCACTATTCTACATGAATGTGAAAAGAGATAGAACCAAACTGTATGGAGAGCGAGGAGCTAGTTAGTTTCATGGATTTGATTACATGGTTAATTTGTTTGTGGCTCTAACATTAGCTGTTAAGCCCGGTTTAAAAGGATCAATTGTGGTTGGGTTTGTCAATTCAACTCAATTCAATTTACTTTCGTATATCCCGAAAACACAACAGTAGAAATCTCGGAGGACTTTACACATTATTCGCCAACACAGATTAGAGAATCCAACAGTTCATACTCCATACAAATGCAAATGCATTGTCAAAATGTTATGGATACACTGTTGTTCTTACGGCCGTTCCACCTGCTGCAGAATCACCGCCGCTTTAGACGAGGAGGAAATAGAAGCGTCTGTTGCTGAAGTCGCTCAGATCAGAGCGTCTTCCCACTCAGGAGTTCAATGGTCAAACGTCTTTCTGTGGGAACGCCGGCGTGCCAGGTCTGCAGCACTGAAACCTGGAGATGACTCATGCCGTCTGTAGATATATGCTGGAGGAATTTATAAACGCCACAACGCTGAATATGACCTAGATACTCCAGAAAGGCTGTCAGATCGTTTGCCACGCCGCGACTGAGAAGGAATAATTGAGTCTGCAACCCAGCGACAAATTATTCTTTTTCACTGAGAATGCAGATCATTCGGAGCTCGTTTCGAAATACCCGTGGCGTAAACAAACTTGGAACTCACTCCCGCATAACTGAAGCTAATAACATATTTTTTTGTCATTCTTTTTTTTTTCTCTGCAGAGAATACCCCAAGACCTGAAAATGTGTTTGGACGACGAGGAATTGGACACTGATGAGAAGTGCACTATCTGTTTGTCAATGCTGGAGGACGGGGAGGATGTGAGGTACGCAATTATTCAGGAAAATAGTTCTCTCCGGGGCCGCCACTGGATTCTTTACTCAAAAGTCTCTGTTTGGAATTGGTTTTATCTGGGGTTTTAGAAAATATTGGTTTGTCAATCAGTGTAATAATAATGTAATAACATTTATATAAGTATATCATATTTTATACATTTATTTTGGGCCTTGTCTTGGGCTTTAACACTAGTGAGAAACAATAGTGTTTAAAGATTAAAAACTACTTGAATCCAGTGCTTTCACATTTCACATTTTTGCAATAAATATATATTTTTCTTCCGATAAACATTGAGTTGAGTCTGAGGTAATCGCTTCATATGAGTGCGTTTTCAGATGGAATTCTAGAAGATTTTTCTAAACAAAATTAGACTTTCTTTTAAACATTCAGGATTACGAATTTGTAGCATATTCGCGATGTTGGTTAGAAATATTGTAAAGGCGGTATTTCAAAGCAGTACGTTTTATGCAACTAGAGCTTTTTGTATTGATTATTTATTTATTTATTTTGAACCTGCACAATACGATTCTAACTGTATGTGAGAGTGCTCATAAACTCAACCGTTGTCAATTATAAAAAAACAAAAAAACCAAAAAAAGACCTTTTCAGATGCTATGGATTCTTAGCTGAGTATGTTGTGGTGCAGAATTATGAAAGCGGGTCCTATTTGTGCTTAGTGAAAGTCTGGTCGGGTTTTGGCAGCGAGTCCACAGAATGTCTCATCTGCCTTCAGTGTTTGTTTTGTCAACCAGCCTCGACAATGCCGCGCTTTGACACTGCGCTGTTACTGGACGAGAGGCAGTTGGTCGAAAGCAAGATTATTGTGTCCTGGACAACATGCAACTAAAAACAAATTCTAATTAGTTGATTTTAAAACTATATTAGCATTTAATATTAAGTGGGGAATATAGACTCTCAGATGATATCTGATGTGAAAAGTGAGAAAATCACTGAGCTTTAAGATTTCATGAAGTATATTTTTTCATTTAAGTAAAATCCCATTTAAGGTTTGGGCACACGTGAATAGATTTGGGCACCCCTGTTCTAAGCTGTTTAAATCAGTGGGGGCGGGTCCTGGCTCAAAAGTGGCAAAAATGACGTGCGCTGACATGCTTGCAATACCACCCCGGGCCGATGTGGGTGGACCCGGAATAAGAATTAGCCAATGCTAACATATAGCATCTTCCTACCTCTCAAAAACGTCTTTACAGGATGTTCCAAAAGTTGCCTCTTGGCCCAAAGCTCCGTTCCACATGTGTGTCAATGCTGAGGGGGGAGAATTTTTTTGGACCACTCTAGTTTACTTGCTGTGAATTTTTGAAGTCACTCGTTTAAATGAATGGGGCTTGTGCCGGCTGACGCATGAGCAGATGCGTTTTTTCACATTTTCCAGCCCCCGCGGCCATTTTGAATCACTCCATGAAAGCCCATTTTTTGGCCCATTAGTTAGAACGGCGGAGATAGGCGTGACTGCGTCCATTAATATATACAGTCTATGGTTTAAATCTATATTCTGATCAGAAAATATACTAATGATTCTCAGAGGTCAGTTTTGTGTTTCCCACCACCAGCGTCTAAAATCAATCAGTTTGTGTACATACAGTGGCTTGCAAACATGAACTTTTGCATTTTTTTGTCATGCTACATGCAAAAATATTTATTTTATATATACATGTATTTTGTTAGTTTGGGTGGACGGCCATGCCTTGGTAGCTTTGCAGTGGTGCCATAGTCCATTTCCGAATACTGGTTTGAACAGTGCTCCATGAGATGTTCAAAGCTTGTGAAATCTGAGGCCATCGCAGGGCAGCTGTAAATATACTGAGTGTAGATTACTCACGGTTCGGCTCCATTTAATCATTAGGGCAAGGTGTGAACATTCAGCCGTCAGTATGACTCGTTCCAAGGCTATTTTATGCACTTCGAGAAATGCTGTATAAATACAAGTGCAAGCCAACGATTTTTAGTTTGTCCTTCAAAAAGAAATGTTTTTGCATCATTAAGATGTTTCTTTACAGTTGTCTGTCTCTTTGTAAAAAAGTGATAATATCCGAAATACATTGTTGCTTTCTTGTGGTTGTAAACATGTTCTAAAGGTCAAGTTGTATAAGTGATTAAGCAAGACACTTTAGTCAAATGTAGGAGCTGATGTTTAAATGGAGATCAAACTGTAATCATGACAAATTAAAACAAGTTTTTAATCAAAGCAAATACAAATCCAGTGTAAAAATACAAAACTTAACCAAACTGGGGACAAAGACAAGAACTAGGAGACTTGGAATTGACAATGACGGGACTGCGAGTCAAGGAAACACAGGGTTTACATAGACAAGACTAAGGAGACAGGTGATCAGAACATTAAAACTAGGGAAGATACAGGGGTTGACAAATCACAAAATGAAACATGAAATAGACCTAAACCATGACATCCACGACACTTATGGATTACTATCTCAGTCACAAAAGTCTCTCTAAAAACACACGAATCGTAACAACAAAAAACTCGATGTTGTTTGACTGAAGTTTCTAACGTTGTCCTTCTCTGTTGCAGGCGGTTACCCTGCATGCATCTCTTCCACCAGGCCTGTGTGGACCAGTGGTTGGCGACGAGCAGGAAATGCCCCATCTGCAGAGTGGACATTGAGACGCAGCTGACCCCCGACAGTTGATAGCTCCCCTGCCGCTCAGCTGTGTCTTGGTCGTGTAATTCTCCATTGCCTCCCGCGGGGGGACGCTCTGCCAAAACCTTTTTCCCTCTGCATCAGTCTTTGAGCCTGCCTTCTGAGACAGCCGTGACAGAGGGAACAACTAAAGCACACTAACTACGACTGGACGGGCCGTAGAGGGGTGGGGGCAGGTTTGAGGTTGGACAGATGTGCTGAGGCTAACACTACCTTTACTATCACACTCCCTGCTCTTGTGCTCTTTACGGCCATTTCTCTGCCACTAAACCTGACCCACCAAGCCTGTGAGAACTCCTTTAAGCTGCACTCTGCCCAAGCCCTCAGCACATCTGTACAGAATAATTCCCAATGATTAGCATGAGGTTGTTTGGTGTGAAATCTTGTAGCTGAACGCTCGTGGTGTTATGGACTATTAGTACTGACTAAGTATTTACTGAGTAACAGTGTTGTGTAGCAAGCAAATGCCTTTGCTTTTCCGTTAGTGATAAAATAATACTAAAGGGTGACATACAGCTGTAACAGTGACAATATTCAGTGTGGTGAATCTTCATAGGCAATGAGGAAAGCATTATATATCTAAAAGAGAAAAAAAGCCAAAAATCCCTCGTTGTCGTCTATAACATGGTGTTTGGATTTCAAGTTTGTAGCCGTCAGAGGTGATGCTAAACCCGCTAACCGCAGGCATGGCTTCAGTGACGTGTTGGTGTCGTAGACGGGCCTCGCCGGGCTAGAGCCGGGGCCTCAGATGTGCATGCCGTATACGACAGGCTTGGGCTGTGTTGTCGTTGTGGAGCAGTAGAAACCGGGACTGTGTCTGTGCATGTAAACCATACACGCCGATTGAGCTCATTCATTCACAGAAGAATGACCAGAAAGCACCTGCCCCCGCCCCACTCCCTCCCAAAGACTCCTCTCGAACCATCCCTCCTCCTCCCTTTCCCCGCCTCATCTCCCAGACCAAAGTTGCTCTCAGACGCGGATCCCCGACGTCCGCTTTGAGGCACGGGTCTGCGGCTAAAAGCAACTCCTCTGTGGCCTCTTCACGTGGCATGATCGGCATGAGTTTGACGACCCAGTGCCTGAGTCTTGCCATCAACAACAGATCAAACCTGGCACTCTATATTTACCAGAACCTTATTGCCTATTGAACAAGCAAGCACATGTAATTTCTATGAACCGCGAATCGCCTCGACGTATCCTTTCATTTCAATCTTTGTTGCTCCCACTGTGTCTGGTGTTACAGGGAAACACAACCTAGTCCGCCTGTGATCTGTGCTAGAATACGTATGATTGTCTCCCCTCTGATGGTAGTGTATGGTACTGCTAGAACAACTGTGAAAATGTTCAGTGCTAGAAGCCGTTTTCTATTTCTCATGCATGAACCATGTTGGCGTAGTTCACTTGAAGGAGTGTGAAAGGGAGAAAAAGCCATCCATTTGAAAAATACCAAACAATCGTTCTTAACAGTTATTTTAGTCATTATTTTAACGTCTCTTTTGCCACTTGTTTGTTTCTTTTTGTTTGTGTTCTATGTATAATATATATTTTTGTTGCTCACATGCCAATCTGGACATGGTACTATTACGCCGAGTCCCTGTCCATTTAACCATAGTGAAGAAAAAGTTGCAATGCTGCATATTAATGTTGTTCTAATGTAGCTTGTGTTTGTAAATGCACTATATTATGGCGTTGCCTGATTTGGGTTTGGTGGCGTGGGTCCCTCTTGTCCTCGGGTTTGTGTTCTGTTCAGTTACAAGTATTTTCATGCTTTCTTGTGTGTTTATTGGAGGGTGACTTGACTGTTTGTGTTGCTTTTTCTTTTTGTAATAAACCTCCATCCAAAAAATTACAGATGGATGACAATGGAGGTTTGCTAGTTCACATAGAATGCTGTGATTAAAGATGCCTTAAGTATTTAACAATCATTATTTATTACTAACTGTAGCTAGCTAGCTATTGTGGTGGAATATTTAATGTCTCTATCTCATAACTTTGCAATTTAATCAATATATTTATTTAGAATAACACAAAATATAAAAAAAAAACTATACCTCATTATGCATTGGTCGGTGGGGATGCTTCTGCATGCTGTTTGTGTTTTCTTTTCCGAGGAGAAAAAAATATTCTTATGGGGAATGAATTGGGGTGGTTCCCGATCCATTTTCTGGCCAGCATGGTGCTGTTGATTCTGGATGACATTCCATTCATTCATTTTGTAATCACATCACTGCTTTAACTTAAAGCAGAGTATGGGCTCCGAGCTCCTCATGTGGCTCTACAATTCACATGCTGACATTTTTATTATTTACCGTTCAGAGCTTTTGTTTTACTTTGTTTTAATATTCAATCATAAATAAATATTAATTGAATTCTTCTTGCTTTAGGTCCCACATAATGTGCTGTATAATCTGTTCTTTAGTATTGCTGGCAAATGCTTTGTGTGGGACTTCGGAAAGTATCTAACTTGCTAACTTGAGCCATTGATTATTGAGCAAATTTCTGGTGTACTGTGGTTATACAATATAGCTAGTGTGTTTTACACTTGGGTTATAATAAGCTACTGTTTTGGTGTGCATTTCTTATTAATACTCTACTAATCCTGCAAAATATAGAATTGGAATGACGCTGGCTGGTCTTACAATAATATAATTTCTTTTCGTGCTCTCACTGGCCTTACCCATGTCCTCCACAGTGTAACCATTGCTCCAGAGTGACCTGGACAGTAGCCATAGTATTAACTCAAGCTGATGAACCGGAATGAACAGTAGAACTTTAAGCACAAGCTTTTTAATGCATGTCCTTCTCAGGTTTTCCTATGTGTATGTGGGAGTAGCTCTGTAGATGTGTTTCATATGATGCTGTACCTTCTTGAATATTTCAGATGTTTCTTTGCTGCTGAAAAAATGTTGATTATTAACCTGCCAGTGAAAAGGGAAGTGGCCATCTTTGTACAACACACTGCTGTTTTGCTGTAACCGCGCAATGTTTTATGATCTTGAGTATTTTATAGAGAAGTAGAAGTATGTATCAATAATATGAAAGCAATAGCTAAATCATAATGAAGAATAACAACAGTGAATATTGTGGAAAATCTTTAGATTCACTCTGGGTGGATTTTGTACTGTATTTATTACTAATGATGATGCAAAAAGTTGCATAGCTTAATCCAAACTGTTCTGTCTCTTTTTTATTTATTGTCTTGTATATGATCTTTTTGTATGTGTTTTTCAAATAAACTGCCTAAAATGCTGACAACTAACGTGTGACTAGTTTGATCTCTATAATCTCCCAAATGACTGTAGGCTGTCGTCAACCAAACAAATGCTTGGTTAATTGAAAATGGGGCATGACAAAATATCTCATCTCATAAATGTTAACGCTTCACTAAACAGCTGATATTAAAAATGTGAACTTTGTTTCTGGCTTTGAAAAATAAATCCCAAATATTCTGCTAATGTCTTCCATAAATTCTCATTTTTGTCGTTTTCTAAATTCTTGCGAGTGGCTCTTTCTGCCCCAAGTGTCCCTCATTTTCTTTTTGCCGATGCAGAAGGACTGATGATCTAGGACCTTTATGAACATTGGCTATGAACCCATGGCTCTAATATGTTTCTTATTATTATTACTGTCTTCTAATTGATTGCCTAATGTGCAGTTGAACACAATATAAAATAAATAAATGTAATAATAAAGAGTGACAGGGTAAGGGACATATTGTGGGGAACACCTTCTCACGCACTACACATCTTATTGTGATAAAGTAAAATGACCAGAGATGAGTTGTTGGAAGTTGGAATAAAGAGACTACACTGACTGCTTCTTGTCTGCCATCATTCACTTCAAATGTGTTGTTTAAATAATACAAACCCAAAGTGGAGATTTAAAATGTTTATTTCTCTATTTTGGTAGAAAGGCTGAGTGTAATTGTTGGCTTTGTCTCTTCCGTTCCGATCCTGTATACTCGACAAAAGTTGGCACGAATGAAGGTTCTCCACGTCATAACTTTCTGTGTAACAGGGTAGAAAAAAAACGCTGCCGTCCATGCCACGATTAAAGGCCCCATATTACACTTTTTGCTTTCTGCTTTACACATCATACAGTGCTATTTGGCCTTCATACACATGCCTAGAGTAGTTTTTCAAGCTTCAGTAAGAGAGCAATCTTTCTATTTCTTTCTTTAGAGGCAGCAAAACACCCGGGTCTGTGATGACTTCAACATTGACAACGCAGAAGCCCATAATTGTTTAAAATAGTTCAAAATTATGTTGTCAAAACAGGGAGAAGGGTGAGGGTAGGAGGGGGGCGGGGTCACAGACAGAGGAGCAGAGAGAACCAGGGATCAGCTCGTTGCAACTGAGGTGACAAATGGCTATAATCTAAGTTTTGAGTGTTGTATGGAGTATGGTTATTATCACACATGTGCTGAGGAAAGACTGTGAAAAATAAAAAAACAGCGCAATATAGGACCTTTAAATCTCTAATATCTGGGGTAGAGCACTCTCTGCGTGTGTCCGTCGGCCTTCTTGGTGTCCAGCCACTTGCTGCACATGAAGATGGTGGTGACGGAGTTGGCCGTGTTGGTGACCTCCACACACTCTAAGTACCACCCGCAGCTGGGGCCGCTGTTGTCGTGCTCCACCTTGATGCGCAGCAGTTCTCCCAGGTCCAGCATCTCCACCACGAAGCGGTCCGTCTGCCCGCGCTCAAACAGGTTACGGAACTTCTGGCGGAGGTGGCGCTTGCCCGAGTCTCCGTTGACGCCGTAGAGTGTGATGAAGACATTGGCGTCCGTCCCGGCGCCTTTCACGTCCCCAGTGATCACGATGATCTCGTACTTGACCGGCACCAGGTTCCGCACTTTGCTGGCGAAGCTCTCCACTGATTTGTAGCACTCGAACGTCAAGAACTGGTCTTTTTTGGCCGCCAGGGGAATCTGGACGTCACAGCGGAAGAAATACCTGCGAGACATAAAGAGTCGGGCTGTAACGAGTTCAATCGATTTATTGCAACTAATCGATTATTGAAATAGATGTCAACTAATATAGTCAAGGATGAATAGTGTTATCTGGCAAAAAAGTAGCTAAAGTGAGATTCAGTGGGCATTCTGAAATTGCAGTATTTACTAAATGTAAAAAGTTCATTTTCATAATTATTATTATTATTAACCTTTATTTAACCAGGAAGTCCCTTGAGATAAAACCTCTTTAACGAGGGAGACCTGGCCAAGAACACCTTGGTAACACATAACATACATACATAAGCACAAACAACGACATTATAAAAATAAATCAAATTGGTTACAATGTCCAGCTCAAGAGTAACATCTTCACATTTCAGTCAATCTCTCCTTAAATAGAAATTTAAATGAGACCAGGGGACAAAGTTCTTTTAACTGTAACAAGTTTTGGATGTTGTTCCAAGCCCATGGTGCTGCATAGAAAAAAGGCCAATCTGCCCAAGACCTGACCTGTACCGCTGAAACATGTCAGGCAATTAAGCAGTACTAGCTTTCTTTACTTTCTTGTCTTATTAAAAGAACTTTCAAAGCCTGCAGTATTTAGTATTCACAAATGAGAAGACACGTGTTATCTAAATCGAACAACTCAAAATTAAACAACGCCGATGTGCTCCAGGGGCATCTAAAGAATTGCAGTCACTGACCTTTCAGGATCTAAACAACTAATACATGAATCGTGAGAATGATCATCCAAATAATCCATAATCAAAACGATCATTTATGACAGTCCAATAATGAGATGATCTGGTCTTTTCTTACACCGCTTTAGTTCTGAATGAATAACATGAATACTCACTTGTTCCCCAGCTCCTTCTCTGTAACGACCACTTCCATAACATGCCAGAACTTTGCACTCTTGGGCTTCTTGCCATCTTTGGTTATGTGGCCCAGACAGATGCCGGCGATTTCTCCGACATGTTTGGATGAAAACTCAAAGGTGTCCGTGGCGCCGCTGAAGAAGGCAGAAAGTTAGGACATTAGCTGCTGAATAATTAAAATCTGGTTTGAAGGAGTTTTTTTTTCTTTCATGTCCCTCAGGATGGGATCTCCCTGGAGAGGCTGGGAGAGCGGAAAGTGAGGCGAGATAAAAGAGGAGAAAAACTGAACGTGGAGGAGGATTATGTAAGGACCCCACAAAGGGCCTCACTGCACCTAAACTGGGAAGACCCACCATAAGAACTTCTTTTTCTTATTCTCCAGCACAAACTCCTTGGAACGAGCTTTTCTTCCTTCCAACACGATCCAGGCATTTTCTGAGGTCGAGGCATCGTCCGTGTTTGCAGTTGTGGTGGCAATTTCATATTCTGTTTTAAGTAAATGCAACAGCACAGTTATAACACAGCTGCAAATAAATCTAGAAACACACAGCAATAAAATATGAGGAAATAAATGCTTGAATCGAGTGGTTTTTATCTAAATTTGAGCACATTTTGAGGCTTTAAATTTGCCAATGGGACAAAGCCATTGAGTCTTATTTCAAGAACTGTTGCTTTATTTTCTCATTCCAAGGAAAACATTTCTTGTATCTTTTTAAAACAAGATAATTTTGCGTGTCCCATTGGCAAATCAAAGGCAGTCAAAATGTGCTCTGCCAATTTTGATGATTTCACTGACTTTCAAGACCCACAGAATATTGTGTGCTATGACTATGTAAAATATGGAACCAGATTCTGAAAGAATGGACTGCCTATTTTCATCAGCAAAAATATGTTGGTTTCTAGCTAGTTTTGTTCTTCTGTGTTCCCCAGTGGAATATAGGGAAGTTTGACATAATTCATGGCATAACTCAGACAAATACGTCAATGACAGTCAATGAGTTAAGATATATATTTATATATATATAGACTTTATATAGACTTATTGTTCATGTGTTTTTTTGCAGTACATGGCTTCTACTTCTACTCCACTACGCACTGGTTTTGTCACTGAGGTCGATGGCGTCGTTGTTGGCACATGCCAGCTCCCTCATTATCTGTCCGTCATCCTCGCTCTTGGCCAGCCAGCGGTCACAGGGAAACCTGAAGGTCTGGTCCATGGCCTCGTCTTTCACATCAATGTACTCCAGGTGCCAGCCGGGAGCAGGACCTGTTTGGAGACAGGAGACAAGTTATTTTTGAAATACACAAATCTTGATGAGAGAGTATAACACAACAAATCCACACATGGGCTCAGATTCAGAACAGATGCAAAGTCTGTTGTGTTGCGAGCTGGGAACAAACAGCCACCACCTGTCACTGAAGCCTCTACAAAAGCTACACTTACACAATCTGTGCAGAGGCTGAATAGTATAAGGTTGTGTAAAAGTGTTAAAGCGGGGCTCTCCAACCTGTGGCTCGGGGCTACCAGTAGAATTTAACACCTGAATGATTCACTTTTGAGTAATTACATACATAAATCTTGTCATAAATGCAGGGATTCTGTACAGTATAATGGTGTATTATGCATATGTGTTATTATGCATAATTGTATTACGATTGTTAAAGGAGTAGCTCTATGCCATTTCAGAGTTATAAAAGTAGCTCTCCAATCGAATAAGGATGGAGACACCTGCTTTAAAGTACTCCAAATATAACAGTATAGTAAAGTTGGTCATGTATGTGACTAAAACAAGCATCCCACCACACATGCAACAATTAGATTAAAAAAACATGTATTCATTGTCCTTCTGTGACAAAGTGACAACACAGTATTTACTGCTTCTCACCCTTGTTGTCGTGCCACACGCGGACCTTGGACAGCTCCCCCAGACTGAGCATATCTGCAAACCTGAACACATCTTTGCCCTTCCGCTCAAACTTGTTCCTGTTTGTGCTTTCCTTCAGAGGCAGAGTCCCCGTGTCGCCGTACTCCCCGAACACGATGAGGAACACGTTTGCGTCTGTCCCCGCCGCTGCAAAAGACACAAAGGCTCCGTGAGAGGCTGATCCAGATGATTTGATAGTGAGTTTTATCCAGCTCACCTCCCACATCACTGGTTTGGACTTGGATGGTGTAGGTCGTGCTTTCCACCATCTCCTCATCGTCCACTGTTGCAGGCAGCTCACACACCTTAGTCCTCTTTGGCCCCTTGGTCTTTGATAACCAGTTCTCATACGTGAACTCGTAAACCTCCTCCGTAGTAAGGTTTTTCAGCATAATCTAAAACATACACATTAACATTACAAACAAACACATCTGTAATGGTAACTGTCTGTTGTGTACTAGCCTATTGGGTGGTAGGAGAAATTCATCTTGGGACAGGGGTATGTGGTGCACAGTATCATATTTGTATTCTGAATGTTGATTAGTTGCATTGTATTTTTTCTATTATTGTGTTGAATGGTGAGAAATGTATAAAGGCATGCATGATAAAAATCTTAATACAATTTTCTAATATATAGTTTGTTAATTACATTTATTTCAAACCTGCATAACTCAATATCTCTACACTTATACAGGTTTGAAAAGGGGTTGGATGAAGCAGATGGTTTTTTTCTCCCAACCCAAAATCGAACTAACTATATATTAGAATTGTATTAAGATTTTTTCATGCATGCCTTTATAATTATATGTGACCTATTTTTGTATTTTTCCTATCGTGTTTGCGCCAAAGCAAATTCCTAGTTTTTTTTACTTTGCGTTACTTACCATGAAATAAGAATAATTCTGATTCTGAAACTGACTTTCATTTTTTAAACTCACCTTATCAAGAAACCAATCAGGACGACTGCCGGTGCCATCTATCCGAACTCGAATCTTCTTCAGAGGAGCAATGTCATCAATTTCTAAGCTAAACGAGTCTTCCTGATCTCGTTCAAACCTTAACACACAAAAGTTATTCATTAAAACAAGAGCAAACTTAGAGATAATGTAGGAGTTGATGTAGTATCCCAGACCTGTCTCCATTTTTGGGCAGCAGCATCTCCTCTGTGCAGCCGTTGGCCCCGTACACACTCAGAAAGATGTTGGTATCGGTCCCTGCATACTGAGTGTCACCTGTGACCACTGTGGCCGAATACACCACCTACAATCGAGAGGACGGAAACATCGCAGTGACAAAGCAGAGCAAAGGCCCAGATAGAAATCCTCATTTTAGTATATTCCTATTTTTGCCGTTAATGATCTGAAAATCATATCAAGACCTTTTTTTAGTACAGCAGCCATTTGTTACTTTACCAGTGAGATTAGCTCGACAAGGTGATTTCTGGCAACCCGGATCATAGACTTTCTGGTTGGTAAAACAATTTAGTGGGGGGGACATCAAAATTAAAACAATAACAAGATTTAGGGGCTGTAAAACTCATTTTGAAATTTGCATATCCCGGCTGAATTATTGTTATCAGTTAAAGAAGTATTGGAAAAGAGCATGGTTCATTAAAGTCTTTTGACAGATTAGGGCCATTTAATGATGACTTGACATGAAAATACTTTAATAAATCTATGTTTTAGTTATTCTGGACACATGTCTTTTTGAATGTCCTGAAATGTCCCTCCTTTTCCCCTGAACATTGTGTGGTCCTGATGGCCACTCACTTTGCGGTTGATGTTGATGTTAGTGGAGTCCAACACGTTGAAGAGTCTGGCAGTCAGTCCGTCTCCGCGGTCTTTGGCGAGCCAGCACTTACACGTAAAGATGTACTTGATACCTTTGGTTGGCACGGCAACGGCCAGCTCATCCACCAACCAGCAGCTCTCTGGAGTGAGACCGTTGTGGCCGAGCTAAAACAGAGAGGGAAGAGGAGGACTGTAGAGCAGGCAGTCTGATTTACAAGCAGTGCAATAATCGAGTATAGGTCCGTAGATTTCATGTTTCAGACGTCCAAATGTGTTCCCAGATCATGATTAGATAGTAAATACAAACCTGCCATATTATTCTAATGTTTGAAATTCATTTCTTTTGGCCAACATAATGTTTGAACCAACATTATGTTGTGGGGAAGGTGTTATAGGTTTCCTCCAGGTGCTGCGGTTTCCCCTACCACTAAAAACATGTAAAATAGGTCTGGCATGCGCCTCCTGTACTGGCGACCTGCTCCCATCTCTGTGTGGAGTGAGGGAAAAATGTCCCAAAGGCTGTATATAAATAAAGATTACTTACTTACTTAAATAAATATCTTAATATTGCTCTGTGTTTACTGCGATGACTTTAAATGCTGACAGAGACAGATTCTCACTTCAACACGCTTGATCTCTCCCACGTCTGTGCCGTAGCAGACGAAGTGCTCCATGGAGCCTGCAGCGAAGCTTGTTTTCCCCTCGGGCAGATCCAACCACAGCCGCTCCGTCTCCGTGTCGTTTGGACCCAGGATGATGACATAGACGCGGGCGGTGGTGCTGGAGTCTTGCTCACTGGCCGTGGACAGGGTGAAGTGGTACGGGATGACTGGGAACAGAAACATATTTGATTATTTAGAGCCCCTTCGCAGCAACACAACAGACAATACAATACAAACAATAATCTAGAGCTAGACTTTATCTCCACATTGACCAAAACTGACCGAAACTAAATAATTGGTATGACAAACACAGTATTTTTAATTGAGAGTTACAGAACCAATCCCATGTCTGTGAAATGTGCTTTAGAAATTGGATTTATTTGTGTGCCTATTTTCTTTCTTTCAGTGATTAAAAATATTGCAATTTTAATGAAAGGACAGGAAAAAGGCTTTTTTATTGTTCTGAGGGGAAACGCTATTATACATTGTTTACATAGTAATACATCAGCCATGTACAGTATACATTTATAGCGTTTTTGAGTCTGTTATGAAGTTTCTGATGGTATTTAGCTTTAGCTGCCATGCTACCTAACTATTATTAGAGGATACAAGTTTTGTCTAATGGATAATGTCATAAATCCATTGCTGTGTTTGAAGAATTCATCCACCACCAACCTAAAAGATGATTCTTGTTCCATGTCAAGAAATATAACCAACTTATCTTATTGCTAATATTATGTAGTTTAATACATTATGTGACTGTATCATAGTTAAAATAATGTTGATTATATTTCTACTTACTTGGCCCTTCTTCAACCACCGCTGTCTTCTTCTTCTTTTTCTTCTTCTCCTTTTTGTTGGCGTTTCGGTCCAGCCCGAGTTTGGCCTGAGCTAATTTCTTTGTGTTTGGATCAGTGTTTCGTTCCCCCTCGTAGCCCTAAGAAGACACAAAAACATGAACGGAATATAAAGGTGAACTTTGTAAACTAATATCACTAGTATTTATTTAGTTCCTTTTATTGCTCAAAATAAATCATTACCGTGAGCAGCATCCTCTCTTTACTGATCAAAACTGGAAGAGGTAAGCCACCATAACTTTGGAATTCTCTATTTCAAACTAAATCTTCTTTTGTGATATTTAGTTTGGTGTTATCCAGGTTACCAATTAAATTAACTTCAATATTCAGTATTTTCCCTTTATGTTAAAACACAAATGTTTGTACTTTCCAAAATGTGTTACTTTGAAAATCTTTGCAGATAAAAATATAAAATATGAAGCTATAAATCATGAAGCAATAAACTAACACTAGAAGCATGGCTAACCACAATGATAATTGTAGTTAGCCATGTTTCTAGTTCAGAACAGGATAACGTTCTGCCTTGTTTTGTTAGTTGTAAAGTTCTGTGCCACTATAGTTCTTTGTACTTCACCACAACAATAAACCGGGTCACATTTTTAATGAATGTATACAAATAAGAGCTTGCACTTCTTTAATAATCTATAAATTCAAACGAAAAATGTTTTTTTTATACATTCATCCAAACAAATACTTAAGTAGTTACCACTTTTGTCACTGCACATGTTTCTGCATTTCATGTTTATTCTATAGTTCATAAACATGGCTTGGAGAATACGAGTATCCGTTATAGCAAGATAATAATACATCAACATTTGTATCAGTATGAACCCGACAAACCTTAACAAAGAAGTTGCGTGCGATCTGCTTGTCCTCCTTCTTCTTGGACAGCCAGCGTTCACACAGAAACATGTACACTTCCTCTGTGTCCGCGTCCAGCACCTCCACCTGGTCCAAGTACCAGTCTGCCCCCATTCCGGAGTCATCGTGGCGGATCAGGATCTTAAACACCTGCCCCAGGTCCACGGATTCAATCGTGAACTTGTCCACCTGAGGTCAAAAATGAAGGAGAACTATTACGCAGTGCAATATGATCACAGTTTATAGCAATGTGTTGAGGAAGCTAACAATATAGTTTTTTGTTCAATTTTCATAAAAGGAGGAACATATTAATGGTTTCCTAGATCACTTCTTTCTATCTTACCTGAAATCTACTGAAATCTAACTCTTTGGGACACCTCAGTTGGTTTTAAGCACTTTTACCATCAAACTGCATCTCAACCATTTGGTAAAGACCTATATTTTAAGAAACTAGGGATTAAAAAAAAACAAAAAAAACATAAAAACTATTTATTTGTGATATTACTGTAGTATCCTACACAATCCGAAAAAGAAACAATGACATCGATTTCTTCAAGGAGTGAATGTTAAAGAGTTAAAATGTGCTGTTGTCTGTGATGAACAAAGCAAAGGATCATGGTCTATCTACAGTTGCTCAATCATTGTCAGTGGTCGTGTGAAGTTTCCGTTCCCCAGTTCTGTATAGCGTATACATGTATGTCTCCTTTAAAATCTAATAGCTGTCCATTCTTCTTCACAGAAAACCTCCAGTTCTTGTCAATTCCTGGGCTGCCTTGCTTGAAATGGACATTCAATGATGTTATAATTTGAAAATAGAAAAAGGGTGACAGGGTGTATACACTTTACTGTGTGTAAACCCCTCCACCTTTTTGGGTTCTGTAGAAACAATGTTAAAACTTAAAACAATGTCTTTGGAAAGTAGTTTGTGATTTGATTTAGTGCAACAATCCAGTTTATTAAAATAGGATTTTTAACCTTATAAAATACATATTTTTGAGGTAAATACTGTGAGTATTTTTGGGATTCACAAACATGCATGAATTGAAGAGAATATAAAGTTTTTGGCTTCTGCCTTCTCTCTTGAAATTATATGTACCAGCAAAATATAAATTGTAAAACTGCTCAAATAAACAACTACAACTACTACGACTAGATAAAAAAGAAATCTATAAAACCAATCTACGATACAAACACAGCAGCAAACAATGAGAACAACAGTACCTCTCCGCGCTCAAACTTGTTCTTGTTGGTCTCAGATTTTGCCAGTTTGCGCTCCCCTGTGTCGCCCAGGTCTCCGTAGATCGTAAGAAAAACATTGGCATCAGTCCCAGCTCCAAACATGTCTCCAGTCCTCACAGACACTTTGTAGGAATGAGCTGGAAACACATAAGAGATAAGATAAGATAGACTTTATTGATCGCACACAGGAGAAATGTACATGGGTAAGCACGTTTTTGTTTAATTTGTTGCCTCACCTTAAATCTATAGTGAGGAAAAAGAAGCAGATCTCCGTTCTATGTCAAGGTCCTTGATTGAATCTTGTTCATGATGTGTTTTTGACCTTGCTTTGTCTGACTTTTGAGATCAATGAAGTACATATGTTATGGTTGTCATTTTTTGTTCCTCTTCAAGTTTGTATTATCTGTTCTTCTATGTCTTTTTGAGTTTTAATTCCTGTTCTGTTGATGGCCAGCTTTCCTTGATGTGTTACTCCTGGGTCTCCCGGGTAAATTTCATGCGCTCTTTCCCTCTTATTGTCAGTCCATTGTGTGTTTGTTCCGTGATGCTTGTCTTTGTCCTCAGTTCCTATTTTACATTCAGTTGAGTTTTGATTTGGATTTTTGTTCATAAAATGATATTATTTTGCAGTATTTTGGGTCTTTCCTCCTTTCCACCACATAACAACATAAAAGTCTACATTTGGATTTCCAGTTATACCATTTCTTAGATGTGAAATAAAAATATCAACCAATCAACGTGTAGGAGTGTCAATAATCAATATGCGAGTAATTATGGCCCACGTACTCTCCAGAGCGTCCTCCACCTCTGTCTCTGTCGTTTTCAGTTTTCCATCTCGTAGCAGTTTTTCTGTGATGATGTCAGAAGGCACCAGCTCTACAACCGTCTCTCCATCCTCCTCAGATTTTGCCAGCCAGCGCTCACAGGGGAAAATGGTCGTCTCTGAACCCTGTAAATAAACAAAAGCGAATGTCCAGTCACGCACAGAGGCACATGTGTAAGTAATATTGTGTCAGCAAAAAAATAAATACATTGTGACATATATACATGTGTATACAGTGGCTTGCTGAAGGACAAATACAACTTGTCCTTTGTTACTTTGTGTGTGTGTGTGTGTGTGTGTTTGTGTACCGTATGTATATGTATGTTTGTATGTATAACAACACATTTCTAACTGTGTATTGTTTGCAAAATGTCTATTATTGTATTTTTGAGCATGTCAGTCTTCCTTGTGTCAAAGAACCCCCTCGAAAAAGAGATGATCCATCCCAATGGGGCTATCCTTATGTAAATAAATGAATAAAACAAAAATGAAAAAAACTTGAACGTTTGCACATATAGTCATGTTTGAGACTGAAGATAATGACAAAAGATGCAAAGGATTGCGTCTCAGCAGAGGACATGTTTTATGGTTGCATTGTTACCAGAGTTCCACAGCGCTCATAGGGTTTTATACAAAATAACGACTCTCCCTCAGCATCTGCCTCAACGCCACTAGATAAGTTAGCTTCAACCTTCAGATAATCAAAACATCAAGTGTAAAATCATGACTTCTTACATGTTGTTGAAATGGTGAGTTTAGTGTAAACATAATCACACAACGAGTCGAAAGCAAAATGATACATGATTTGATTTTTCAACACATGCTTTTCTACACCATGGATCAATATTTTTTAGCAATCAATGTGTAATTTGGGGCAAATCTAATATCATATCAATAAAATTACTTGCTGGTGCTAAAGGTCACAAAGACAGAAATTTCAAGATTTCAAAAATAAATTAAAAATAATAATAATAAAGCACTTGAGCAGGCCACAGTATTTACTCATAGTACTTATACTACTCAAAGCACTGCTCATGACAAGTCATAAATACTAGAACAAATTAATGTTGTGTAAATATGAATTGTTTTATGTGAAAACTGCACATGCTTGTACTGTACATTGAAAGCAAATGTGTTTTCCATATCAGCCTATGCACATGGAGATTAGCATTATAATCAAATGCATTTAATACATGTAAGAAATTAACCACAAGTACAAGAGATAAAATGAAAAGTGGAAGCATTTATTACTCCACTTGATAATTCAATATTTGTTAAATATGTGTTATGAATGTTTTTGACAGTAGAACTGAAATATGCTTTTGTCCATGTGATCATCTACCTTCCCTTTCCTCAGCTGTCTTCTGATTTCGACTCGGTCCAGATGCCATCCCGGGTTGGTGCCTTTGTTGTCGTGTCCTATTCTGATCTTTTCAATCACATCGCCGACATCCTCCAACTGTGAAAAGACGAAGCAAAATAGACACAATGTTTACAAAGCTGCAGCAAGAGTCTTAGAAGAGATCTCTCCGAATGCGGGCCCATACCTCTACAATAAACATGTCCTCGGCTGCCCTCTCAAAGTAGAGCCGGCGTTCTCGTGCATTCACACACAGGTGCTTCTGCTGCGTGCTCACTCCCTTCTGTCCGTACAGCGCAATGAACACGTCTGCGTCCGTCCCGGCTGCAAACTCGTCACTTGTGTAAATCTTGATTTCATAAGGGACAACTGAAAGAAAAAAGATCAGTCTGAGATTAGAATGTGATTGATGGTACAAAAATTGTACGTTGCCTACGTATATACTATGGATTGTAGCTTTGAAGGTCTCAATTAAATTAAATGAAATTTATTTTTGTATAGCCCTAAATCACAACAGCAGTTATCTCGGGGGACTTTACAAAACCGTCAAATTTGTTTGACCTGTTTGATCAGAGAATCAAACAGGTCAAACACAAGAAATACAATGATAAAAAACACACATAGAGCCATTGATCCAAAAGGGTTTGATGACCAATGTCCATAAATGTAATGACTGTAATTGTTAATAAAATCTATGAATATGAAATCTATCTAACATACAGAATAAGCATATACAAGCATTTGTACTGCAGCAAATACTGCAGTACAAATCGTCTGTTTCCTTCACTCAAATCAAATGTATGGACTTCCGATTTGTTTCCGATTGGCGCGGCCATACTAATACTTTTATTTCTGTTGACAAATTTGTTTTAGGAATGTTTTGGTTCTACTACAAAGTTGACGACAGGCCGGCAACCAAAGGCGCAATGTAAATTTACTTTAGTAGTAGGGGCCATTTTTTCCATTTCCAACATTTATTTACTCTGAGCAACATTTTGTGAGTTTTACACAATGGATTTTAAGCACAAACTGGTCTCCTCCCCATGCCGTTAAAAATTAAATAAATATATCTTCCTTAAATTGTGTTTATTTTAACAAGGGTATATATTATTTGGAATATCTCACAGCAAATAGCATTTTAAATCAAAACATGTTTTGGCAGCAGCATTATTCGAAATGTGTCTTTGTTGATGTTCAGTTTGTTCACATTTTCCTCTGCACACATTCGAGAAGAGTCACAGAGAGACGGGTTGATTGGTCGGTTTTTGAGACGTGTGAGTTGGTGGAGCAGCCCAGACCAACAAGCACTGTAGTCATCAGCAGCTGACAAAAGAGGTGGGCTCATCTCACACCTGCAGACATGACTGACAGCTCCAAGGAGGCGTCCTCCTCTGCCATGGCAAACAGATGCGCTCGCAAAGGTGCTCTGATTCAAAAGAAAATCCATTTGATAAAGGACCACGCATTCATAGCCCGAGGCTTCAAGGCTCCCACCTTCTGCAGCCACTGCAAGGACTTCATCTGGGGATTTAGACAAAATGGATACCAATGCATGGTGTGCTGTTTGACTGTCCACAAGAGGTGCCACGAGCTCGTCATGTTCTCCTGCGCTGGAGCAGACATGGGTCCAGACAGTGATGATCCTCGACTGAAACACAAGTTTCAGGTTCACTCCTACATCACGCCAACCTTCTGTGACCACTGTGGGTCGCTGCTCTCTGGCCTCCGCAACCAAGGGATGAAGTGTGCCTCCTGTGACATGAGCGTACACAGCAAGTGTGTGACCAAGGTGCCCAGTCTGTGTGGGACTGACCGCACAGAGAGCAGAGGCCGACTCTTCCTGAAGGTGGAGGCAAGTGATGATAAACTGAATATCACAGTTGGTGGGGCTAAGAACTTGACCCCCATGGACCTGAATGGACAGTCAGACCCATATGTTAAACTCAGGCTCATCCCAGTCCTCCAATGTGATTCCAAGCTAAAGACCAAGACCATCCGAGGCTCTCTCAACCCCACATGGAATGAACCTTTTACTTTGAAACTAGGGCCAGCAGACAAAGATCGTAGACTGTCAGTAGAAGTTTGGGACTGGGACCGAACATCCAGGAACGACTTTATGGGATCCATGTCCTTCGGAGTATCAGAGCTCCTGAAGTCTCCAATCTGTGGCTGGTACAAGTTATTGTGTCAGGTAGAGGGTGCATTTTTCAATGTTCCACTCTCAGAGGAAAACGATGGAAATAAAGAACTTCGCCAGAAATTGGAGAAAGCCAAGCGAGGCCCAGGAGAGAGGAGACTTTCAGAAAGCCCTGCCATCCAGCGGTCGTCCACCAGCATGAACCGGGTCAGTGACTTTAACTTCCTCACTGTGTTGGGGATTGGGAGCTTTGGCAAGGTTATGTTAGCAGAGATGAAGACTTCTGGGGAGCTGTATGCTATAAAGATCCTGAAGAAAGAAGTGGTGATTCAAGGTGATGACGTAGAGTACGCACTGATGGAAAAGAGGGTTCTGGCTCTCCAGGACAAGCCACCCTTCATCACCCACCTGCACTCCTGCTTCCAAACAGCGGAACGTCTGTTTTTTGTAATGGAATATGTCATTGGAGGAGATTTAATGTTCCATATTTATAATTTTGGCAAATTTAACGAACCTCGGGCAAAGTTTTACGCTGCACAGATTGCACTTGCACTCTTTTTCCTTCACTGCAAAGGTGTCATCTATAGAGATCTGAAGTTGGACAATATAGTCCTTGACTCAGAGGGACACATCAAGCTAACAGACTTTGGCTTAAGCAAGGACAACATGGTGGACGGAGTGACCACTGACACAATCTGTGGAACCCCTGACCACCTCGCTCCAGAGATGCTTAAAAACGAGCCATATGGACGGACAGTGGACTGGTGGTCGTATGGAGTCGTGCTCTATGAAATGCTGGTAGCACTTCCCCCGTTTGTGGGAGAAAACAGAGATCTCCTGTACAAAGCTATCAAGGAGGCTTCAGTGTTCTATCCTTGGGGCCTGTCTAAAGAAGCAGTTTCCTTTTGCAAAGGGTTGCTGACCAAAAAGCCAACGGAGCGACTGGGCTGTGGTCCGGAAGGGGAGCGGAACATCCGGGAGCATGCCTTCTTCCGGCGCATCGACTGGGAACGCCTCGAGAGCAGAGAGATCCAGCCTCCCTTCAAGCCAAACGTGTCGGACAAAGGGGTAGAAAACTTTGACAAGTGTTTCACGCGCAAACCGCCTCTGTTCACACCCACGAACCAGAGGGTCATCAACATGATAAACCAAAAACAATTTACTGGCTTCTCCTTCATCAACTCTGAATCCCACAGTCCATGAAGAAGTAAATAAATAAATTAAAGCTGTGTGTGTATGGTTTTCACTCTTGTTCTACTATTTTATCTAATACATCTATCATATGACAGTGTAATTAGTTATTACACACCAAAATGGAGATTTATCAAGCCTTTATTTGTTCTAATGTTGATAATCGTCTCACAGCTTGTAAAACCCCCAAATAAAACATCTCCAATATCTCAATATTTTCATCAACATAACAACAAACAAAAGCTTGGCATATGTCACTTACTGTGTATGCAATAAGTCTATGGCATATGTTTCAGTACATCTTGTCTTAAAACAGGTTTTAACAATGGGACAAGAATTTTTTTAGAAATGTACTCAATTCAAAATAAAAACCACATTTTTTTGACTTAATACATTTAGTTGAGTCTAAAATACTATTGTGTATTGTGATATATTTGGTGCATTTGCATGTAAGAACAACAAAACTCAATATTTAGTATGATAAATATGAGTGAGAAAAATGGTATGATGTGAAGAGAGTTTGTTTTGTGCATTTGTAAATGGTCTCATTGGACAAAGGAGAGAGGCCTGTAATCTGCACACCAATACATTTTGCACAGTCTCACAATAATGTTCGGACAGCTGTTATCCCGAACTGACAGATCATGGAACCCCGACTCACATGGCGTGTAGTATTCAGTTTGTAATTCTGCGGGAAACAGGTCTCGTACTATGGCGCCGTCGTCCTCGCCCTTGTCCAACCATCTGCCGCAGGGGAACCGCAGTCGCTGACCTTGGGACGGAGCGTCAATCTCCACCCAGTCCAAGAACCAGCCTGAAGACCCGCCTGCAGACACAGAATAACGACAGCTCTGCTTTACACAACAGTCATGACAGGGAGAAGTTGGAAATAAAAGTAATTGGAATAACTAGATAAATCATTTGGCCATGTTTCTGAAGCGGTTTTCATTAAACAAGATGGGGTGGACGGTCCCAGAGAGATAGGGTGAGGACCTCAGTCACGTGGGAGGAGCTCGAGGTAGTCGCTGTTACTCCACATAGTGAAGATTGAGTCAAGGTGCTTCCAGGACGCCTCCCTGGGGAGGTGTTTGAGTATGTCCCACTGAGAGGAGGCCCTGGGGAAGACCCACGACATGTTGGAGGGATGAGCTGGAGAAAGTGTGCATGGAGAGGGAAGTCTGGGCGTCTCTGTTCAGAATGATGCATCTGCCACCCGATACAGATACATGGATGGTTGGATTATATTGCATTCAATTAGAATTTTATGCACAAATGTATGTATAATATTATATTAAAAGAAAGAGATTTAAAATTGATTACTAAAGTAAGCAGATGTATTATCCTTATGAGGAAGTCGCTCTTTCATAGCACTGTCATTTTCACTGTAATGGCAATATTAACCTGCTCTAATGTGTTGTTTGGCTAATTCCCTGTACAAGCAGTTTATATTTATTGCTGCTTACCTGAATTGTCATGTCCAATTCGCATCTTTTCCAGGTCTCCCAAGTCCACTGCCTCCACGATGAACTCATTAATCATCCCTTGCTCAAACTTGTTCTTGTAGTTCTTACAGGCTTTGAGGTTGATAATACCTGTGACCAGAATAACAAATGTAACAAAGGCTTGTGCAGTTCCACCAGTGGAATCACAATGAACCTGCTGGTGATTGTTCCCTGGGGCTGAGAGAACAACTGCACCTTATTTACAAATATCGCTCTACTCAAGCAGATTGTGAAAATAGAAAGCAAGTCATACAGTAGCTGTTTTTTTGAGCACTTAACGACTTACATTATCATTGTTATTATAACAGAAAAGCAATTAATGTGCAGTGTATGTGTAATGTTAAAACTAAATCAAAGCCAAATTCACAGTATTCTATGTCAATTCACACAGACATGGGAGAATATTACTAATTAATCAACACAAAAGTATGTAAATGTGCTGAAAAGGGTTCAGTTGAGTTTATTTTTCATTATTAGTTCCTTATGAAAAAGGCAACCACAAATATAACATCACAAATTGCAAATGATGCACTACATACATGACTACCGGTAGTTTTTCTACAAGGTGAAATTTGACGATTCCTTGATTATAGTGATCAGGATAGAAATTAAGGTCACAGCCAGAATTACCTGTGTCATCGTTTTCACCAAAAAGAATGGCAAAGACGTTGGCATCTGTTCCGGCATACTTCTTTTCTCCAGTTTTGATTTTCAGTGTGTATGTAGTCGACATGGCTGCAAGATAAATTCAGAATTCCACTTGTCTAATCCTTTAATCTCCTGTCGCACACCTGCACTGTTCTGATAAATACTTGAAAAGCTTTTCTTCATCCTCTGCCTAGAAAACAGCTTTAAAATATTTTTTTCTTACACTTCTGTTCGAGTCCCAGTTTGGCTCCCCCCCCTTCTTCATCATCGTCGTCTTTCCACATGAAGGCCTCGTCCACCGGCACCAGCTCTCTGGCGATCTGTCCGTCATCCTCATCCACAGCTAACCAGCGATTACACGGAAAGAAATATCTACAACATGAAAATCACAACATGAAAACCACCATTGAAGAACGTCTAGTTTGAGTGACATATTTTTTACAGTAACAACATTTGTGAATATAGTATTTAGTAGTTATAATCTATACCCACTTTATCTGTCATTATAATGCTTCGTTGTGGATAACATAATGATAGTACTATTGTTAATTTACATATAATGCATCGGTTTAATATAGTGCTTTTTTGGACACGCAAAGAAGCTCCTCATGTCATTATTCTTTCACCCCATACACAGTGGTGCTAAACTACTACTGTAGCCACAGCTGCCCTGGGGCACACAGATAGGATTGAGGCAACCAGTATGTACCCTTGGCCCCTATGACCACCACCTACAATTCTCACACTCACCAGACTCATTCTGGGCAATGTGGGTTAAGTGTTTTGGACACAACTACAGTTAGGCATTTTACAGCCGCCCCCCTGTGGCACCTGGTGTTCCCAGAGGTCTCCCATCACAGTACTAACCAGGCCCTAACAAGGGTTTATTTTGTACACAATGTTTACTGTGATTGCCTGTATTGTTTTGTTGTATTGTGGGGTTTCTCACAGTCCATCAATTTGTGTTGGTCATAGTGGTTGACGACAGTCAGTGCATATTGCCATTGTGTCCTCAGGCAAGACATGTCCTCTGCCTTCAGTGTAGTGTGTATGGATGCGTGCTTGTTGGTGTGTACAAAAGTGGGACAACAGATGGAGCTAAGCCTATGGCAACAATGCGGCCTGTTTACATGTCTTTCTAAAATTGTGGCATCACATTGTTTGCTAATGATAGTCTCTGTAAACTTATCAAACTACAGCCAGGGTACCCATCTTTTTTTTGTCTGGAGCACCGAAGAAAATCAATCTAATACAATTTCGTGTCACTCCAATCTTTCCAGGTTTAAAATATGTGGTATAAGCTTTGTACAAGTAAGACAGATTTAAAGAAACTTCCTGATTTCATTGTGCAATAATTAGGTACCCAGATTTAATCATTTAATCTATGTCTGTCATGAAGCAGAAATAAATGTAGTTGTGGTAGAATGATGACTCCACTTTCTAAAAGATATTGTGAAAAAAACTGTTGATTAAAAATGAGAAGAGAAGAAGTTTGAACAGATTATTTCTATATTATATACCCTATTGTTAATGATATTCTTTCTAACAATAAGACGACTGTTTTCACTCACGTTGTGTCGTCCTTAGAGTCCACTATCTCGACCCGGTCCAGATACCAGGAGGAGTACGAGCCAGAGTTGTCATGGCGAATGCGGAGCTTCTTCAGAGGACCCAGGTCAACGGCCGTCACCGTGAACCGATCCTCCTGTCTCGCAGAGAGCATCACAACATCACACATGCATCTTTGAAACAACAAAGGCAGTGTTAAAGATGTAGGACACATGCAGCAGTTTGCTCTTGTGTCATTTCACACAGTCCATTTTTCACAAAATTTTCTGAAATAAGGTTTTTCTGACTGCGAGATACTGAACATAAAACAATGCACATTGGCAAAAAACATATATTTAAATCTAACCTCAAAGAACAACCTAAATATTTATAATTGTGGAATGGCAGTAGCTAATGTGACAGTAGCTAAACTTAGCATTGAGTTTACATTTGACTTGATCCTAACAAATGTTAGTCAAAGCTAGGGTGCCTGACTTTTTTTTCTCAGTACTTGTAAGAAAGAGCCTTGCGAGTCACTATTTGACTCTTTGAGCTGATTGGCTCTTTTTAATTTTTCTGTCTGAAAACTTTAGACAATTTAAAGAAGCCGAAAACAGATGCATATGAAAACAAGTGATATACAATTCTTTTGAGCGAGGAGGAACTCATTAGAAGTATTTTATTACATAATTCAGTCTTTTGTGGTTTGAATATTAGGTATCCCAGCTTTAAAACATCAGTGCTCATTAGTTATATCACGCTGCCAGTTGCTTAAGAGCCAAGTGTAATAATGGACTGAATAATTCAGTCTGATGGAGTAAAAGTAGGGCAGATTTAGTGACACCGTGGACTCCGGTCTTGTAACAGAGCACACACCGGCTCGTTGCGCCCAGATCTTTGAATAACTACAGTTTTATTTCCATTCAACATGAAGCTTTATTCACAGAGGAGTTACACGATGCTGGTTAAATACGGCTGAGGACATGTCGCACAGTGCATTGCAATAAATGACAACAATAAGTTACGCCCACAGGCTAAATTAATCTTAATTTGTTTACACGTGGCCTGTCTTAATTTTATTTTATATTTTTTTTTTTTCTTGTCCGTGTTGATCTGGACCTTGAGTCTGCAAATAAAGTTCTCAATCTATATTAAAACAAGATTTGTGAATGGGACAAGCTATTTTTGTTTTGTCTCAAAAGAGACAATAAAAGTCTAACAGGAAATGAAAAATAAATTGCAACTACACTTGAAACTTAAACTTCTGTTACCATCGTTGGTGTACGAGAATCTGTACAATGTGTCATTTTTGGACATAATGTCACAGTTGTAAATGGGGTTAGGCGGTATAAGTCTCGACCAAAATTCTAAATATACACAATTCAGTTAATTTATGGTGGCATCAGCCTCTTGTACGGTGTGGTCTGCTGGAACAGCAGCATCACAGAGAGGGACAGGAAGAAGCTGGACAAGGTCATCAGGAAGTCCAGCACAGTCCTGGGCTGTTCCCTGGACACAGTGTAGCAGCACAAACTAACATCTATGCTGGACCATGACTGTCACCCGCTGCAGGACACTCTCTCTGCTCTGGAGAGCAGTTTCAGTGACAGACTAATTCACCCTCGTGAAGGAGAGGTTCCGTAGGTCTTTCCTTCCTGCTGCTGTCAGACTGTACAATAAGAACTGCTGAGTCTGCAAATGTCATCCATCTGAAAATAAGTAATTACTAATATGTACAGTATATAACTCTGCACTACTACATATATACTGTATATATATTTTATTTTGACAGACTGGTATCAAAGCATTTACAGCATTTACAGATAGTTAAGTAATATAGCTACTACTTTTTTGTATATTTTGTGTGCTCCCTGTGTGCTTTTACTACTGTCCTATATGTGCGATGCAACATCAAAATTTCCCCACTGTGGGACGAATAAAGGAACTCTTATCTTAACTCTTATCTTCTATTATTGTAAAATGTATATGTGACTAAGATCTAATTTTCATAATGACATAATGAGTAAATAAACTATCAATCAATCAATCAATCAATCTTTATTTATAGGGCGCTTTTCCTGCACAGGGCAACACAAAGCGCCTCACAGTCCACACCACACAATGCACAAATCATCACCATTAAAATACAATTAAAAACACATATGTAATTAAAAAGCATTAAAATCACATAAGTAATTTAAAAACATAAAAATCACACAAGTAATTAAAAACAATAAAATAGTTAAAAACACAAAAAGTTACAACAATAAATAACAAGGTGTGTTAAAAAGATAAAATTCTCTAGTTGTATGCACGGGAAAAAAGAAAAGTCTTTAACATGGATTTGAACATTGACAGAGAGGCAGCCAGTCTCACATCCTCAGGAAGACCGTTCCAGACTCCAGCTGCATAAATCTGAAAAGCAGCCTCCCCCTGTCTAGTCCTGACTCTGGGCACTAACAGGAGTCCCGTCCCTGCGCTCCTCAGAGTCCGGGCTGGTTCATATGAGACTAGCATATCATGGATGTACTTTGGTGCAAGGCCATGGAGAGACTTGTACACCAGGAGAGCTGCTTTAAAGTCTATCCTCTGGGCCACGGGAAGCCAGTGCAGAGACCTGAGGACCGGACTAATGTGGTCGTACTTCCTGGTTCTAGTCAGGACTCGGGCTGCAGCATTTTGAATATACTGCAACTGTCTTACTGCATGTTTGGAGATACCTGTGAGCAGGCCATTGCAGTAATCCAGCCTACTGGAAACAAAAGAATGGATAAGAATCTCCAAGTCTGCCCTGGACACAATATTTTTAATTTTGGCAATATTTTTCAGATGATAAAAAGCTGCTGATGTTACCGATCCAATGTGGCTATTGAAGTTTAAGTCAGAGTCCATTATTACTCCCAGATTTCTGACCTTATTTAAGGGCCTTAGGGAGAGAGACTGAAGGTGACAAATGACGGTCTCTCTTTGTTTCTCGGGACCAAAGACAATCATTTCGGTTTTGTCCGCATTTAGCTGGAGAAAATTGCATTGCATCCACTCACTGATCCGCTGGATACAGCGAAGGAGTGAGTCCACCGGCCCATGCTCTCCTGCAGTCAGTGAGACATAGATCTGAGTGTCATCAGCGTAATTGTGGTAGGACACTTTCATACTTTGAATTAACTGACCTAATGGCAGCATGTAAATATTGAACAGGAGAGGTCCCAGAATCGACCCCTGTGGCACTCCGCAGGTCAGGGCCATATTATCTGAGACATAGTTTCCAATCTCCACACAGTACTTCCTTTCTTCTAGATAGGACCTAAACCAGCTTAGGGCGGTACCAGCAACACCAACCCAGTCCTCCAGTCTCTGCATGAGAATCTCATGGTCAACGGTGTCGAAAGCGGCACTCAGATCTAACATGACTAAAACAGAGACTTTTCCTGCATCAGTGTTAAGCCGAATATCATTTGTTACCTTGACTAGAGCGGTCTCAGTACTGTGGTGTGGTCTAAAGCCAGACTGAAACATGTCAAATGAGTCATTAGATATTAAAAATTCAGTAAGTTGTTGGTAGGCAACTTTTTCAAGAATTTTTCCCATGAAAGGCAGATTTGAGATGGGACGGTAATTTTCAAGTACCGCAGCATCCAAACTGCTCTTTTTTAGGAGGGGCCTAATGACTGCCTTTTTCAGGGCCATTGGAAATGTTCCAGATAAAAAAGACATGTTTACTATTTGTGTCAATGAGGGTAATAGACTACACATAACAGACTTCAGAAATCTAGGAGGTAGTACATCCAGACTGCAGGTAGAGGAACTAAGACCTGTGATTATCTTTTTAACAGTTTCATCATTGACAGGTGCAAATTGAGCTAGCTCACAAAGCCTCACTGGATGTTGCATTGTTACTTGTGTTGTAGAGGTGATGGCATTTCTGATACCCTGAACCTTGTCTCTGAAGAACTGTGCAAACTCATTACACCTGGATTTGGAGTAGTGTTCTAATGGCAACTCAACAGGGGGGTTCGTTAATCTATTGATTGTTGAAAATAGAACACGCAGATTGTTGCTGCAGCCTTCAATAGTTTCAGAAAAGTATAATTCTCTTGTTCTACGTAGTACTCTGTTAAACTCACACAACTTCTCTTTTAAGAGTCTATAATCACCCTGGAGGTTGGACTTTCTCCACTTTCTCTCTGCTCTCCGGCACTCTTGCTTCTGTGCCCTGACCGGGCCTGCTTTTATCCATGGGGCTTTTTGCTTATTTGTGACCATTTTTACCTTCACAGGGGCAATGGCGTCCAGAACATTCAACACACTAGAGGTGACAGAGTTAAGCAGTTCATCTACAGTAGAACATGATATGTTCTCAAAATGGATCATTCCCATAAATAGTTCACCCGTGTTTTCATTTAAGTGTCTACTTCTAACAATTTCATATTTAGCGGGTGGTCTGGTAGCAAAACACATGTTAAAAAATACACAGAAATGATCCGACAGAGCAACATCAACTACATTAACTTTTGAAATATTCACCCCTTTCGTGATAAGCAGGTCCAAGGTGTGTCCTCTGCTATGGGTGGGGCCACTCACATGCTGAGTGAGGCCAAAGGATTCAAGTATGGAACTCAGCTCTTTTGCGTATCTGTCATTAACATTATCCACATGAATATTAAAATCGCCTATAATGACTAAACCATCAAAATCTGTGCACACAACTGAAAGCAACTCAGTGAAATGATCAGTGAAACTATGGCATGACTGTGGCGGCTTGTACACAACAATAATAAGAATGGAAGAAGATTTCTTTTGTTCTATTTTAAAAGAAACATACTCAAATGATGAAAATTTCCCAAGAGACACCCTATGGGAGACAATACGATCTTTAAAAACTGCTGCTATGCCCCCCCCCCTTTTATTTTCTCGTGTTTCATATTCAAATTTGAAATTTGGTGGTGAGGCTTCTATTAAAACTGCATCTCCTGTATTATGGTCAAGCCATGTTTCAGTCATAAACATAAAATCAAGATCATACGAACAGATAAAATTATTAATTAAAAATGATTTGTTGCATAGTGATCTGACATTAAGCAGAGCAAGGTTAAAAATAATATCAGTGTCAGTGGGTTTAGTTGATTGATTACAAAGAACTGGAATTAGATTTCCAGAGTTGGACCGTCTAACTGCTGTCCTTCTTTTAAATTTGTGTTTATTCAAGTTAAAACACATTTCTGAGCTGGTGCGAGGAACACACACAGTCTCTATTGGTTTAAAAAGTGAACTCTGTTGTACTTTGTTAAGTTCCAGATGCATAACTGAGTCAGCACAGTTCAGTGGCAGGACTGTCGTTACACTGCCAGACGGACAGGGGTCAGTGTTTGCACCACAGTACTCACCCGGTGCTGGGTGAGTACTGTGGGGGGTGGAGGGGGGTGGTGGGGGCCGAGAAGCCTCGGATGTAAACAGTCACGCCCCCCTCGGGGAGCACTGAACAACATGGCGCAGGAAGTCCGTCAACAAACTGGTGCCGTATCTGTTCGGGTGCAGACCATCTGGACAATAGGCCACGTGACGCTTCCAGAACAGGCCAAAGTTGTTCACAAAAATAAAGTTAAAAGTGCTGCATGTAGACTGGAGCCACATGTTGAGCGCCACAACGCGACTGTAGAGGCAGTCACCCCGGTTTACAGTCGGGACTGGACCAGAGATAAAAACACACAACCCGGAGGACTGGAGGAGGCGGAACAGATTCATAAAGTGCTTCTTTGTGACCTCTGACTGCTGCAGCTTCATATCATTTATACCCACATGCACGATTACCTTGGATATGGTATCGGGCAGGGAGTGAAGCAGAGGAGGGAGACGGATGAGCAGATCTGGGACAGTAGCTCCAGTAATGCAGTGAGTGACCGCGTTAAAAAAGCGGACGTGCCTCACGATGGAATCTCCAACGATCAAAGTAGTCGGGGCGAAGAGTGGACGTAGCCGCGGAGAAGGCGCTCGGTGTCCATGGCCAGAACCAGCGGGCTCATCCAGGGATGGGTCCGAACCAGGGCGCTGCTGAACACATGGAGAAGAGTGGGGGTGTTGATTCTCAGCTCCGGGCAACCCACGCTGTGTGCACGGAGACGCTGGAGCGGCGAGAGGAGCAGGCTTGGGTCGCTGCTGCTGCTGACCCGGTGAAGGTAAGTGGTGGTGATGCACTGGGGTCAGAGAAGGGGAATGACCACTCTTTCGTCTGAGGACAGCTTCCTTTAAGAGTGTCTTTCTCGCAGTGGACCTGGATCCACGGACAGCAGTAGAGTTTGCTGCAGAGTCCAGGGGTTCTGCTGAGGGGGCTGGAATGTCAGCGGAGAGGGCTGCATAGCGGTTTGACAGGCTCAGGACATGGGCCACGGCGCTGGATGGCTCCTCGCAGTCCGCAGGCTCTTTATTCCGAACCGGGCACTTAGGTGTAGAACAGGAGGGTCCAGAGCTGACAGACCTCTCCCACACGACAGTGTCACAGTATGCAGCGCTCAGTGACATAAGCCGTGAGTGCTGCCCGCCAGCGACATCAAAAAGTTTGGACACGAGTGACTGTTTATCCTGCAGCTCTGCAGTGAGGCGAAGGACTTCTTTACGGAGGTCTGCAATAGTGGCACGGTCCCTCTCACGAAGCTCCAATGTGAGGCGACTAATGTCGTTCGTGGTCATTGCAGTGTCACTTTCCATGTCTGTGGTGCGCTCGTGGTAGCCTCCGAGCTAGCGCGTTTCGATTTGGTCTTTGTGTTAAAAGACGTAATGCTCTGGAACCATTGCATTTAAGATAATAAAACACTAGAGTGTACAAAAGACACTAATACACCGTAAAAACGTGTTTAAAAGGCTTTAAAAGGCTTAAAAGGGTGAACAGAGCAGAGACGTCAAAACGCGTGCTCACTCTCACTTCCCTGTGGTCATATCCTACTACTCATTTATACGAGACTTCAGTGCCTGTCCCATTGGCAAATGTTATTCTAAGATTAAAAAAAATACTGGATTCAAGTACCTTTTTTTAAATGCATTTCCTTGTTTTGTAAACATGTTTGCAGTGTAGAGAGTTTTTATGTATCATACACAAGCACCTTATAGAATATGGAAAGTGGGAAGCCGTTCTTGTATAATTGACTGAAGAAAGTAACATGTATATTGTCTAAAGAACATATCTGTAGCTTGATAATAAAACTTGAATTGTCTAGAACTGATTTATTTAATCTGGGGAAGCAAGTGTTAGTTTTCAAGAGACAATTCTGATACCAAATTCTTAATCTCCTAATTAATCCTAAAGCCAATCGAGTTAAGTCCACTGAATCTAATTTGATGCAGAGAAGCGCGAACAGTGAGACCAATAATCCGCAGCATTTGGTGAGATTCAGAATGTTGGCTGAGAGTCCCATCAGATCTGAGCCAGAGAGTACACTGCTGCAGCGCACTCTCCCTCTAGTGGTGCAAATCCAAAATAATGATCAAAAAGAGAAATGCACACAATAATAAAGCTGTTGTCATGCTCACTAACAATCACAATAAACAAGCTGTACTGCTGCTTACAAGACTGGGCATCATTTAGAATAGTTTAAATAATTTGTCGGATCATTCAGAATTTCTGTGAGCCTCCAAGTTACTTCAATATACAGTAACTTGCACAAAATACATGTAAAAGATGAAAAGTTGCCAGTAGTATTGCTATGGAAGTAGTAGGCTATGCAAAAGAGGAAAGGTAGTGATTACATAGTAAAACATTTGGACACAAGAAACATGTCCCACTAATAGGGAACGTGAACTGGGTTTAGACTATTGTGAGACAGGTCAGTTTTACCCTTCTGATGATGTGCTGTTGCAATAGTTACACATGTGTGGACATTTATCAACATTCATGGACATTGGTCTCTCCCTATGGAACAATACACATGCGTTCTATATTTTATTTGTGTCTTAACTGTTGATTCTCTGATCTGTGTTGGTGATTTCAATGGTTTTGTTAAGTCCTCTGAGATGACTGCTGTTGTGATTTAGGGCTATACAAGGTTTGAGCCGAAAAGAAGACTATAAATGTCTACCATCCTGTGTCTCAGGCTGTCACTGACTGTGTCTGTGTCTATGTCTGTGTTCATTTCTTATTGACGGACTAGTCGCCCAAATTTTACATTTGCTTATTATTACTTTTAGTTAATTATTATGCTCAAAGTACAAGATTCTTTATTTTAAAACATATTAAAAAGGCAAGGCTAAATTTGTGGGTATTTACTTTGACATTCAAGCCAGAGAAAACTCTCAACGCTGCAAAAAGTGGAGATAAGATAACTAATTAATCAAGTGGGTTTTTAATGCAGAATTGAGTACATTTTGACTTAAATCAAGACATGACAAATCTAAATTCAAGTGAAGTTGAAATTTCTCATTCCAAGTGAGAATTGCCTTGTCCCAAAGGCAGAGTCAGACTATGCTCAAATTACCACCTAATTCAAGCCATTTTTGACATATTTTTTGCCACTTTTTCTATTCATTTCATTTCATTTTTTTTCATTTTCAAGCCCTTTATTAGTCCATTTCTGGGTCAGGGGGGTGGCAATGAGAGCTGCCACCCAACGCTCATAGCACCAGTCCCTCGCTGATCCTCTGCAGGGGGTGAGTCCACAGGAAGATGGCTGCTCCATCAGCGGTGAATCAGCCTTGGTCTTTCAGCGGGGGCTTCAGGCAACGTGGGGTTAAGTGTCTTGCCCAAGGACACAACCTATTTTTCTATTCATTCATTTATTTAATCAATATTATTATTTAATTGTCAAATATTTCATACATGTTTGTGTTGTTTTTCATTCAATTTAGAGTTCAGTTTAGGTCAAATCCATGTGTCTTTTTTTCTTGTCCAAAACTTTGCCTGAGCCCATATGAAGATTCTTAAATCTCTGTAAATTATCTACTCTTTGTAAATCACATTTGTTAAGTGTATAATGTCACCTTGTCTTGAATCTGTCTTAATACAATACAAATATTATGGCGATGTATTAATGTATAATTTCTTTTATGGCCTCTTCACAGCTTGCTAGCTAAAACCGGCACTTTTACAGACAATATGTAACGTCCTTGTCCAAATAAATCAAATAAATGTTTAGTGCATATGACGTGGTTAATTGATCAACAGGGCATGTGTATAGTTGGTTTGGTTGACCATAGTCCATCCCTTCACAATCCCCCTGTTGCCGTACCTGGCCCTTTTCAAACTTGTTGAGGTTGTTGGAGCTCTTCAGGTAGCGCTCTCCGGTGTCTCCATGTTCTCCATAAATATTAACAAAGACTTTGGCGTCAGTCCCGGCTCCCATCATGACTCCAGTGAAGACACTCACGTCGTAGGTGTTCACTGTCGGATACAGGAACAAGGATTAATGACTAACGCCTCTTTAACCTGACGAGGCGGACAGGAAACTGGGTAAAAACAGAGTGTAACACGAGTCATGATAACTAATATGATCCAATTATAAAGTTTTTTTAATGTTTTTATGTGACATCACACCATTCTAAAGAGCCTATAGTTTACCGTTGTGGTGGAGGATACCTGAAAAATCCTTCCTAGTAAATATGGTCACTATCAAAAGTCAGACCTTTTTGCCATTTTTAGTTAATTTCTCTGTATTTGTGGGAGCAAAATATGTCACAAAGTTCCACATCTTGTCAATACATATCAATTATGGAATAATTATTTTCTCATTGTTGTGGTGACTATATTCGAAAAGCATTCATGATGTTGGCCAGTAAAAAGGACTTTCAGACATAATAATATTACAGCAGATTTGTGAATCTTAAATAATGATCTGACAATGTCTTATAATTATAATGTTGATATAATGTACTTTATACGGTAATTCCACCATTTTGTAGACCATGTCTCAGCTTGTGTCAAGCAAACTCTGCTGGACCATGTGAGAGCCACCATTGGGCACTACAGTTTACAGCTTCATATTTTGGGATGTTGTATTTGTTATGTTGTTATGGAAGGTAGAACAGAGATTGTTGGAGCAAATGTTTTCCATGTATCTGAAAACAGCTTTTATTGTGTAAATGAAAGGTGAGAACAATTAAAACATGGCTAAATAAACAACTATGCACAGTACATGTAAGCAGGCTGCACCTTCCATATCCTCAGCATCCTCGGGCAGCAGCTCTACCACGAGCTCTCCGTCCTCCTCTCCTGATGCGAGCCACCGAGAGCAGGGGAAATGATATGTGAACACCACCTCCTGCAGCTCCTCCCCTTCTTCCTCCTCTTCTTCATCTTTCTTCTTCTTCTTCTTTTTCTTCTTGTCTTCCTTTTTCTTCTCTTTGGGCGCCATGGCCATGATCAGGTGTTTGACGTCCACAGACTCGAGGAACCACCCGGGGCCGATCCCAGAGCCATCATGGCCGATTCGGATCTTGAAGATTTTACCAATGTCTTTTCCCTCAATCTGAAACACATTTTAATAAGATGAATTTTAAGTAATACATGTAATCACTGCATAGACACGGGACCAGTGTGCAGACGTACACGTTCGTAACGTTTTCACAGTAATATATATCAATTGAAAGGCTAAGCAGAAATAATTGTGTCAGAAAACCGCACTTTTAATTCTTTGTGAATGTTAAACAACACTTATTAGGAAATGCAAGGAACATGTTTTTATGTTAAGTGTTTAATGCTACTTAGTGGACCATTCCAGTTAGTGCCTGAAAAGTAATGCAGTGAAATCATATACATGCATTTCTCACAAGGCAAGTTTATTTGTATGGCACAATTCATAGATGTTTCAGTTGTATGCACAGCTGAACAGAACAGATTTTAACCTGGAACTGTGTGGTTTGTGGGTTGTAATTTTCTTTTGCCGATGGTAGTTAACATCAGCCGATGCATCGATGCATTCCTACTGCACACGATAGACATTTAAAATGCTTTATTGTATCAGCTTAAAGTAAAAAAGTACCTTGTATATTTCTGTGGTATTTCTCTCAAAATTATTGGATCTGCTTTCCAGGATTGTCACTTCAGTCTTTCCTTTCTCTCCGAACATCTGAATAAACACTCTGGCATTGGTGCCAGCAAATGTCACATCTCCCGTCACAACGCTTATCTCATAATTCATGGCTGAAACAGACAAAAAAAAAGGAATATATAAAGTAAAGTTTCCAAAACAAGCAAAACAGTGAACTAGAATCATGTTGGAATCTGTCAGCATGTCTGACCCTGTCACATGTTGTATTCTACCTTTGATGTAAATGACTCTCCAGCCCTGTGAAACTATGAAAAACATACAAATACAGATCATTAATAAAAAATAAAACAGTTACTTACACTGTTCCAAGTCCAGGATTTCACTAGGGTAAATTTCCACCTCTGTCTTCCCATCTGCCTCGTCTTTACAGAGCCAGCGATGACTGGGAAACATGTACTGGTTCCCATGGACTGGCACCATGATCTGAACACTGTCCAGAAACCAGCCCGCACGCATGCCCTCGTTAGTGTGGCCAATCCTCATCCGGTTTATCTGTAAAAAGTAAACTATATTTAACAAGTATTGTATAAGAATGTGAATATTTTAAGCACATTTCATGATTCCTGTGGTATCTTTTTGACTTAAACAATGCTAATCTTGATCTAAATTTAATTAAATGATTGAGTAAAAATGTGTAATAATAATGACAATAATGCATCGGTTTTAAACAGCGCTTTTCAAGGACACTCAAAGACGCTTCACGTGTCTTTATTCTTTCACTCCAGACACAATGGTAATAAACTACTACTATAGCCACACTTGCCCTGGGGCACACTGAGAGAAGCGAGGCAATGTGCCATCAGCCCCTCCGACCACCACCAACCATTCAAGCACACACCAGACTCATTCTAGGCAGTGGGGATGAAGTGTCTTGCCTAAGGACACAATGGAAGTTTGACACTTTCAGCCGCAACCCCACTGTGGCACCTGGTGTTTCCAGAGGTCTCCCATCACAGTACTAACCAGGCCCTGCCCTGCGTGTATATTTATCTAATCCCACCTCTTTCATGTGCAGTTTTCCCAACCAGCCTGTTATTGTTTTGACCATATTTTGTAGATTATGATTGTCAATTAAACGTGTGTTTGAGCCTTAAATGTGCCGTTCATGCAAGGCAACACAGGAATGTACAGGAACTTGTTGTTTTTATGCCAAGAAGAATGGGCACATTATCATTAGCGAGGTTAGAACCTCAACAACAACTACCACAAAAGACTCCCAGCTCTCCTAGCTGTTAAAGAGGAGAATACATGCTTACATGGGGGTAAACTTCTAATCAAAGTCATTTCTATGTGGTCCTCGCTATGAAAAAATAGAAAACATGACAATACTTGACAATAATTGGCTTTACACAACCCATGCAACGAGTAATACATGTGTTTAAATATTAATGTTTGTGCTCTTATTCATAATACACAACATATGAAATAATAAGGAGCAGCCTCAATGTTATCACCTGTCCGATGTCAAAGGTTTCCACAGTGAACACGTCCACGCGGCCCATCTCAAAGTAGTTTCCCAGATTGTTGTCTGAGACCAGTAGCATCATTCTGCTGGTGTCGCCTTTCTCTCCATAAAGCTTCACAAACACGTTAGAGTCCGAGCTGCCTCCAGGAATGCTTCCAGTCTTTACAGTGATGTGATAGTTCACATCTGACAGAACACTAATATTATTAAACTCAATACATTGTTGCTTTAGTTACTTTGAAACAGGGACTCACTATAAAGACGCTGGCCGTCTGAAAACGGCACTAACTCCCTCACAATTTGGCCATCGTCCTCATTCCGATCAAACCATCTGAAAAACAAAAGAGTGTTTACACAAAGCAAATATTCATAGAAAGATTTAAAACATGAATGCATTCAACAACGTTATTGCCCTTGTTGGCTGTGTAAACTTTCAAGCACAACTGTACTTTCTTACAGAAATAAGTATCATATCAACTGAGAGGTTTTTCTAATTTATATATATTTTTTAAACTAAAGAAGAAATGAATAAAACATTAGTAAAATAAGGAACAATTAAATATAAACAAAGAGACACCTGTTGCATGGAAACTCTACAGCGTTGGCTTCTGCTTCTCCCTCCTCCCTCACGATCACTTTATCCAGAAACCAGCCGCAGCCTCCACCTTTCCCATTGTGACCGATCCTGATTCTGCGCACCCGCCCCACAGACACAGCCTCAATAATGAATTCGTCAAGCTGCAAAATATAGTACATGATTAATACTTGAATTTAAATGAAATTGAATTAATAAGAACTAAGCCTGTTCACAATAGTGAAAGTGGAAACACCTCAATCATTTTAATCAAAGGTGCTCACATTTCCTTTTTCAAACTTGTTGACGTTGTTTTTGCAGTTGATCAGTTCTCGGTCTCCAGTGTCTCCTTTGTCTCCGATTAAGTTGAGAAACACTAAAGCATCAGTTCCACTTCCCCCAATGTTCCCCGTGCAGACGGTGACTCTGTACTTGATGACTAAAAACAAAATAATATGTACATTACGACTAACGCCGTTTTGGTGACATCATTTGTGTGCACACAAGTCTTGGTCTTCGTCCCGTAGAGATGTATTAGTTCTGGGTTTAGTGACAGAAGAAATCTCTGAAGACACAGAGAGGCCATTCAAACACTAAATAATCCATGTTGTTTGTCCCAAAAAGAGTCAAAAGTAAAATGTTCAGTCCACAAGATGCTGTATTCATTTGTATATTTTGAAAAGTGGAGAGAAGGAGGCCTGTGAGTCCCTATTTGATGCTTTGAGCTAAGAGCTGATTGGCTTCCATTTTTCTTTACTGTCTGAAAAAGCTGATCTAAAGATGTGACAGGGGCCAAAAATACATTCATGTGCAGACTAGGGATAGAAGCAAACTGGCTTGATCATATCATCAGATGTCTTCCATTCAGTAAACTTGATTTTCATTTTCGTTTTCAAGTAGTAATGAGATGTAATGGACTGCCTCAGATACCTGTGGACACTTAGCATCTAACTATAAAGCATATATTTTTGCAAGTACTGCTAATAACAGGTGTCATTAAATGATTCATTTCCCCTCTGAAAGTAGTTGTCTATTCACATTTTTAAAAAAATTCACAATTTGATTTTTAATATCTAATTGTTTCAATGAGTATTTATGCCTTGTGTGATTGTTTCGATCTTATTCTGTTCAGCACTTTGAGTTGCATTTTATATATATTTATATTTATATTTATATAATTATACAATTCATACACAATGCCATTGACCATTGATAAGTGCCTAGCCATTTTCCTTTCCACAGCTTGAGTGATCCTATCCATGCTAAATGCAAGTAAAGTAATGAGTTTATAAGATAAGATCCATTGATGTCACAATGGAGTTATGAGATCAATGGATCTTATCTTTGTAGTGATCATTCATGATGCTCAGAATATGTTCAAACTACAGTCTGTTTAAAATATGTATGTTTTTGTTGTCTTTTACGAGTATTATTGTATTATGCATATCACTTCTGTTAAGAACTGAACAGTTTTTCAGAGTTTAGTTTTGTCAGCTAAAAGAAGACACCTTTGAAACAATACACCAGTCCAGAGTTTGCACACGAGGCTAAGGGCATGTACCGGTCAGCGGCTCGTCTATGAGGGCTCCAGTGGCAGGAAGCTCCCTCACCACTTCATTGTCATCCTCGTTGACGTCAAGCCAGCGCTCGCAAGGAAAGGTGTACTTCTCTTTTGTTAAAGTCTTCATGATGGTCGCCTGAGGCATTAGAATCAAGGCATTAGGCATTCTCAAGTGATGAACATTCTTTGCCTACTAAATTAAAAGTTTGTAAATATATATCTACAAGAGGCGGCGAGCTGGGGTGGCCATACTCATTGCCCCCCATCTCAGCCGCCACGTGTTGGAGTTCTCCCCGGTGAATGAGAGGGTCGCGTCCCTCCGCCTCCGGGTGGGGGACAAGTCTCTCACTGTTGTGACGGCCTACGGGCCTAACGGTCGTGCAGAGTACCCGGCCTTCTTGGAGTCCTTGGGAGGGGTACTGGACAGTGCACCGCCCGGGGACTCCGTTATTCTCCTGGGGGACTTCAACGCCCATGTGGGAAATGTCAGTGACACGTGGAGAGGGGTGATTGGGAAGAACGGCCCCCCTGATCTGAACCCGAGCGGTGTTCAGTTGTTGGACTTCTGTGCCAGTCACGGCCTGTCCATCACGAACACCATGTTCGAGCACAAGGGTGTCCATCAGTGCACGTGGCACCAGGACACCCTAGGCCGGAGGTCGATGATCGACTTTGTTGTCGTATCATCTGACCTTCGACCGCGTGTCTCGGACACTCGGGTGAAGAGAGGGGCGGAGCTGTCAACCGATCATCACCTGATCGTGAGTTGGATCCGCTGGCAGGGCAGGAGGCCGGTCAGACCTGGCAGGCCCAAGCGTGTAGTGAGGGTTTGCTGGGAACGTCTTGCTGAGCCCCCTGTCAGACGGACTTTCAACTCACACCTCCGGGAGAGTTTCTCCCAGGTCCCGGCAGAGGAGGGGGACATCGAGTCCGAGTGGACCATGTTCTCTTCCTCTATGGCCAATGCTGCGGCTCGTAGCTGTGGTCGCAAGGTCTCTGGTGCTGGTCCCGGCGGCAATCCCCAAACCCGGTGGTGGACACCGGCAGTAATGGATGCCGTCAGGCTGAAGAAGGAGTCCCAAAAATTAACAATTGTAAACCGCTTTGAGACTCAGATCTGCAGTGAAAAGGCGGTATATAAATAAAAAAAAAAAAAAAAAAACTTAGATAGGGTGAGGAGCTCGGTCACACGGGAGGAGCTCGGAGTAGAGCCGCTGCTTCTCCACGTCGAGAGGAACCAGTTGAGGTGGCTCGGGCATCTGTTCAGGATGCCTCCTGGACGCCTTCCTGGGGAGGTGTTCCGGGCACGTCCCACCGGGAGGAGGCCCCGGGGAAGACCCAGGACACGCTGGAGGGACTATGTCCCCAAGGCCTGGGAACGCCTTGGGGTCCCCCCGGACGAGCTGGAGGAGGTGTGTGTGGATAGGGAAGTCTGGGCGTCTCTGCTTAGACTGCTGCCCCCGCGACCCGGCAACGGATAAAGCGGAAGAAAATGGATGGATGGAAATATATATTTCAAAATGAACCATTCAACAGTAAATTTCACCTTACTCAGATGCCATCCTGCAAATGGATTCCTTTTCTCGTGCCAAATGCGAAGTTTAGTCATTTTCCCGAAGTCAGGCAGCTCAACCTGTACAATAAGGATTGTTTTTTAGCCAAACTGTAAAGCACTTTGTGTTGCATCTGTTGTATGAAAAGCGCTTTATAAATAAACTTTGATTGATTGATTGATTGAATAATAATCAGAAAAGCAACCACCTTTTAATTATCAAGGTTAAACAATTTTGGATCATAAGATCATAATGTTCATAGAAGACTCGGTCCAGGTGACTACTTTTCAAACCTGCTCTGAGGGCTCACTCCTGGACAAATGACTCTCCTTTATCATCTTGAAATGAGTTCATCATCTAGTTCTCAAACACAAGCTGATAAAACATACTATGAGCAGTAGGTAGTAAAGTGTGGTTTACCATAAATCGGTCCGTTTGGCCTTGCTCAAAGTTGTCTGTTTTGTTGTCCAGTCGAATCTCATCAGATTTGCCTTTCTCTCCATAAATCTGGAAGGAGATGTCTGCGTCTGTCCCTGCACTTGGGATGTCTGAAGTCCAGATCCACAAAGACCATGGGTGCTCTGAACAGAAATACAGTTCTAAGTTACCGTAGTTACAACAGTATATATTAAAAAACACATTAAGACATTGTAGCAACTATTAACCCAAAAAATATAGGCTATCAAATTATTTACATGATAAAGCATTAAACATATATTTGATCATGTTTACTCTTTTGTCTTTTTTGGCGAAGTGACACCATCTCATAGAGCTCTCTCTCGATCAGTCCGTCTCCCTCCTTCTCATCCAGCCATTTACTGCAAGGAAACGTCTGCTCTATCCCTGTGAATGGACAGTACACCACTACCTGCAAACACAACCACAAAAACTCAATCAGAAACTACTATTATAGACAACATAATTAAACTCTTAACATCAAAATCTCAGCTACAGTACAGTACATCTGTATACAAACTGCAGCAGCTAGATTTGATAATAAAGTAAATTTTTTCCACATATAGGTAGCACTTGAAAATAAGCCCTTCACAAACAGGTACAAACAACATGATTTAATGACGAGGTGATTAACACACTGTTGACTTATGATGGAGAAAGCTTTGTAAACAAGACGATGGACGCAAACATGAACTCACATTAGCAAGTTTACCTTGACTAATACATTTATCAATCGATTTTGACAATAAACAAGTGTCTATAGCTACAAAAAACTTGATGTAGTCAAAATAATAATTCCATAATCTCTTCTCTGACAGCAGCCTGACACTTAGGGATACAGTATGTTTGATCACATGATGTCCAGAGAGCTTTAACATGGAATCCACTGAGCTGAACGAGTGAGGAAAGTCTTACTCATAGTGGAAAGTTTTAATCTCTACACCAGGAATTTTAATTGTACTTTAAAATATTGTAATAAAACCCATAATAATCTAGAACCTTGTGTAGATAAGGAGA